GCTGAGTTGCGGCACAGAGAGAAAGAGATGCACCATTTATTCTTTGCTGCGTGTGGCATCTCTGCACACCTCCACAAAGAGAGGCCACACTTGCGCTGTGCTTATTTTGATCTGCAAGTTGGCTCAAAAACGTCGGCGGCAAAGAGAACAAAGTTGGCAGCGGGGAAAGAATCTGGTTCCAGGAAATGATACTTTATCAATAGGAAAGCTGTTGCTTGTGCCAGGATGAAAGAAGCAGCTCCCAAGAGTTGGGAGGCTCTTATCCATCCAAGGGGAAGCAGGCAGTCCTTCAGCTCAGCAGTCCGTGAAGGGAAAAGGTCTTGCTCTGTCTGCAACAGCATTGCATCTCCCTTCTCTGATTCTATTTGTAGTTTATGTCAAGAGCAGTGAATGCTGGTTTTTCTAAAGACTCTCTGCAGAACTTGGGCTACAACCAAGATCTCTGGCTGACAACCACGGTTCGGGAAGATTTCCCTTCCCTTTTCTGTCTCATTGTACCAGAACCCCACGAAAGTCGGTTACAGAATGCACAATTAGCACGAGGAATACGTACCACCGCAGGGTGCGGTGGAAGGTAGCCATTAGCTTTTGAAAAAGGGGGCCTGATCAACAGCTGTTAGACATGATCGCTAATGGAACATCCATGTAGGAACACGGGGCCGGCTCTGTCATTAGGCAGAGGGAGGCAACCGCCTCGGGCAGCAGAGGATGTTGGGGAGGGAGTCAGGGCATGGAAGGACAGAGCACAGGGCCCTGCAAGCTGCCATGCTGCGTTTGGGTGCAGTAGTTGTTCCATTGCAAGTTTTGAAGGAAGGTTTGACTACCGGTCCAGTCAGTTTCTGTATGCAGAGGCTTCAGGCAGCCGTGTGTCTTGGGGGTAGCCCAGACCTTACATGCTGAGGGGTGGGGAGCCACAATTGCCAAATGCAGTCCTCTTGTGCTTTGTTTTTGGGTCTCTTTCCAGGCCACACACCCCTCCCCAGCCAAAATCTCCCTCTCCAGACCTTAGTCTGCTGGCCTTCCTCTGCCTGGCTGCAGGTTCCTTTGATAATTCCTCTTGCTTGCCTGAATGGAGGGCTTAATAGAGAGGGCTGGGTTGCATAGTAACTAGGGTTGCCATATTTCGAAAAGTGAAAACCCAGACACAAGATTTAGAGAAGCCGTCCCAGTTTCCGATTTGATCGCAGAATGTCCCACTTTTCCTTAGGATGTCCCCGATTTCACTGGAGAAATGCTGGAGGGTATGGAGTTGTCCAACCCCCAAGCTGTCTGAAGTCAATTCTGTATAGGGAAGTTTTTAATGCCTTTAATCTGTTAAGTGGTGAGGCTAGGCCGAAGCCTGCTAGCATTTCAGTGGGCAGTAAAAATACTCTTATTCTGTGTGGTTCTTAATGGCTTTTAATATAGGAGTGAAGGTTTTAGCTCTGCTCCATTTGATTTTAAGGTTTTTCCTTTTCATTCTCGTTAATTAATGGGTGCGGGGGTTTGGGGTTTTGTTTTGTTTTTTGCTTGGTTCTTTTATGTAAATTGCTCTTATGGGGCTCTTGAGTGATATAAATGCTTTCTGAAAGTAAATCAGTAAATAATCTTAAGACTCCAAGGAGAAATCCTAGGAATGGAAGGGGGAACACACTGAGCATGCTCAGTGGATGTGGGATGCTGGCCGGCTGTTGGGGCAGGCAGGGGAAGCAGAAAACTAGGTGGGAGGGAGGGAGAATGGAATTCTGTGGGATAAATCAGCCTTATAAACCAGCATGCTGAACTCTGGTTAATACATGAAGGCGTTAAGACCATAGAGTAAGCTGTTCTGCCAGGCCTACCTAAGTCGCACTTCCTTCCTTGGCAGGAAGGGTTACCAATCTCACTTCTACTATGTGAACCCTACCAGTAAGAGGTCTAAGCTTGATGCTCCAAATCTAGACCACATGGCTTAAGCAAGCCACCTTTGTTTTTCTGTACCAATAATTCAGAAACATTTATCACTCTGGAACTGACCTAAGTTTTTCTGCCTATCTTGCTACTGTATGGAAAAGAACATGAATCTGGCCTTTGAAGCGTTTGTAATTCTAATGGATTCTTTAATGTTTGTTGTATTTGATATAAGTTGTTTAAAGTTATTGTGAGTTTTTTATATTGGATCAGATGGTTATTATTAACGTTTGATGTTTTATTATGTTTTTATATGTGTTGGAAGCCGCCCAGAGTGGCTGGGGCAACCCAACCAGATGGGCGGGATATAAATTAAAATTATTTATTTATTTGTAAGTAAGCCATTTTTAACTTACCAAATGTGCGGTCTCTTTCTTTGCTAAGGGAGGTGGGGAATTTTGGAAGCAACTTAGTAGGGAATATTTTAAAGGTCTAAGCCTATATGTCCACTCACATTTACTTTGCTGCATGGCTTGTGATTTTAAATCTCTGCTGGGACTCTCTCACCAAAGAGTACTGTACTTGCCCCTAACCTGGATCTAGGCTTCCAGGAAATTGTCTTTTTTATTTTTCTACCTCGCGCTTTATTCTTTTAACCAAACAAAAGTATGAAAACCAACACTTTCTGCCCTACCAGCCCCAAGGGGAATCAGCCATTCCTGGTCCTCCATGCTGGCGGACAAAGTCATCTGATTAGCCATAGGAAGTTGCCTTAGACCAAGTCAGACTTATTAGTTCCTCTGTCTCAACATTGCTCACATTCACTCCATACATTTAAAATACTATGATACTAATCTGAACAGTCACGGTTTCCCCCAAAGAACTGTGAGAGATGCAGTTTCTTAAGGGTGCTGATAGTTATTAGGAGACTCCCATTCCCTTCATAGAGTTCCAGTTGACATAGTGGTTTAACGATTCCTCACAGGGAACTCTGGGAATTGTAGTCTTGTGAGTGGAATATGCTTTATTTGGATTCCTTCCTCTAAGGAACTGCAGGCACCAATGTGGTCCTCCTACATTTCATTTTATCCTTAGAGATTGTGCCTGGCTTAAAATCAACCAGCAAGCTTTGTGGCTGAACAGGGATTTGAACCCAACTCCTCCTGGCCTTAGGCCAGTACTCTGAGAACCATACCACATGCCTTAGAATCCAAAAATAAAAGAATGACAATGGAAAGCCATATAAGGTGAAACGATAATCCTACACACCCCACCCCCTCACACACAATAGGAAAAGAACAGGCAGCAGCAAAGTGGGCAGGCGACAGATGACAGAAGGATCATGTCAGCGCTCGCCAAAAGCCTGAGAGAATAAAAAGGCTTTAACTTGAGCATTTAATGTATTTTTCTTTGTTATGTTTGAGTCTCCCTTTCCTCCAAGAAGCTCACAATTCTTCCCCCTTTTATATCCTCACAACAACCCTGTGAGTTAGGTTTGTTGGACAGATTAGAGGGACTAGGCGCAGGTCACCCAGGGTGGAGAGGCCCAACCTGTCTACCAGGAAGACCTAGCGTTGGCAACCAACTGTGCCGTTGTCCCGTCTTGCTTACCATGTCTTGAGAGCAGAGCTTTGCTGCCAAAGAATGAACCGCGCTGAGCTGAGTCAAGCTTGCAATTGACCGTGGGGTACTGATGTTTCATTCAGGGTGGGTGAATCTGTCAGTGTTGGTTTCCCTCCATTTTCCATCTTCTCCCCAATCTTAAATTCAGTTCTCCATAGTTCCACATCAGTTAGCAATTAGAAAATTAACATTCATTAGCTTTTCAGTGAGGATTCCTTCCAATAAACACATACATGTGTCTGTGCAATTTCCCCTAATTTATATATTTATGTTATCAAGCAATTTCTCCTTATATAATGTGTTTTCATATATGCATATATGAAACACGTTATACATTTACTAATCATAGAATATGCACATACATGTGTCTATGCAATTTCCCCTAATTTATATTTATGTTATCAAACAATTTCTCCTTATATTATGTATTTTCAAATATGAAACACGTTATATATTTATTAATCATAGAACTGTAGAGTTGGAAGGGAACATGAGGGTCATCTAGTCCAACCCCCTGCAAAGTGTTCAGGGTAGTATGCCAGAATATGCATGTTTAAGCCCACTGTCCCTGGTACACTGGGCTTCAGCTTGTAGGTCAAGACCCACTAGTGGGGTCATGGCCTGATCCAAGGTGGGTTGCAACAGGAGCAAATATATGGTAAAAGATTAAGACATGGGACCCTAAGTGCATGTTTGGGTTTAAAGTGGGTCTGAAACGGCCAGAGACTAGTGCCCTAGCATATGATTTCTTGTACACATTACTTGCCTAGAGATCTGAACTGCAAAATTCAGAGAAGTGCAAATTTCAAATACAGTGGTACCTCGGGTTACAGACGCTTCAGGTTATAGACTCCACTAACTCAGAAATAGTACCTCGGGTTAAGAACTTTGCTTCAGGATGAGAACAGAAATCGCACAGCGGCAGCAGGAGGCCCCATTAGCTAAAGTGGTGCTTCAGGTTAAGAACAGTTTCAGGTTAAGAACGGACCTCCAGAACTAATTAAGTTCTTAACCAGAGGTACCACTGTACCATTTTGGTATGCAAAGTGTGAATTAGGTAGGATCACCTATGAATGCGATCTGAAACAGATTTACTCCCAATCCCTATATGCAGGTATTGGGTCAGTCTCCCTGGCCATTTCAATGCATTTCAAGGTCACAGAACATTGGGAAGGGCAATCTTTTGGATGGGGGTGGAGGGCTTTTGGGGAATATCCCGAAAAAACCATTATGAAAACAACTAAGTGCTCTGAAACACATTTTAATGGCTATTTGGAAAAGCAATTCACTCCTCGGAACTTTCAGCAACTTAATTCTTTTCCCAGGCTGCTAGCTAATCTTTGGCACTCTGCAACAAGGTGATTGGCAAATGGAACTGCAAATATTACCGGGGTCTCCGAATAGCTCTCTGTCTATTATGCATCTCAGCATAAATGGGAGAGATGCTGCAGAGCCAGAGACCCTTCCAAAGAGGCAACTTAATTAAAACCGCTGCAGTTTTCTTGTTAATGGTAGGACAGGGAATGGCATTTACCTTGCATGTGGTTCACTGAAGGGCTTTGCTGGCTGCGTGTGCTACCGAAAGAGGAAGCAGGCAGTGGCACCATCAGGGTAGGACTTGGGGGGGGGGGGAAGGTCCCAGACTCCACTAAGCAGAATGAGCTGGTGGACCCCCAAATGCAGTGGGGCTGGCTTGCCACATTCTGAAGTAAGCAAAGTAAGATTCAGCATCCTCTGAAGAGCCTCTCTCCTGTAAGATATTTAAGTCTATATAGCCTGACCTAATGGAAGTGAGAGCTGGACCATAAAGAAGGCTGATCGCCGAAGAATTGATGCTTTTGAATTATGGTGCTGAAGGAGACTCTTGAGAGTCCCATGAACTGCAAGAAGATCAAACCTATCCATTCTGATGGAAATCAGCCCTGAGTGCTCACTGGAAGGACAGATCCTGAAGCTGAGGCTCCAGTACTTTGGCCACCTCATGAGAAGAGAAGACTCCCTGGGAAAGACCCTGATGTTGGGAAAGATGGAGGGCACAAGGAGAAGGGGATGACAGAGGACGAGATGGTTGGATAGTCTTCTCGAAGCTACCAGCATGAGTTTGACCAAACTGCGGGAGGCAGTGGAAGACAGGAGTGCCTGGCGTGCTCTGGTCCATGGGGTCACGAAGAGTCGGACACGACTAAACGACTAAACAACACAGCCTAACCTAACTACATCAGCGGGTTGGACTTGTCAACATGCAGAGGGCCGGGAGGCAAGCCTCTGCTGGGTCATTCCCTTCCAACCATCCCGCTGCAAAGACCATCAACTCTGCTCCGATGTAAATCAGCGACCTGCGCTTTAGAGCCAGGGCACACTATCAGCAGATCGAACTGCGCACACAGAATAGGCGTGAGGCTTGTGGAAGCATTCTACAGCTAAAGATTTATTAATCATAAATCAGGACAAAGAAACATGTCGTCTCTCTCTCATGTCGTCTCAGAGAGAACAGCTAAAAGCAAAAACTATACACACAACGGAATTTCCCAGCATACTGTGCTGGAATGTAAACAGACATGTGACACATGGCAATCCCATGTCTGTTCCTTAAGGTGGAATGGAAATGTCAACAGGACTAACGACAACGTTGACTGGTTGGACGATGGATACAGAAGAATGGTGGGAGGAAGCAGCTGGGGAACCCCCAAGGGAAGAAGGCTCAGTACCAGGGGATTGGTGGTAGGATGTCAATGAGTGGTCAGAGGGAGAAGACTGGGAGGAGGAGTTGGAAACTGAAGAGGTAACGGGGAGAATCTGCAGAAAACTGAAGTGCAGAAGCAGAAGCAGGGAAGATGAGAGGCCAAGAGGCAGAGATGAGTCAGGCTGCTGAAGGAGCATGGGGATCTCCCCTCCTGCTGTGACAAGCTCCCCTCCCTCCTGGTCTCCCAGGACCAGGAGAGGCATGAAGCGGAAGGAGCAAAGGCAGGTATGCTGGCATAGTCTCATATTGCTTGGAAAACCCCCCGGAAGGGGAATAGACTTAGGTGACTGTGGGAAGGTGGGGAACTTTAGTTTCTGCAACTGCCTCATATGGGGAGGGGGGGCAAGACCTACCTGCTCATTAGGCCCAGTATGCCTGTGTGGATCCCGCATTTCTAATAAGGAGATAATTTCACCCACTCTGTGTGATTTGCTGCAGGCTCGCTTCTGACAATGAGCTGGCTCTGCGTGCCATTGGCTCTGGTTCCACCTGCTGGCAGTCTCCCCATCTTCTACATCCCCCTCCCTTGCAGTGGAGTCAGCATTCTGGAACCCCGGAACTGGTTTTGAATCTTTGCTGTTGGCCTGCTGGAAGGCTGAATCCTCTTAAACCAGAAAAAAAGATAAGGTTAGCTGGAGGAGGCTAGGCATGGATGCCAGCCTTGTGGAGGCCTTGAACTGGGAGAATCTGCCTCCATAGCTTATTCATTCCAGAGGATGCCATGTTGTTTTGGGGAGTGACTGAGTGGTTTGGGTGGCAGGTGCTAGAGGGCAGGTTTACTGCGGGGGTGGGGGATCCTTGTGCCTCTCCAGGTGTGGTTGGATTCCTGCTCCCATCAGCTGTAGTCAGTAGGGCCAATAGCTAGGGATGGTGAGCCTAGGGCTTGCCGATTAGAAGGTTGGCAGTTCGAACCCCCGCAATGGGGTGAGCGCCTGTTGCTCGGTCCCAACTCCTGCCAACCTAGCAGTTCGAAAGCATGTCAAAGTGCAAGTAGATAAATAGGTACTGCTCCAGCAGGAAGGTAAACGGCGTTTCCGTGTGCTGCTCTGGTTCGCCAGAAGCGGCTTAGTCATGCTGGCCACATGACCCGGAAGCTGTACACCGACTCCCTTGGCCAATAAAGCGAGATGAGCGCCGCAACCCCAGAGTCATTCGCGACTGAACTGTCAGGGATCCTTTACCTTTACCTTTTTTTAACCTCTCTCTCTTTTTTTTGCCAATAAATTTTTATTAGTTTTCCATACAATTATACATTTTATACCAAATTTTAACAAATCATCTCTTTTTGAACTTCCTTCAGCGTCTCTGACAATCATCCATATTTATATCCTAAAAATCCTTTTTTTAACCTCTCAATGGCCACAGGTTTCCTATCCTTACCTAGCTATGTGTACTATTATGAATTTGGTTACTAGTTCCCAGTTCCGTACTTGCACAAATGTTCAAAAAAGAGCTCAGTCAGTAGACTTTTTGAAAGGAACTAAGGTTTATGGGGTGGCCCAAAGCTTATCATGGAGTGCACTCTCCTCCAATCCTTCTTTGTAAGTGCCATCTGGGCTCATCATGTACCAATTGGTGTTGCAGGGGCCCCCCCAGTTTGACTGGAGTATTACTGCGGATCTCCAAAGGGGCATGGGATGTTTGTGTTATTGAGATAGATTAAAGCTTATTTTGGGGTGCAGGGGCATATAAACTTCAGTTCCTTTTTAGGTTTCCATTTGTGCAGGGAAGGACCTGGGAATCAACTGTAAGGCTGCATCTAGACCCATCAAAAAAAGCCTTTCAGGAAACGTGTTGTAAACTTCATTAAGGGAAATCACGCTGGCGAAAGACAGGACTCCACAGAGCCATCTGGTGTCACAGTGCTAGAACTCATATAAAGCACATTTTCTTCACTAATGTAGCTGAGTCCCAGCTCCAATATTGCTGTGGTTATCTTCTTTTCACAGAATAACCGGATCATAGAATTGTAGAGTTGGAAGAGACCACAAGGGTAATCTAATCCAACCTCCTACCATGCAGGAATCTATTCCAAAGCTCAAATCCACAACCCTGAGATTGGGAGTCTCTTTCTCTACCAACTGAACGACAAGGTTCTTTGATAGACCCTTTGTCCTGTTCCAAGGAATACGCCTTATTCCACGGCCGATGGCTTGTCCATCTCGCCCAGTCCAGAAGCTATGGGAAGTTGTTCAACTAAAACTCCCATCAGCTCCAGCCACAGTCAGCCAATAGCCAGGGATGATAGGAGTTGCGGTTTAACGACATCTGGAGGTCCAAAGGTTCCTCACACCTGTAGCATGATCTGCTCCAGGGTTTCCCAAACCTAGGGTCTCCAGCTGTTTGGGGGACTACAACTCCCATCATCCCTCACCACTGGTCCTGCTAGCTATGGATGATGGGAGTTGTAGTATAAACAACTGCTGGAGACCAAAGTTTGGGAAACAAGGTTTGGTGAGCAGTGGCTCACCGGGGTCTTCAGACAGAGAGGTCTATCGGCTATCTGAGCTTTTTTTAACTGGAGGTGCCAGGTTTGGAAACTGGGGCACTGGGCGCTCCAGTACCCTGTGATTGAAGGACTGGAGCACGTGTTAAAGTAAATTTGCCCTGATTGCAGGAGCCAGACTTGAGTTAAGCTGCTGCTTTGAAGCATGTTTAAAAGTCCTTATTACCCTGTCTTAGAACAGTCCTTATTACCCTGCTGAGGAAGAGTACAGATCAAAACGTGTTGGGAATAAAAAACAATCCATGCAGCTGGTTTCTTTCTGTGCAAGCCCTGACTGCCCTCCCCATGGCAATTGATCCTCCTCCCTGCAATGTAAATGTCTCCCAACATGATGTCCCTGATCTATATGGAGAACAGGAGTGGATGAATCCGTCCATTTTGGTTTTTCTCATTTTTCAGTCTTCAATCCAGGTTGCCACACTTCCCCATAGGTTTACAAAACTGTAAAACAAAATAAAAAGTCACAGTGCCGATTCCTCAGCATTCTAGTGCAGATCTCTCTTAATAGACACATGCATATTTATGTACGTTATGAATTTTGCCCAATGTACACATATTTTTTTTTGCAAGCGATTTCCACTGATATACTGTAATGCATTCCTGTATGTCGCTGTCACGCGAATATCTGCATTTGTATGAAAGCTTTCCCCCAACAGACACATTTTGCGGCTGGAGGACTGCATCACAAAATTTGGAGAGGTGAGGCTTTCAAAGGGTGGCTGGATTTTGGCTCACGTTATTGTTTGGACGGGGTGGGGGTGCAAATCGGGGCGTTTGGCTTCGTGATTTAAAATGCAAACTGTGCCGAATTTCTTTAACAGGCGAATCCTTCTAAATGTGAAATGGGGAGAGGGGAGATCAGTTCCTGGGATGAGGCTGTGTTTGCCCACAGGCTCCCCAGGGCGAAACATAACGACATGTATGGCTGCTTCAAAATGCCCGGGATAACGTCAGAAAAGTCTCAGTGTACTTCCATCTCAGCTTCTTATTCTTCCTTGTAAAATGAGATGATTCCAACTAATTTATCAGGGCTGCTTTGGGGAAGGCAAAAATAAAAAAGGTAACATAAGAACACAAGAAGAAACCTGCTGGCTAAGACCAAAGCCGCAGCTAGCCATTATTATTATTATTATTATTATTATTATTATTATTCCGGTACTCCATAGCAGGGTGCCTCTAATCCCAGAGCCAGCATTTAGTCATCATGCCTAGCAGCTATTCATATTTTCCTTCCACATATGCTTGCCTTAATGCCCTTTCCAAGGCCAAGTAAGCTTAGTGACCACTGCTGCCTCTTGTGGCAGAGAGTTCCATAAGTTAATCTGTGCAGTTGCTTATTTAAAATGTGGCATGAAACCCAGCGGTTTATTATGGCAGATACGGGAGTGGTGTTCGACCAGTCTGCCCTTTGCCAGCCTCCTCCTGCCTGCTTTCTTTCTTTCTTTTTCCCTCCTGCCTGCTGTCTTAAACCCTAGCTAGGATGGCTGAAACCGACTGTCAGCTTCCTTCTCCTTAGTCTGTGTTTTGCCTTTGCAGAACTCAGTAGGGGCTGGATCTACACTGACTGTAAAAACGCTTAAAAAAAGAGAAATATACAGCTCTCAATGCAATTTTACATTGATGGTTTTACATTGCTCTACAGCGCCCTCTGGTGTCACATGCTTAAAACACATTTATTTCAAATGACCAGTATAGGATGAGGATTGAGATAAAATGAGAATCAGTTAGCTCTGCCTGTCACTCGCTCTCTGGCGCCACCTACTGTTGGCCTTCCTTGCCTTTTGCACAACCAAGTCCCTTCTCTCTCCTTGCCTGGAAGTGCAAACACCAGACAGCCATGCAATTGCCACAAAACTAACCAACCAGTTGTGTAAACTGCTTTGAGGTTTTTACAGTCAAGCAGTGTGTAAGTTTTATGAAATAAATAAAATAAACAAACCCACTGCACGCCAACCGCCGCTGGTTACATCAATGCAATAATTCATTTGGGGGTGGGAATTGAGAGATTCCTTCTTCATTTTAGAATCTAAAAGGTGTCGAAGGCACAACTGCTCTTTCTCCATATGCAAAAGCCACAGCATTGGGGGGGGGCGGACTGGGGAGGTCACATTTTGGTTATTGCCAAGCAGGCTTAACCCATGTTGCTTTCCCCTGTTCCCTAGGATGCAAGAAGACGAGAATGAAGGGGCTAAATTGCGTTCCAGTTCCGGCATCCAGTGGGAGCCAAGTAAGGGTCACGAGACACATGAAACACCACTATTAGGAACACAGGAAACAGCTGTATACCATCTAGCTAAATGCCGTCTGCATTGACTGGCAACAGGTTCCAAGATTTCAGGCAGAGGTCATCCTCAGGCCTGCTTGAAGACATAACCCCCAACCGATGAAAACAGAGGCATCCTATTCCACAACAATAATAATTTTACTATTTGTACCCTGCCCATCTGACTGGATTTCCCCAGCCACTCTGGGTGGCTTCCAACATATATAAAAATGTAATAAAACATTAAACATCAAAAAACGTCCCTTCAGATGGCTCAGGAGTCGCATAACTCCATAACATGTCAGGAGTTCAGCCTACACTTGAGTAGGACCCTGGCAGAGACACATGCCTGACTGGCATGTTCCCTCCCTCCTGGTCGATCGTTCGGGAGCTTCATAAGTTTTCTTCTGCCCAAACATCACAGCGACCGATGCCAACCGACTTAGGGATCCGCAAAGTCTTCTCAGCATTGCATGACGGACCTCAGCAACTCAGCATTTTGGCTAATCTACTTTATTTACATGTAAACACACACGGAGCACTGCAACATGGCTCACTCTCTCTCTAGCATCAGATAGCAAAGAGAAAAAGAGCAAAGGACAATAGTCCCACTTCACGGAACACAGTAACACAAACATCCTGTCTCCGTCACTTCCTACTCTGTGGAGTCAAAACATACACCGTCATATGAAAGACAAAAATCCCATGACTGCAATCATGGAGCAGGAATTCTAACATAATCTCCATCATTTCTCTGATGAAAGTAGGGACGTCTTAAGGGAAAGCGGGACATTCTGGGATCAAATCAGAAACCAGGACGGCTTCTGCAAATCCGGGACTGTCCCTGGAAAATAGGGAGACTTGGTCTGCACAGATTGAACCTTCTAAATGGAAATGAGATTCCCTACCACTAAGCCACAGCCCATCCCCATTCTTGGCCTCCGTGAGCATTGGGGGCTTCAGCTGACAAAGCCCTGCTCACATTCCTTCTCCCTGCCGCTTTCCCTGCAGCACCCCATCGGAAGAAGATGCTGATGCTGCCAACGCTGGCTTTTAACATAATTATCCAGTCCTAAACACAGTAGAGTTTGAACCCGCGCCAGGAAAAATGTAGCAGTGAAATGAGGAGGAGGAGGAAGGGAGCTGAGGGGTGGGAAGCACAGCCAGGAGTGAGGCAGGAGAAGGCTCAGGCTGATGCTGGAACTCAATTCTGCAAGCATCTAGTGCAGGGATGGGGAACCAGCGGGCAACCAGGCACTGCTGGACCACAGTTCCCATCGTCCCTGAGTTATACTGGCTGGGGCAGGTAGTTCAAGTTGTTTGGAGAGCACCATATTGGCTATAGCCGGTTTGATCTATAGAATGGGGAGATAAAGTTGGGGGCAGTGTGTGTGTGTGTGTGTCGGAGAAAATAGCCTGGTTACCTGAATCCCAGATTTAGCTCCTTCCCCTCCTGGTCCTGAGAAGGGGGCTAAAACCCCGAGACTTCAGTCAAGCCCTGAGACTCGATAGCCCAACTACAGAACCAGGTACACACATGCACGACTATAGCAGGAGGGATTTCCAGCAATAAAACGATAGGCCGTTTTATTGTACAGACCTTGCGTAGATGTGTGTGGATCTCCTGCCTGTTTTATCTTAATGTAACCCTCTATGGGGCTGGTATGGCAAGGGAAGGCTGGGTAAATTAATAATAATAATAAACAAGCAAACAGATGCAACAAATGTGTAATGAAATGTTGTGGATGCATTGCATCCCTTAGTTAACAACAACAACAACGACAACAATTTATTTATACCCTGCCCATCTGGCTGGATTTCCCTAGTCACCCTAGGCAGCTCCCAACAGAATATTAAAAACACAACTAAACATCACAGATTAAAAACTTCCCTAAACAGGGCTGCCTTCTAAAATCTTCTAAAAGTCCGATAGTTGTTTATTTCCTTGACTTCTGGTGGGAGGGCGTTCCCGAGGGCAGGTGCCACTACTGAGAAGGCCCTCTGCCTGGTTCCCTGTAACCTCACTTCTCGCAGGGAGGGAACCACCAGAAGGCCCTCGGAGCTGGACCTCAGTGTCCAGGCTGAATGATGGGGGTGGAGACTGGGCCGAGGCCATTTAGGGCTTTAAAGGTCAGTACCAACACTTTGAACTGTGCTCAGAAACATACTGGGAGCCAATGCAGGTCTTTCATGCTGCCCATATGTGATTTTTTATGATGATCCTTATCATTTCTTTTTCCTTCTGCAGCCCTTCTTCTGCCGGAAAGCGAGACTGAAGAGGGAACCTCTTGTCTGTTCCTTGACTTGGAACAGCACTGTCCCCCGCCACGTAAAACCTCGTAAGCACTATTTACGTCAGTGTTCTCCTGGGTCATAAGAATGTAATTTCCAGGGACAGGGTTATCCAGCTTTGGTGTCCTCTGAAGGAGAGAATACTGAAGGCTCAGGATATATTTCCAAATAAACTAGGCTTTATTTCACCCGGGTCAAAGTTCCAGTTTGGCACACCTCCCCACGTGCATTTGTGTACGTACACACACACAGAGACACACACACACAGGCCCCCTCTGGAGGCTTCACCTGGGGCAAAAAAACTTGCTAGCCCCTGCTCCCCACCAGAGCTACAGCTCTGCCTTAAGAGGTGTCGAGAGACAATGAACAAGTTTCCAAAATATGTAGTAGATAGCTAAGATAAAACCAATCAACAGTGTGGTGTAGAGATTTCAGCTTTCTTTCTCCCTCCCCACACTTCCCCTCCACAGGCGTCAATACTTGAAGCGGATCATTGCAGAATATGAGGCACTGGACATGGAAATCCCGTGTATTCGCAAGTTCCCCAAGCCACCAGCTGCCCGGCCCCTTTGCCTCTGTCTGGAGAGTCCGGTCAGTCTTCAGGAAGGAATCATTTGGCTGGTGGGAGGTGGGAGGAACAGACTGGGGGTGTGGAATCTCTGGGCCGCTGGGACCATATAACACTGGTCCTGAAAGGCTTACCATTGGCTCTCAGTATGTTTCCAAGCACAATTCAAAGTGTTGGTGCTGACCTTTAAAGCCCTAAATGGCCTTGGCCCAGTATACCTGAAGGAGCGTCTCCACCCCATCATTCTGCCCGGACACTGAGGTCCAGCGCCGAGGGCCTTCTGGCGGTTCCCTCCCTGCGAGAAGTGAAGGTACAGGGAACCAGACAGAGGGCCTTCTCGGTAGTGGCACACGCCCTGTGGAACGCCCTCCCATCACATGTCAACGAAATAAACAACTACAGTGGAACCTCAGTTTTTGAACGTCATCCGTTCCGGAAGACCGTTCGGCTTCTGAAAAGTTCGAAAACCGAGAATCAAAGAGCTGGGTGCAAAGTCAATGGGGAAAAAATGAAAAATGCACATTGGAAGATGTTCGGCTTCTGAAAATTGTTTGAAAACGGAAGCATTCACTTCCAGGTTGTTGGTGTTCGGGTTCCAAATTGTTCAGCTTCTGAAGCGTTAGACAACCGAGGTTCCACTGTATCTGACTTTAAGAAGACATCTGAGGGCAGGCCTGTTTAGGGAAGTTTTTGAATGTTTTACTGTGTGTATGTTGGAAGCTGCCCAGAGTGGCTGGGGCAACCCAGTTAGATGGGTGGGGTACAAATCAAGAAAGACAATATTGCTGTCACATGACTGTCACATGTAAGATGAAGCAAGCTTATTTTCGTCTGTTCTGGAGGGTAGGACTCGAACAATGGCTTTGAGTTACAAGGTAGGAGATTCTGACTAAACAGCAAGAAGAACTTTCTGACAGTTAGAGCTGTTAGACAGTGGAATGGTCTCCCTCGGGAGGATGTGGACTCTCCTTCCTTTTAAGCAGAGGCTGGATGACCATCTGTCATGGATGCTTTATAAAGCCAAGATTCCTGCATTGCAGGGGGTTGGACTAGATGACCCTGGGGGTCATTTCCAATTCTTAAATCGTGGTGCCCAGAATACAATATCTTACGCAAAAGAGTGCAGTGCAGAGTTTAATGTAACTGAGGACCCTGAAAGAAAGACTGGCTTAGCTGTACATGTCCTGTTTCCTAGACTTCCTTTAAGAAGGTTGCTGGCACCTCATAGTGAGTGGTCAGAGTGGATGACTTGGGATTCTCCCTTTGCCTTTTAGCCTGAAAAGGAGATGAACCATGCAGAGGTCCTGGCAGCAGTAGAGGAAGCCATTCCAGATGCGTTTGAGTCAGGACTCCTGCGCAGCATCCAGTTTGAGAACATCAATGTGATCTGCGGGACGGCTGGACGGAAGAACAGGTTAGACCAGGGGTCAGCAAAGTTTTTCAGCAGGGGGCCGGTCCACTGTCCCTCAGACCTTGTGGGGGGCCGGACTATATTTTTTTGGGGGGGAATGAATGAATTCCTATGCCCCACAAATAACCCAGAGATGCATTTTAAATAAAAGCACACATTCTACTCATGTAAAAACACGCTGATTCTCGGACCGTCCGTGGGCCGGATTTAGAAGGTAATTGGGCCACATCCGGCCCCTGGGCCTTAGTTTGCATACCCATGGGTTAGGCAATTTTACTGTTTATATCCTGCCCATCTGACTGGATTGCCTCAGCCATTCTGGGTGGCTTCCAACATATATAAACATAATAAAACATTAAACATTTTTTTTAAAGTCTTCCCTATATAGCCGGCTCAGGAGTCAGATAACTCCATACCCTCCAACATTTCTCTGATGCAAATAGAGACGTCCTAAGGAAAAGCGGGACATTCTGGGATCAAATTGGGAACCAGGACGGCTTCTCTAAATTAGGGACTGTCTCTGGAAAATAGGGACACTTGGAGGGTCTGTAGTTGTTAGGGTGTGCATTGTTGTATGCAGCTCTTGATGTGTGTGTGTGTGTGTTTTTTAAGGAAGTTGCAGTCCACAAGTATTTTTTATTAAATAAATAAGAGTACAAACACCTCCCCCTTCCTTATCTCCCCACACAGGTGGCTGATCACAGTGTCAGACTTCCGGACGCGGAACCAGCTCCTGTGTTCAGGACTGACTTTGGGTGAAAACCACTTCGTACTGCGCCGTTGGGACGATTTGGTGATGGAGGACTATCGCATGCACCTCCGGAGGGCCCTCGCACGCCAACGCCTGCTGGACACCCTTAGTGACAACTGGGACGGGAACCAGTTGGATGGGATATGAAGTCCTGGGAAGAGAACTGTCAGCAGCAGAGAGAAACACGCTGTTTGTCTGTGTATATTTTGCTTCTTTTCCCCCCACTATAGAGACTCCCCTTTGGTAGGATGGAGATCCAGCCTGCCAGCTACTCCTGCTGAGAGCAAATTTGGGGAAAGGGCACCCCCTGGAGGCAGCTTGCGGGACTTCCCCTCTCATACGTTGCCAGCACAGTACAGTGTTTCATATAGGGACATGGGTGGCGCCGTGGTCTAAACCACTGAGCCTCTTGGGCTTGCCAATCGGAAGGTCGGTGGTTCGAATCCCCGTGACAAAGTGAGCTCCTGTTGCTCTGTCCCAGCTCCTGCCATCCTAGCAGTTTGAAAGCACGCCAGTGCAAGTACCGGTAGATAAATAGGTCCTGCTGTGGCGGGAAGGTAAATGGCGTTTCCGTGTGCTCTGGTTTCTGTCACGGTGTCCCGTTGCGCCAGAAGCAGTTTAGTCCTGCTGCCCACATGACCCAGAAAGCTGTCTGTGGACAAACGCCGGCTCCCTCGGCCTGAAAGCGAGATGAATGCCACACATCCCATAGTCACCTTTGACTGGACTTACCCGTCCAGGGGTCCTTTACTTTACTTTTACTTTTTACAGTGTTTCATGTTTCATGTGCAAGGGCTCAAGCTGGCAGGCAAGTCATGCATCTTGATCTGTAAGCCATTCCTTGTTTTTCATGCAGGCAATGTGGAGGTGATCTTTCAGGGATGAGCAGAAACGCTTCATCTTATTAGTGGTTCATGCACGAGACTTTTAATCTCAGGGTCATTGGGCAAAAGATTCCTTCATTGCAGGGGGTTGGACTGGATGATCATCGGGGTCCCTTTCGAGTTCTGTGAGTCTATGTCTTCTAGGGCTTGCGGTTTGTAGTTTTGAGCCTTGGCAAGGCCTTGTTCAGAGGTGCGCAACTCTGGATCTCAGCTCCCATCTGCCTCAGCCGGCATGGCCAATAGTCAGGGATAATGGAGGTTGTATCCCAACATCTTCAGGGCACTACATGTTGACGACGCCTGGTTTGCTAGTCTTAAACTGGTAGGTTGGGATAAGTGCGTCATATGCAGACCTAAAGTGGGTCACACACAGGAAGCATAATTTTTGTAGTTGTTGAGATTTTTTAAAGGGAAGTAGAAATTGTGCGTGCATATGTATATAATATGTGCAATGGATGTATATAGGGCATTGGTGGGGAGGAAAGAAAGAATTAGGAGAGAAGATGGAAGGAAAGAAGATATGAGAGAACAGAAAAGCGGGGATGAAAGGGGGTGAGTAACAACAAATAAATGTGAGAGCGAAAGAAAGGGAGGTGAAAGGCAAAGAGGATGAGGAATGAGGAAAGAGTGAAAGAATTGTAGTTAGAAGGGACCCTGAGGGTCATCTGACCCAACTCCCTGCAATGCTGGAATCTGAACACACGGTTCCCCATCCAAATTAAAACCATATCAGACCCTGCTTAGCTTTGTAACGTGCTAGCAGTTTTATTGCTGCGCCACGTCTAGACTCCAGTGTTTGGGCCACACCCATTGTTGGCTTTTTTTTTTTTTTGGTATTCATATTTTATCGAAAGAATTTCAATTATAAAGCAATTGTGATGCAGAGGGGACAAAAAACAAAAGAAAAATGAGAAAAGAACAAAAATCTCTGGCATACAGCGCTTGGAGGGTTGGCTAACAGGGAATGTGAAAAAGGTTGGTCCGGCCTGCTTTAGCCAGCGTACTTAGGATTGCAACCTCAGTATGCATTAAGGATGGAGTACTCGCAAAGCCACTTAATTAAGGCAGATGAGGAAAAAGGGAGAAAAGTCTTGATAGCACTTTGTTGCAGAAGCTGAACAAAACAGCACATAATATGAAGAGGAAGGAACGGAGGGTTCTTACCTCAGGCCTTTTACAAAGCAGGGAGACATTCAACTAAACATACTGAGAAGAACCTTCCTCAGAACTACACAGCTGATCAGAGCAGATGTTACCTTGGTGAGGATCATGCCACTCTGACTGGTCACTAAGCAACACCTACCTACCTACCTACCTACCTACCTACCTACCTACCTGAACACACACCTTCCCAGTTAGCTGCCCTGGGCCAGAGATTACCCAGTGCAAGTATACATGAAATTGAATTGAGTCCTGAATTGTTGACTCTGATCCATTTCATAGGCTTTTTACTGCTGGAGCAACCTTTGCCAGAAGGCCAAGAACAGGTAAGAGTCAGGAGCCTGCCTCTGAAAACTGGCAGTGCTTACAGTATCTTAATTTCAAACCTAGAACCAATATGAGGTGTTTGACAACAGAAGCTAGAATGATAATAGTTTCATGGTTTGGTGTTGCTGAACTGTTTTCCTGCTTTTAAAGCTGCACCACACCCACCCACCCACCCACCCAGAAAAAGTAGCCCCAGAATTGTTTTAAAAATGTTAATAATGAATAGTTTCCTTCTGGAGCAATGAGAAGGATTTCTGACAGACCCCAAAGCAGGAAGGCCACCAACCTAAACTGGTTCTATCAGGGCAGCTCTTTCGTTCCTGGCTCCAGCTTATCTCCAGGCCACGAATGCTGAAATGTTTGCGTACATTTCAACGACTATTTCCATTCGCTATAAGCAAGGGAGGCTTAATTCTTGGGAAGCGGCAAGTTTTTTTTAATTGTGCATCAACTTGCATTATCATATGCCTTTATGGTGCCTTCCAGAATGATGTGCAAACCACTTGGATGAAACTCTAAGGATCAGTGTGCTGCAGTCATTTGTATGTTCAAATCCTTTCATACATTTTTGGTGGGCTTTTTTTTGTAGTATAAGCCAGGAGGAGCCTTTTCACCTGCCACCGAAACCACGATAGTCAGAAGCCCCCCGAGAAGAGACAGAGTGGGTAATAACAGCCGCAAGAGTGCCCCTGCACATGTGCAGAATGCACCCAGCCATCCGAAGGGCGTTTCTGCAATGTGCATGGCAGTCATCGGCTTTTCGCCGTTGGCATGGTCGGCAGGTGCCAAGAGCAATATTTTGCCTCTGAGGGACCAGTGGCAGAGTATGTCTACCACTGCCCTCAGCACCTTTTCCCTGCTGCTTAATGATCAGAAGGTTGGTGGTTCAGATCCCCACGACAGGGTGAGCTCCCGTTGCTCGGTCCCTGCTCCTGCCAACCTAGCAGTTCGAAAGCACGTCAAAGTGCAAGTAGATAAATAGGTACCGCTCCGGCGGGTATGTAAACAGCATTTCCGTGCGCTGCTCTGGTTTTGCCAGAAGCGGCTTAGTCATGCTGGCCACATGACCCGGAAACTGTATGCCGGCTCCCTTGGCCAATAAAGTGAGATGAGCGCCGCAACCCCAGAGTTGTCCATGACTGAACTTAACGGTCAGGGGTTCCTTTACCTTTTTAATGTCCTTATTTTATGCTATTTTGGGGGTTCCCCCCCCCCATCGGTTGTAGACAGCCCTGAGTGATGAAAACACATTTGGAATATTATTATTCGAAATAATAATAATAATAATAATAATAATAATAATATATTAAAAACTGTGGCATAAAAAGACTTTTTAGAGACGGGCAGCACGACCTAGGAATGTTTAATGTGAAGCGAGTCCTACTGAGTTCAGCGAGACTTCAAGGCATCCTGACAGAAGGAGCCGTGACTACATTTCCCAGCATGCCTTTCAAGTTAGGGCGGCCGCGGGTAGGGGGCGAAGCGCCGTGTGCGCGTGGCGTTCTTTCTTTCTTTTCCTTTCTTTTCAAAAAGGAAGCCTTGAGGGGGGTGAGAAAATACCCGCCACCTGTTTCAGCAGTGGCTTAAAGCGGCGTGGGCGGACTACACTACCCAGCGTGCCTCGGGATAGGTGGACTACGCAACCCAGCATGCCCAGCGGGGTAGAAATAAAAGAGAACCGTGGAATATGCGCCGCAGTGCGTGGTGGGAAATGTAGTCCGCGGGGCGTGAGGGAAACTTAAAACCGGAGCCGTAGCCTCCTCCTGAAACCTGACAGGGGGAGAGCCCAGCGGTCAAAGCCGTTGCCGTCCTTCTCCCGCTTCCCCTCTGAGGCGACGCCGGGGTAGGCACTGTGCGCGCTCGGAGGAAGGACGCAGGTTGTTTCTCAGATGTGCAGGAGGCGTGCCCATCAGCTCTTGGGTCCCCAGACGTTGTTAAGGCTACAAAAATATATAGCCAGTTGTTAGGGATGATGGGAATTGTAGTCCAACGACATGGGGTGTGAGGACCAAGGCTGGAGAACCCCGTCTGTGGCGGCCTCGCCTTCCATATGTTTTTGGGCAACGGCTGCCTCCAGCCCGTAGGCTGCAGAAAGAGCTTGTGAGTCTTTCTAGGCGCAGGTGTTTCCCAAAGTTGAGTCTCCAGCTGTTTTTTTTTTAACTACACCTCCCATCATCCCTAGCTAGCAGGAAAAGTGGTCAAGGATGATGGGAATTGCAGTCCTCAAACAGCTGGAGACCCATGGTTGGGAAACCCTGGGTTAAGGTTTGGTTGAGTTGGGCAGGTGGTGAGAGGGACATGGATGGGATGGGACATGGAGGGTATCTTGAGCAAGGGTCCTGCAAAATACAGAGTTAACAACACTGCCTCCCATCCCCAAAAGGCAAGGGATGGTTGGTTCTCCTGCCATTGGGTTGCCATATGTTCTCTTTTCCCCCAGGACGCACCCTCTTTTTTATGGGTAGAGTCACAGCGATCCATAGTTAAAAGCAGAAGTTGGCAAGCGTGTAATCCTTTTTGGCTCTTCACAATACAGTATGGCAACCCTAGCTGCGAGTTCTGTGTTTGGTGTTGGCCTCACATTGAACTGGCCGTGACTCAGTGCTGTGACACTCTCCTAGAGGTGCGGACGTGTGGTTTGCAGTGACAAAGCTTAATTTGGGGTATTCAACTTCAGCCCGTGGGTACATGCCTTTTTATAGTGTATCATGCCCAAGGAAAGCATTGAGCTGGATGCGACTCCATGCCATTTCGTTGAGGACAGTCTCCTGGATGTGTGGGTCTATGGTTTGTGGTGGCCCAAAGCTTATTTTGGGGTGTATACCCCCAGTTCTTTATTCTTTTCTACATTTTTTCAATAAATAAGAGAAAGTGTCATCATCCTACTTAAACATTATGTACCAAACAAAGCAACCTTTCAAACATTATTTTCTATTTGAGCCTAATCAGTTGTTTTGGCTAATATTATAGTTAAGATGTCCAGTACCCAATATACAATATCCAGTTAAATTATATATCCAATATCACAAGAAAACCTTTATGTTGTTAAAACATTTAAAAACTGTATTTTATTCAAGGAAGCGGTAAATTCCTACTCCTTACTCTTTCCCACATATATTGGCTATTATAGTTGTGGGTATGTACCCTTAACGGTGTCCTGTGCTCAGGGAAAGTATTGGTCCAGGTGCATTTCAATGTTGTCTAATAGTGGACACTCTCCTGGAGGTGTGGAGGTATGATTTGGGTCACCCAAAACTTTTTTTGTTATGTTCACACACAGTTCCTTATTCTTTTCTACATATTTTGCATATTATTGCCATGGGAGTGCCATACTTGACAGTGTCCAAAAGAAGCATTGTACTGGATATGATTTGATGTGTTATTGTAGCAGATACACTTTTGGCGGTGCAGATGCATGATTTGGGGTGGCACAAAGTTTTATGTTGTATACCCCAGTTCTTCTCTACACATTTTGGGTATGGGTGCTATGTTTAACATTGTCCTGTGCCCAAAAGAAACATTTGGGTAGATGTGATACCATGCCATCTTATAGAGAACACTCTCCTGGAGGTGTAGAGGTACAATTTGCGTTGGCCCAAAGCTTATTGTGGAGTGCATACCCCTAGCTTGTTTGTTATTGTCTTTTGTGACTATTATGGGAACCTATGAATGTTGTGAAAACACAACAGTTTGGAGTAGTCAATTACTGTGAATCTTGAAATGGACAGTCCCATACTCATGATGATATGGAGCATGGCAAAGCTGATTTTGAGGTTTACAGACATACAAATTTTAGTTTTTAAACAAATTTTCTGATTGCACTATTTTGAACTGTCCTGTCAATAAGAAACTGGGAACTAGTAATCAACTTCATCATAGCAGGGAATGAGGTTTTTCCTAGCAAGCTGAATGATGGTTGGGAGTTTAATACCTAAAAAGGGCCACCTCCTTCCTTTAAAAAGTGTCAAACTAGATGTTTGCTTAATATGTAGGATGCAGCTACATATCTTGCTCTATGTGTGTGTGATTCTTGTAGGGAATCCAGAATGCCAGTAGAGCTATCTCTCCTCTCTCCTCTCCTCCACCACCATTCTACAGAAACGCAATAGCCCAGCTGGGATGGATCAGATTGGAAGGGATAATTTTCCTTATGGGTTGGCTTCCTTTTTCTTTAGGGATTCCCCCCAAAATAGAATTACAGAAGGCTTTATCCCAGTCTGGCTGAACTATCTGACGCACCCTAGTCTCTTTAGTTGCTTTGGAAGTATTTGAGCCCTACTGCCAAGGACTCATTCCTTCAGCTTCAGGAGAAAATAAACGAAATGAGCTTTGGATTTATTCTCCCCTAAGACCAGATGACACTCAAACTCACAGTAATTTGTGATCTATGTTTAGAACACAAAGGGAAAGCTTTACCAACCGTGCAGTTTGCACATGGAGATGATTTTAATACAACATTCCTTTTATAAAGGAAGAACAAACTATGGAGCAGTATGCTATGTGTTAAAAAAAGCCCTCTAGTTTGGCCCTATGCTTTCTGCCACACCATAGGAATCTTGATCTTGATTTCATACAGCAGAAGGGATTCATTCGGGTATGGTGTTTCAGGTATGTAGCAGGAGGTTAGGAGCAAGGGAAATACAACTGCTTCTTGAGTTTCCTTAGTGTTCTTCATTCTGGTTCAGGACGTTATCCAGCTCATAAATGGGGTGGGTGGATTTTCTTATTAACTCAGGTTTTACAGAAAGACACTCCAGTAATATTTTATGTGGATTTGAGTCACCTTGCTTGCAGGAATTTTTCTTATGCGGTGTGTTCTTCTCTGCAGTTTTCTTATGATGTGCCCCTTACTCAGTTCAGAGGGATGGTGGATTAGACCCCTAAGCCTGCCTCAGAGGGCATGACCCCAGTCTGATCCAAAGCCCATTGGCCGTGCAAAGACACTTGCTGGGGAATCAGGCTCCCTGATCGTTAGTGCAGCCCTGCAGTCTTCATTGATGCGAAGTGAGGCCAGAGGCTTGCTAGTAAATGTCTGCCAAATTTCTATGCAGACATTCTCTCAAGTGTGGCTAGTTGGGGTGGAGAATGTTATTATGAACAATACTTATATTTTTATTCTACCCATCCTCCAAGTTGCTCTCAGTATATCTGTCCCCGAACCAATTTTATCCTCACAACAATCCTGTGAGGTAGGTTAGGCTGCATGTAGACTATCCAGAGAACTTGCTGTGGCATCTGACAGAAAAGAGATGGCTTGTTTGGTCTCTTTCCAGACATTGGGTTGTAGCCAACTGCCTGCTATATTCAAAGTAGAACCATTGAAATCAATGAGCATGATCTCAGTGGGTCTACTCTTGAAGTTTGACTTACTTGGATAGAGCCCAGTGTCTTTGGTTTCCTTTGCTACTCCCATACATGGATCTACTTCACTCTTGCCTCTGTTCTCTTGCCTCCTGGCTCCTCCTCTTATAAAGGAAGTTTTGCTGTATGGATAGTTGCTGGATAGGCTATAGCTGCACAGCAGGACCTGGAACTGCTATCCCATTCATCTTCTTTTGCCTGCATCCACTCCAGATATGTAGTGTTATGTCAGGATGATTATAAGAGGGAGCTGAGGGCCATAGCACTAGTTGCCTGCCTGCTCCTACCTTCCCGAGTCCCCAAATTTCATTTTTTTCCAAAAGAATGTTTTCAGAATTGTTATTATTCCTGCATACTCCCACAATACTAGTCTAGAACATAATGGTGTAAGGTCAGGCAGCGCCTCAAATGTCTGTTGAGCGATACAGACATTTCTTGCATGTCACTGTTGGAAATCACAGTCTAATCAAGATGGGCAATTGGTCTTACCAGCAAGGGAAATCTTTTGTTCTGTTCGTTTCCCTCATTCACAGGCCTCAACAGCCCAACTCCCAGGAGCTGCTGTCTGGTATATTCATGGGATCAGGTATGAGTACTGGATCTGGGGCAACAGAGCTGATGGAGTTTCTCCCCTGCTCCTGATTTACCTCTTGCGGCCATTTGCACATCATTGGTTATTCATTAGTTCATTATCTGCCTACCCCCACCCGCTCATAATTCTTCCTCATTGGTGTTTAAGGCAATATATTCCCTGATAATCTTCCATCCAAGAACTGACAAAGCCCAGGCCAGCTTGGCTTCAGCATGTCTGGTTCATTTTGTGCCATTAAACCATGCCCTGGACATTATTGAAGGGTCTGGCAATGGACTACATAACGACTACAGCAGGAATGAGCAACCTGATGGCCTTGAGGTGCTGTTGGACTACAGCTCCCATCATCTATGACCATTGGCCATGCTAGTTGAAGCTCATGGGAGTCCAATTACATCTAAAAGGCCACCGGTTCTCCACCCATGCTCTAACATTATTTTCAGTATCGGACCCATGTATGCCTTTTTTTTTAAACTGGTTTGACTTCCTAGTGCAAGAGCTTTTTTTTTGATAAAGTGAGGTGAAACCAGCCTAGTGTGGAGATGCATCGCAGGAAATTACTTGTGTTGTGAAAAGGCCTCAGATACATCTGAGCTCAGTTAGTTCTTGATTGGCTGGACTATTGCAAAAATAGCCCTGCGATGATTGAGAATGGTAGGCAAAGGGCTGTATCTGTGACTTTGTAAGGAATAAACACTAGCTCGACACCTTTTCATCAGTATGATTTCCTAGGATGTTGGTGTCTTTCACCCACCCACCCCAGATAATCAGCTTGGAAAACTAAAGCAGATTCTTACTGTCAGTTTTGCCTCCTGCCTGGTAAAACTCCACCAGGTTTAGCAGTAACTTGGCAAGCCGTATACCTTTTGTTTATCGGAAAACACTGCATGTGGCTAAGTTATAGCCTTGCGTCTTCCTCTTTCTCTCACATAAACGGATGCAAAAACACCTGGGGGCCCCCTCTGTATCCCATAGAGTTTATATTTGCAAATAAAATCAGTAAATTACATTAGTTGCTCTGCACAGGCATTGGAGGCAGAGACAGGGCCTCTGGCCCAGGACAAGAGGTTTGGTAGAGGAAGGTAAAAAGGGAGTGTGAGAGAGAGAGCGTGAGTGATTTAGTCTGTCCTGCCTGGATGCCATAGGATGGGCTTAGTCAGCACAGGATCAATTACATTCATCTTGGAGATTCTGCTCTCAGGGTGAGGTTTCCTAGAGGTACAGTTTCTTTGCGGGGTGAGAGGAGGACTGAGAATCCTGGGTTGAGGAACCGCTCTAGGGGTGGGAGTGCAGATGGTGCAAAGAGCCATTTTCTCTAGCAAAGGGCAAAAATAAATAAATAAAGTGGCTGGGTTATAGAGCAGAGACCTAGAACCCTGGCACTCTAGAGCATGTAGCTAAGAGAAGGTTCTAGAATGGCAGGAGCCAATTCTCCCAGCACAAGAACCAGAAAAGATCCTCAAGCGAATAATTCAGATCCACCCAGTTGGGCTTTGTGGGATGAGGTGGGAAGTGAAGGCCTTTTGGGACCAAGCTGGGCCCTTAGAGCAGAAACTCTGTGCCAGGCTTGAGGATGAGATGGGAAGTCAGGAATTGGGTAGGAATCTTGAGAGATGGAGAAACTACACCTCTTGGCTCAGGAGCCAATCTGGGTCATTGCAAAGGTGCAGTTGTTAACAACTGGGATTTCTGGGCTCTCTCCAAGAAAAATGTGGGTGGAGGGGGGTGAGATGAAAGAGGGGGAAGTCTATTATACATCACACCTGGGTGCTACAAGGCCAGGTGTGGAGGGCAATTATAAACTTGGTGACTCACACCAGAGGAGAGGATTAAATGGGGTGGAGGGGAGTGTACCAACCTCCTTCCCTGTAGCCCCTGTCCCCCACCCAGCAACCACAAAAATCAAAACACAACCCAGTGTCAAATGCAGGCATTACCACCCCTTTCCCCCTCCCCTCCCCCTCCCCAATAATCATTCCCAGGGAACAGATCCCTGAATCACAAAGTCAACATTACATATTTCATTTCAGTACATTAAGGCAAGAGGATTCAATGCTGCGGTTCTCAACCCTTCTAGGACCAGTACACCCTCAGACAACCCAGTTTAATGCTGGGAAATTTATAATCCCTTCTTGGAGAACCCAGGAGTCCTGCCTCTGCCTCAACCCATTCAGCCCAAGTGTCTTTTTGAAGAACTCAGGATTCCCTGGGTGACTCCTAAATCCCCTTTCGCCCCATATGCATTAGATCCCACTTTCTGCCCAAATATGAGGACTAGATCTTTAGCTAAAAGCAGTATCTTATCCAAATTTTGACTAAGTAGTTGCTCACTCTTTCTAGAAAGCTGAGGAATCCTGCCTTCTGGAGTTTCTGACCTGCTTGCTTCATTCCTCTTAAATCATACACTTCTCCCCAAGTTTGGGATCTTTCCCCTTCCCTTGCAGTGATATGGAAACAGCAGTAGTGTAAGTGGGGGAGGGAGTACAGAGCATAATGCGCTCTTGCCAAAGGCTCCACTATGGAGAAGGCCCAGAGGGAAGACGGGCACTTCCTTGGGCACTGCCTGCCCTTTCCTCTCCACAATCCAACAGAGAATTTCTTGGGGATCATAGTTGGGGTCTCCTGTGCACATGAACTGCTACTTAATAATGGCTCTGAGAAATAGGACCCCCTAGTTAATTATTCTCCCAAAGTAGGCCATATACCTCCAATCATACAATCCATAACTGCCACCTTTCCAAGCCCCCCTCCCCAAAATTACATATGTAGCGTTGACTGTTCCTCCTGTTCCATCTCCTAGTTACCATTTCCCTATGAGGTCACCCATGCCTCTTTTAAAGAACCCAGGAGAACTGGTCCAGTTCCCCTACCTTGATAAATCCTTGAAGCCCCCATTTTCCCCTCCTAGAGCGCCCAAGAGTCCTGGCTCCAGATCCTTCTCCCCATAACTGTTCTCTTTCTCCCTACCCCCCCCCCCCACCAATCAAGTAGCTTTAGTTCCCCCACTTACCCAGAGCTGGGACATGAATCTATGAGGGCCGCCCACGTGAGGAGCTGAGAACGGCAGCACAGATACCCCCCTCCCACCCATAATTGGAGAGGAGATCGTGTTTCCTGCCTCCCCGCAACATCATCATTATGGAAGACATTCTAAAGTTTTGTTTGTTTCGTTTCGCTCCCTTGTTGGGGTCTGTGGACAGGAGGTGCCAGTGCGGCCAGTCCGACGAGACGAGACAAGAGCCCTTTTTTAAAAGAAAAGAAAAGATGGCCGCTCGACCAGCAGCACTCAGGTGCAGTGTCGGCGGCAGGTGTCAATTATCCACACAGTGAGGGGGAGGGCATTTCGCCACGTGGCACTACAGTGTGGCCTCGGCGACTCTTGGGGCGCAGTGGGGCAAACGACAGCCACGAGTCTGGAGCTGGGGTGGGGGCAGGGTGAGGCCACGTGGTATGGAGTTGTGGCTTTGCAGGCACAGTGGGAATCGCCGCATGGCATCGTGTTGGGACGTGGCAGCGACAGAAAGGGACACCACGAGGTGGCTGAGCAGGAGTGATGTGGCGAGAGGCACCCTGAGATGGAGGCACACACAAAGCCACGTGGCACAGAGCCATGGCACCGGGTTAACCCAGCTATGCAAATGGGGCGAAGGTGTGCGACTCCGCTCAAAACATCCAGTGGCCCGCTTGCCCAACATCAGCTGGCAAAAGTTGCTGCCCAAGCACAAAAATCCCTCACGCCTATTTAAGTCCTTAATTCTTCCACCCTAGTGGCCAGCCTCTTGTATCCAATTGGCTGCTGGTACCCTTCTCTCGTCCCTCTGTGGCCTAGTTGTTCCTACTTGGCTGCCTCTGCCTCTGTTCCTTCCAGCAATTTCGGCTGCCTCCCTAGGCCTCTTGAGGTTCTGCACCTGCCTCTTCCTTAGGCTGCAGGCAGCCACCTTGAAAACCCTGCCTATGTGGACCTCCTAAATCCCCTTCGCATGCTAGACTGGGGGCATTAGAGCACTCACCGAGAACACAGCTTCTGCAACAGGAGCTCCTTAGAGGTTATGACCACTGGCAATCTCGGCTGAGTCTTTTGAGAAACGGCACTTTGCCCGCCCTACTTTTTTCCCAACCATGAGGGCTAGAAATCCACCTTATTTTAATAAAAGCAAAAGCTGAAACTTCTTAAGGTTCTGTGAATATCCTGGCTGCCCACGTAAACGTTTATTTGCCTGGGGCCTACCACCAGTTGGGTTTTTCTTTTTTTGCATGCCTGGGTTAATCTTGTGGTCATGAAGGGAAAAGGGTACATTGCTGGCCTTGATGGGATGTCGGATGCACAAGGTTTACCCTACGTCATGGAGTTATGGGCACATGTGTGATGGGAGCCACGTAGTACAGAAACGTGGCGTGGCTCAGACAAGCAGCGTGCTACGCCACATGGTTAACGGTTGTGGGAAGGACTTAGCTGTATGGCACAGAACTACGGTTTCAGAGGAGCAGGAGTGGGGCGGTTAGCTGCATGGCACAGTTGTGGCGGGGGTGTCGGTGGCCAGCTGTCGATTTTAAGAGTCACAGCACAGGTGAAGTGGTAAAATGGGGCCAGCCACAAGGCCTACAGTCATCGTACAAATTCCCCCGCACACTTTTCCCCACAGCTCGTAATCCCTGACGTGGAGATTGAGAGGGGAGGAGTCAAGGAGTCGTCCCCCGCCCCCCGCTCTTGGACGGAGCATCACTCTGAGGATCCCAGCAATGAGCAGCAGCAAGAGCAACCCCTCCCTGGCCTGTGTCTTGGGGGGGAGAAAGCAGTCCGTGCACTGGGTCCCGGTGTCCAAATGGCTGCAATGGGGAGAGCAAATTATGGAGCACCCCCTTGTAATGCTGGGCTCTTGTTTCTTTGGCAGCTGAGCATTGGGGGAGGGGAAGGGGGATGCTCCATCCACAGCACAGATATGGTCAGTATCCGAGACCTCTCGCCCCTTGGAATCGGTGCAGGAGCACATGGCGCCGAAGGAGAGAGCACAAGAGACCCAGAGTGGGAGCACCTACCCACACCCTACTTTTATGTCGCTTTGTCTTCCCTGTTCCAGCCCCTCAATCTTGGCTACCCATCCGGAGCTGGAATTCCTGGTTGCCACAGATACCCCTCTGGCAGAAGAACGTTAAGAGAGACTCCCAACTTCTATGGGAAATTGTCTTGTTATCTTCCCCGTTCTGGAAGTGCAGAAATACGCAATACATTTCCAAATGGAGGCGGCGTGGAAATAGCCTTTGAAATGAGGACAAAATGAAGCTTGTTGTTGAATATGCAAGGTGTGAGCTGGAGCACAACAGCACGCATGTATATGGGGACCACACTACAACTTGCGAAGAAGCTGTTTTGCAGACTATTAAAGCCAGGGTTGTGTGTACTCTGTGGTATAAATGGAGTGAGACTTGTTTGCTTTTGTATTACCAGTGTGAATTCAGGGTGTGATATGAATTCACTCATCTGGTATGACCAATGAGATGCAGCTCTACATCAGCTGAACATCAGGTGTTTCACAAGAGAGTGTATAAAGCAGGCTTGGAATTAGCAACTTGTCTGATCACTGATGGGGGACTATTCACTGCTTCCAGGCAATTTACCACAAGGCTTTTGTAAACAGGAACAGATCTGGGTTCTTCTGAAAAGGTTGTTGATGCACCATGGATGATTAAAAATAAGGATGGATGAGCTAATTCTTGCCCTGGAAGACTACACAGAAGTGAACCAACACCACACATCAAAGTGCACTTAGTTTCAGAGGATGGTTTTACAAAGACAGCATATACTGTCTTATCTTTGCAGCGAAGAGATCACACCTAGGCTTAAACTTATGGGAATGGGGCTGAACCCTACATACAGCATCTTGTGTCTGGCCATGTGGCACAACCCATCCTCTTCTGCCCAAATGCAGGCTCAAGCCACTCAGCAGTTCTAGATCATACAAGCCTGACAACAATGGTCTGTGACTAGAGAGCAGGTTCCTCCATAGAATGGGGTCTGCGGAATAAATGGACCCAATGTTGGTTTTCTGATAGGATTGCTGAAACTCAGCCAAATAAGGGACTATAAGGTCAAAATTATTTTTGACTATGTTTGCATAAAGGCATACACCTTTATGCAGCTGTTCTGCCATTCAGTTGCACCTCACCCGGTTCTCTTTGTGATAAGCCCTGTGGGTGCTACAGTGCTGAATTTATGACAAAAGGGTGGTAAGAGCCACAGGCAATCTCAGATCGCAAACCACACCAAGACTCACAAAATGATCCCTGTTCATATTGGAATGACTGATGTTTCCTCATGGCTGGTCCCATGCTGCTGGAATTACATGGGACAGGCAGTTGATACTTCCTGTGCCAGCTATTTCTCCTTCCCTCCCAATCCAAGTTGCCAATACTGTTGTGTAATAACCCTGTAACACTACTGGCTCCAGCTAATTCTGGCTTTTGAGCACTACAAGCCTGATGTGGGATCCAGCCACCGGAAAGAGGCAATACCACACATCGTTCTAACGGTAGGCTTGATTTGTTGAGCAGCGTGTGCCTGGCAAGTCACCCACACCACAGCTTTGCCACTGAGCCAGAGCTCAGCAGCAGCAGAACAGACCTCTTGCCTTACTAAAAGGGTCACGAGGCTCACCCACAGCAGGCAGTAGTGCAGGGCAGCTGCATGCTCAGGTTGAGAGTCTGGGATGGGTCTGTATGCTTTGCTCAAGCATGTTGTTCAGTACTGGGTGCAAAATTGCCTGCATGCTGAGATCTCAGCTTCCACTTCAAAAAGAGACAGCAAGTTTCTAGTTTTATGACTGTGGAAAGAAGACTAAATGGGCAGTGTTTCGTTAAACGCCCCAAAGATGGGGTTTGGGGAGGAAGAAAGTGGCTCAGGGAGATTCCTAATGAGTTTGTGGGATCTGGGCCCTCCTCTTCAACAGCCAGCACATAATTAATTTTGCAAAGTAAGCATATTTGCAAATTTACTTTTCTCAGAGGTTCTTTTTTATATAAAAGGCAGAGTACATAACAACCCTGGTATTGTGAAGATGCACAGGGCAAGCTGTTACATGGTTAGATGAACTGATGTGCAAACAGCTGCAAAGTAAGAACAATCAGCAGCATGGAGGATGCAATATAGATATCTATCTTCTCTATCTATATATACATGCAGGCATGAGCTGCTGGACAGCTGACGCCATCCATTCGAGGCAGCAAAGGTGATGAAGCAAGCTGCAATGCCGATGGAGCCCTGAAGGGCAAGTGCATGTAAGCAGATTCGCACACTCGGAACGCACACACTTATATATAGCTTGGAAAGCGATGCTCTGCAAGTGAAGTGTCCGTATGCTGTGTCGGCAGCAGCGGTTGGATGAGTGAAATGGGCAAACTGCTACATGGCATTGCAGAGGAGGAAAGTGCACACCCCTGAGGGTGCCCAGGCAAGCTTTGGTGAGCTTCTCCAAGTATCTCTCTGCCAGGGGGGGATACCCACCCTCACCCGCAGGGTCTCTCCTCGCAGCTTCCCCTGTGCCTAGCCCCACAGCTGCAACCCCTCCACACCCCCACTTCTCCCCACTGGTGGAGGTCCATTGTACATTCAGGCGAGAGGCTCCCCAGGGCAGGGCGGTTTCCCCCATCACCTCTCCAGAAAAAACTTGAGGGCACGGGCAATGTTCATGCGGTGCCCGACTCGCGTCACGCCCAGGTCAATGAAATCTTCCTTGGTGAGGGACGGCAGGTGAGAGCCGTCGATTTCGTTGTCCAGGAACCGATCGCGGTGCTCGCCCAGCTTTAGGTACTCCAGCCAGTCGGCCACGTCGTACTTGGTCCAGAAAGGCAGTGGCTTTGAGCCGAACGGCTTGTCCGTGGCCGGCGGCAGGAAGTGGGTGGGAGACAAAGAGCGGCTGCCCGAGGGGAAGCCGGGGAAAGGGTGCTCGCCCCCGGAAGTGGGCGAGCCGCGGAGATCGAAGACGCCGGTGTATATGGGCACAGAAGGCAGGATAGGGAGAGAGGACGGCCTGGGGGCTGGGCTAATCTTGTGCTCACTGGGCAGGGCAGCTGGACTCGGGGCGCGCCGCAGGGCCGGGCGGATGTCAAACTCCACGCTTTTGGGGTGCTTGCCCTGGGGGGACTTAGGCCAGTTATGGAAAAGGCTGCTTACGGGCTTGGAGGAAATCAGTGATGAGGACGTCTCATCTGGGAGCCTGCAGGGAAGGAGACAAGGAACAAGAGACGGTTAGCCAGAAGAAAACATGAGCTGGAGTAGAAGACTGGCTTCCCTGCAGCCCTGACTATGATAGAGATGTGGAACCTGTGACCCTGTTGGGGCTCCCAACTCCCATCAGTCCCAGCCAGCATGGTCAAAAGTCAAGGATGATGGGACCCAACCAGTGCTATAGATTCCACTCATTGCAAGGGTCCACTTTCCCTACCCTTGGTATATGAAATCACTTGCTGGCATACATCTCAGTACCTGGACATCGGCAGAAAACTGTGTACACTTCCAGTCGCACACATGCAATGATCAGGCACAAGAATCCTTTTTTTGAAATCCAACAAACCCAAAGCAGATGTGGGATGTTGCAATCTGGAATGAAAGTTTGGGGGGAGGGGATGCTCCTCTCTTGCCCTGAGGGTTGTTTTTCTTATAGAACTCCGTCCCTCCACACAGCTTGTTGTCCCCATGGGTAAAAAGTTCAGTGAGGCAGAAGTTTATAAGAAAACCAGCCTGCGGGGAAAATAAGCTTCAAAACACACACACACACACACACACACACACACACACACACTCTTTTCTCACTGCTGTTTTAGATATATATATTTAAAAACTCACAAATATCTGGAGGAAGATATTAAAGTGACTGAGCACTGATTTGCAGGAGCGCTGCCAACGAAGGACAAAACCACATGAGACAGCAAAACTCCTCATATAAATGAAGCTATGCTGGTCTTTCTCAAATTACCTTTGAAGATGGAGAACCAGAAGGTTGCAGTAAGGAGAATCCACATTACCATATCCAGGATGGAGACCATTTCCATGTGGCAGCTCTTTCCAAACCTAGATGGCTTCCACACCTGGATCCTCTTGCCAGCGTCAAGAGGTTGCTGGCAGTAGGTGTAGAGAAGGGAGGATCCAGGGTGCAAGCTGTGCTAGATATGGAGCACTGCTCCAAAGAAAATGCAGCTACGCACCATCAATCACTGTAACGTCTGCTTGGTGATCCTTCATGAAGCTGGTACAAGTTCCTCAACAGTGGAACAGGAATGGTCTGACATAAGGCACATTTCCATCCCTAACCATGACACATTCATTCAAAAGGAGCTTGCTTGCACTGTCTGCTGCCATTTCTGTCTTCCCCACATTCGTTTGGTTGGCATAACAGTGGGCCACAACAGACATAGGGAAATTCCCGCAACCAAACAGGAACACACGGTGAAAAAACAAAATTTAGACTTCAGCAAGCGTAAAAATAGACCTGGTGGTTGGGAGTTTTTAAAAAACAAAACTTCTGCCAGGGTTGCCTTGACAATCATAGAGGTATCTCCAAGAAGCCTAAATGTATCTATTAAAACTCCCTTCTGAAAGTCAGGAGGCTTGGCCTCCTCCAAGTGTAGGTTACTTGTGGTCTTCTAGGGACTCAGCCCTTGCCAGCATTGTTCTGATCTATTGCTAAAAAGTGGCTTTTCCCTTGGAAAGGAGCAAGGCAAGGGGAAAACTGCTCAGACCCTTGCCTCGAAAATGAGGGTCAAGAGAAAACCACTCCAACCCATGCTTTCTAGACACAGCACAAGTGGAAACATGCACAAGCCCTGAGTCTTCATCAAAAATTGGCCTTGACTGAACTGACTCTCATGGAGCAACTTGGGCTTCAGATTTTTCTTTTGGGAAGAAAAAAATCTGAATAGCACCTCCCTGAATGTATTCATTGCCATTTTTAAAAAGGACACACAACAGGATTTTTGGAATGAACGAAAATCCTTCCAAGTTCAGTCATCCCCCTATGATATTCACAAAGCGACAAAGAGGCCTTTTCCTGTGTGCAATCAGAAAGGCATTGCACTCAAGTTAACTTGGGTCACACAGGGCTTGAGGCCCTGCTTCATAATGACCAAGAAAAGGAAAGCAACTTGATAAGGAAAACAGGCTCCTTCTCTGAGATATGCACCATCAATGGAACTCAATAGGGGGAGCCCTATGGAATTTCCCCCAGTCTATCTTCCATACTGGGAAAATAAAGTGCACTGAGCTGGCAATTGAGGGAGCCACAGCAAGCCTGCCTCACACTAGGAAAGTGGATGGATCAAGCAGAACGGAACTGCCTTGTGGGAAGGAGATATGCTTACTAGAGTAGCCTCTGAAGGAAGAATTCATTCCACTCCAATGAATTCAGGAATGGTTCTCTTCTCCCAGAAGTCATCTGTTTCCCTACTTCCATTCCAGAGCATTTTGTACCATACCATACCCCTCACTCCACCTTCCCATAGTGCTCAGAAGTTATGGCTCTTCTGATATAACCCAATACAGCATCTGATGTTTTGGACTACAGTGCCTATCATCCTGGCTGAGCCTGATAGGAGTTGTAGTTCAAAATATCTGGAGGACACCAGGTTGGAAATGGCTGCATTAGACTATGCATCCCACTGCTTTTCTTCCCGCCACCCCATTTAAAATACCCAGGACCCCTCATCTGAAATAAAGACTGCCAACCCATCCCACAAAAGACACAGGAGTCCTAACTGTCAGCCGATCTTTCCTACCCATTCAAAGACAAGCAGCTTTGATTATGCGTGTTGGGTGCAAGATCCCAACTTTTCTCTTTCCCAACTCCACGGCATCGGAGGAACGGCAAGTGAATTCTCCCAGCGCAGATGTGTGACCGCAGATGAATGACAGAATGGAGCAAATAAAACTCAGCAATGCAACTGCGTTGGATGGAGAGTGCTGTGGACCCACAATGCCTATGCCTCTCCGCAAGTGTGTGCATATGGAAGCACAAGTGCTTGTGCAAGTGCCAGCAGCCTGAGGGTGAACCCGGTCCACTTCGGAGGTGCAAAGAGAGGAGCAGGTGGCTACAGGAAAGTAACCTCGGCTAGGAAGGAGAAGACCCTGGCATGGAAGATTCCATGGCACAAAAGCTGAGCAAGGATGTGTGTGGGGAGCCCACGGATGTGGAACCAGCAGCCTTGCAGATGTTGTTGCACTCCAGCTCCCATCAGCCCCAGCCAAGCAGGGCGAATAATCAGGGATGATGTGGGCTCAAGTGGAGTGCCACAGGTTCCTTGCCCCTGGTGTAGGGCCAACAAACAACTTGGGACTGGGGTGTTGTAAGGGACAGCTTTGTCCCGTAAGTTCCTGCCTGGCAACTGTGGTTCGCAGATGGGACAGTGCTGAGAGCACCATTTGCCCCAGAGGTGTGCTCAGCTTGTATGAGAAACTGGGCTTTTAGCACTGCAGCTCTCTGGAATTGATTTCCAGCCAAAATTAGGTGCCCAGTGTCACAATGAGTAGGTGCCTATTTTCCCTGAGTACTGACCTAGTCACGGAACAACTGTACATCTGAAGAAATTATTTTATTGCTTTTTTAAAGAATTTGCAACGTTTCTTTCTGCTTTTAAGCCTGCTGCAATGATTTCATTGTTTTTGAACTTGTGTTTGCAGTGTTTTATTCTGTTGTTATCTTGTACACTGCTTCAATGGCTTTATGTTATAAAGCAGTCTATACATTTGTTAATAATATTATAGTAATAATAATAATAATAATAATAATAATAATGTATCAGAAGAGGAGAAAACTAAACCACAGATTTCCTAGGTCTAAAGGTAAAATGCCCCCTTTCCGCCTTTCAGAGAGCTCTTCCAGATGTAACCTGCTAGTGTCAGAGGTCTTCAGACTGTGTTCCAGGGAATCTGAAGGTTTTCTCAATGGAAATGCCAATCATGGTGGACAAGCTTCTCTTAGGGCTGATCCTGACTTTATTTTGTGCCATGTCTTCCAGGCACAGGGCCACACTTTAAAGCTTCATGTCTGGGTGTTGTTGTTTTCATCATAGCGCCTTTCCTGGGAAAACCATGTTCTCCCACTGAGTTGGAGCAAACAACATCAACCCACAGAAAACCCAATGGCCGTTTGCTCCAATTCAGCAGTAAAAGATGAGTTTTCCCAGGAAAAAGCGCCGGGACAAAAAACCCCCCAACAATGCTTAGACACAGAGCTTCAAATCCTGGACCTGTGCCTAGGAATGCGGCACTAAAGGCAGTCTAGATTAGCCCTTAGTGACAGCTTGTCCCTCATTACCAATCTTTCCCTGCAACACAAAACTGTAGCAAAGTCCTGGTTGCAATTTAGAGCATATTCTTAAGTCATCTGACTTTTTTTTTTTTTTTAAAGAAAAGCCTAAAAGCAGAGGTGCGTGTCTGGAATTTGACTGGGAGAGGGGTGCTGGGGGAGTTTCCCTCTCACGCCATTTCCCCCAACCAAATCCTTTCCTGCCTTTGGCTATTAGCCTTGCTTGGAGAGAGGCGTGCGGAAGGAAAACAGCATGTTCAACAGAGACACCTGCCTCTAATCGCAACTTTGGGGGAAGAAAGGAATTTTGGAAAACAGCATGGGGAGAATTTCACCCTGCCCCAGTGCTGTTGCACCAAGTTGGAAAGCCATTCCCAGACCTGCTGGGTCACAGGGAGTTTGTCCCTTGTTTAGTGGGGAGCAGGGACCAGCCTCCCCCGAGGGTAAACTCAGTGCACACTAGGATACAAGGCTCTGCAAGGCAAGTGTTGCACAGCAAACACAAAGGGGATCTTCAGCAGAAAGGATCCCCCCACAAAACGAAATGTGAACGCTACACAAAGAACACAGGAACACAGAAAGCTGCCTTATACCAGGTCAGATCACTGGGTCCTTACTGTCTACACTGACTGGGAGAGGTTCTTTAGGGTTTCAAAAAGGCAGCCTGCCTGGAGAGGCTGGGGATTGGACATGGGGTCTTTGCATGAAAAACAGATGGTCTACCCAAATGGGAAATCTTACTCCTCTATGCATTTACACACACCATTTGGGTCTCCAGTGCAGGCCCACACAGCATCAAGGCAAACGCAGCCTACCACCCATGCGTGGTGGCCTATCAAGACCAAGACTGCCAATTTTTGCTGCCCGTCTGCAGTGTAATATAATCAAGGGGTTGTCACCAAGAAAGCCAAAATGATGAGCTTCATTCAGCAGGGTGGGTCAACATGTGGGCTAATCAAAAAGGGCTGTTTCTTGGTCCCTGCCACGATGTGCTGTGAAACCCAATGGCTTGGTGACTTTCAAAATACTTGTGTCTGTTTCTGATCCTTTAGGAGCAAACATTGGACATTAGAGGAAGAGTCTTGCCCATTATTGGCTTGAAGAGACCTTTGCCTGAACATATGAGTACAGTACAAGACAAAGGTATATACTTTGTGCGTGCAAGATGCACACACATGCCAACAGACCCTAAATACATGTGTATGCTTCTATAGTCATGCTGCTGGTTTGGATGGTCTCCTTGGATGCTTAAGGGGGGGCTGGGCCTGTGTTCTGAGTGCACGCAAAAAGCAGCTGGGATGGTCTGTGTGCACACACGCATACAACTGCAAGCCAGTGGTACAGTAAATATATGCACCATGCATACCCGCTGAACAAGATGGGCCAAGTGCTCCATAGAAGAGCACATACCCTTGCCCTGTGCCTGCCAGCACACCAAACGATGTAATGGTGGTAGAAAAAAGGAAAAAATAAAAATCATAAAAAAGCAAGCATTGACGGGAGAATGAGAAAAGGAGACAAACCCAACTGAAACACGAGATGCGGCATGCACGGGGCTGGCTTCCTGCTTCCTGTTCCTCCTCCTCCTGCTCCAGTCGCCTAGTACCTTTGCCTCTGCAAGGAGCTGGGCCTCTCTGAACCGAAAGAAGCCACCGAGTCGGGCGGACGTGACCACGACACCCCGCCCATTTGCTGCAGCTTGGTGCTCAGCTCGCTGATGATGCTGGCCTTCATGGTGGACATGGGGGAGGCCTTGGGTTCCTCCCATGGCAGCGTCGGGGATTTCCGCTGCAGCTCCTTGCCCGGCTCGGCAGCGGCCGGCTGCTGGTGGTAGGGCGGAGCGGGCGTGAGGGCAAACATGTTCTCAGTACATGCAGAAACCGAGATGGTGGAGCTGGTGGGGGTTGCCACCGGCAAGCGACCGGGGAACGGCCGCGAGCGTAGCTTGGTCTGCAGGGGGCTCTTCTCTGTGCTGCCTCCGCCACCACCGCTGCTGCTGCTGCCTCCTCCGCTGCCGCTGCCTCCCCCAAAAGCCTGCCCGTCCAAATAGGTGATGTAGGTGTCCAAGAGTTCGGTGCCTTCCCCAGACATGCTGGACAGAGTCGAAACGCTGCTGATGGTCTCCAGGTGGTGGTCGCTGCTGCTGCGGCTGTCCACCTCCTCGATCCCCGAGTCCGTCACGGCTTCAGGGGCCTCGGCGGGAGGGATGGCGATGGAGGACACGACGGAAGAGAAGTTGACGTGAGGGGCTTCCTTGGTTTCCGCTGTGCCGGCTTGGGTCAGGGTGGCAACCTCGCTGTCGTAGGACGTCAAGCTGGATGCCGTGGAGTCCAAGGCGGCTGGAGCAGGGGGCGCGGCCGGAGGGGTCATTGCAGCAGGGACTTCGTTGGCGGCTTTGGGGGGCGACTCGGGCTTGTCAAAGCTGTTGGAGAACTCGAGGGGCGGCGGGAGCGGCTCAGTGAACACAAATTCGTCATCCACATCGATGGATGGGGCGGGAGGGGGCAGCACCAGCAACGGGAGCCCGTTTTCCTCAGCCACGCGTTCCGCAGGGGCAGTGGCCACCTCAGCTTTCCCACTCTCCTGGCCCCCTTCCTCCTCCTCTGTTGGGCGGCAGTTCTCCATGAAGCGCACGTGCAGCTCCAGCTTCTCCCCTTCCTCGGGCCGCTTCTCCCACGGTGCACCTTTGGCCGAGGACGGAGGATGCTGCTGCTGCTGCTCCTCGGGAGAGGGGTGCCGGGGGCTCTCGGGCTCTTTCCGTGGTGATGCCGGGCGCTGGTGGTGGTGGTGGTGATGGTGCTGCTGCTGCTCTGGCGTCCCCCAGAGCCGCAGGATGGAGCTTCCGGGAGACTCTGGTGTTTTGGGAGCCTCTCCGAACCGGGGTGAGGATGGGCGCGAATGCCTGTCATCTCGGCTCTCTTGCTGGGACTGGGACTCCTTCAGGGCCCGCTCACGAGCCACCAGGGCCAGTCCCAAGGGGGATCCAGGGTCTAAAATCTTGCCCGTCAGTGGGTGAATGAGAGGCGTCGAGTGGGCCTGTAACTGCGGCAGGAAACTGGAGCACACGGAAGTGAAGGCGCTGGTGGTGCTGGCTCCGTATGTTTTCGCGGCTCGAGGTGGGAGGTAACCGGAGCTGCTCCCGCCGCCGGCGCCGCTGCCAAAACAGGGAGCCATGTTGAGCTGGATGTACGGCTCGCTGGAGAACATGCCTTCATCGATGGATTTGGAGTGGCGGAGACGGGGCATGGGCGTCTGTTGAGAGTCGTCGTCCGGCTGCTCGGTGGAGAGGAAGAGGGCAGACTTGCGGCGAGCCTCGCTGTACCACTCGCGGTCCCGCCGGGCAGCCCCAACCAGGGCCGCCCCAAACTGGCTGGTGAAATCCATGCTGTTGTGGAGCTGGAGCGAGGGCACAGGCACCGCCGTCTCCGGCTGGCTCTCGGCCTCCATGCTGCTCCCCTGGCTGCTGCGCCCGCTGCTGCTGGTCGAGGGGGCTTTGATTATGATGGTAGGGATGGGGATGGAGCTCTTTTCCGGCGGGGCGGGCATCTGGGGCTGCAGAGGCAACGGCTGTGCCTGGGAGGCAGAGGCTCCCTGCTGCTGGCGCTGCTCGTCTTCCACTTTGGTCTGCTTGACAAGCGGCCCCTTCCGCCGCATGGGCTTGGTGGGGACATACATGGCGGTGTTGGTGGCCCGTGGCGGCAGGTTGTAGTAGCGCAGGTCTGGGGTGTGGCCCCGCCAGCCGCGGGCGGTCGAACCCTCGGCCCCCGCCTCGGACTCCTGGCGGTAGAGGGACATTTTGTCGCGGGAGCGCGGCTCGTAAGACGGTTCCTGGTGCAGGGAAGCTGAGTAGAGCTTGGCCTCGCTGCTGGGGTTGAAGGTGGAACGGGCCAAGGGTGTGGCACGCCCGGACGCCGAGGGCGTGGTGCTGCTGTATGGGGGGTCTGGAGGGGAGGTGGTTGGAGGTGGGGGGATGTCGTCAGAACCCGGGACTGAAAGGCTGCGGCTGAACTTCATGGCAGGGGGAGTGAGGTAGGGCTTGTCATCCTCAGCGGCACCTGGGGAGAGAAGGAATGCTATCATCACCAAACCGTTCTCCCATATTTCCACTGTCTAACCTGAGGCCCTCCAGCCGGACTACAGCTCCCACCATTCTCGAATCATTAGTCCTGTCTGCTGGGGCTGATGGGAGTTGGGAGTGTGGAGCTGCAGGCTCCCCCGCCCTGCTCTAAGTAAAGAGAACTCCCTCTTCCCTCCAGGCCCTTCTCGTTCATATCTGCTGTCATGGACTGGTTGGGCCATGAATGCCGGGAGGCACTTGTTGGGGAACCCTCAAGGGAAGAAAGCTCAGAGTCCAAGGTATGGTGGTGGTGGTGGTGGTGGTGGTGAGATATCGGAAGCTGAAGGAGTAACAGGGTTCAGTGAGCTGGGAGAGTCTGTGGCAGAGAACAGTCCAGAATCGGAGGCACAAGCTGAAGCAAGTGAGTAAGAGGAGGGAAGTCAGGAGGGAAGAGATGAGTCAGGTTGGTGAAGCGTCACAGGTGTCTCCTCCTGCTGTGACACGCTCCCCTCCCAACTCCCAGAACCAGGAGAGGTATGAAATGGGAGGAGCAAAGACAGGCTGCATGCAGGAACAGTCTTCAATTGCTTGCAAGAAACCCTGGAGAGGCAGAAACATAGATGGCAGTGGGAAGGCAGGGACTTTTAGTTTTGACAACTGCTGGAGCTGTGACCTCTACTCGATCTCCAGACCAGGACCTGGTTGCAGCTGTACAAGTATCCAGAATGTGGCAGCTAGACTGGTGACTGGGAGTGACCACCGAGACCATATAACACCGGTCCTGAAAGACCTACATTGGCTCCCAGTACATTGGCTCCCAGACACCTGGACTACTGCACACCCTCCCGACCCCTGTCTCACCAATAGACTTCTGGCGGAGCATCATGCCTGGGGGGTGACTGGCTGGCAGGTAGGATGGGCGCTCGTAACTGGCCTGACTCAGGCGGTGCTGTTCAAAACTGGGCTGAAATAAAGAAAGAAAAAGATGAAGCCAGAGAACTGGTAAGAGCAGATGAAAGGACTCAGAGAGACTGGGTGGCATGGGTGTAGTCAGGATTTATTTGTAGGGGCAGGCTTTATGTTGGGGGGGGGGCAGAACTGAGGTATCTGCAATGCAATTGGTCATTTAGTTAAGTATTTTTGTTTACTTACTTGTTTTGGGGGGGGGGGGAACTGCCCCCTGCCTACGCCCATGGTGGGTGGATGTAGCAGCAATAATGAACTATCACTCTATTTATATTTTATTTATTTTTTAAAAAAACTAATGTCTTTTATTAATTTTCAAGAGAAAGAATATAGGTACTAACAGAAACATTACCAACATTATCAAAACTATTGGTTTCCCCTCTCCCAGAGAAGAGAAGATAAACTATCACTCTAATCGTGAACTCAGGTACTTAGTACCAGGATACTAAGGTTTGCAGAAGTAAAGCAAAACACGCCCCCCCAAACTTAGATGGGGCAAAAATGATCCCCCAAAATGGCTTAGTGAGGATACTTAGTAGCCACAGAATATTAGAGTATCAACTAGATAGCATTTAACAACCGAGCGTTTGAAGAGGAAAACTCACGAGGGAAAATATTGGCAATTGCATTTAAAAGAATACTTTTTTAGCCAGCGTTTCACTCTCTGCATAGGGAAACTTTGATCAAAACAATAACAGATCTTGCTAGATGTCTGCTGCACTGGTGAGCTGTGCTCCATCCTACCTCAGCAGAGAAATAGTTCTTGGCAGCGCCCCGAGATTTCCCCAAGGAAGGAAGCCCTCCGCTGCCACATCCATCCCCCACGTTGATTGTCTGTTGAGCTGCTGCCAGGATCTCGTCCAATTTGTCTGAAATGAGGCAGAATCACAGAAAGAGGCAAGATTACAACCATCCCCACGCAGAGCACGCCTATGTCCCTTTGCCCATCATGCTCAGGGGGCGCTCCTCTCGACTGGTCTGCTCCTAGATGGAAAATGGAACCCAAGAATCGGAGGTTCCTCCTCTCCCAAGCTCAGGCCTCAAGATTACGCTAAGGGTGACCTGGTTTCAGTCTCATGTAGTCCCTTCTTATTTTTAAAATTAAGATCCCTACGGTCCACCGATGTGCTTTAAATTTACAGGGACAAATTGCATTCTCGGATCCAGGATACCAAATCTACTCTGGGCTATCCTAATCTGCATTCTTGCCTAAGAAAGTGCATTGCAGGACCAGACCGAGGTCAGACAAACTTTGGAGAATGCCTTATGCGGAGATGTTTCCGTTTTAGACTACAACTCTCATAATTCCTGACCACTGGCCTGCAGCTGATGGTTGTGGGGATTGAGCCTTGGGGGTCCAATATCATCTGAAGGGCATCAAGGTTAGGGGAGACTCTCCTACCCCAATAATGTCTCCCCGACTGGCGCTAGCTTTCCCAGGTCTCTCACGCCTAGAGAAATCTTGCCTGGCCAGTCTTGCTGCCTGAGTTAAGCTTCTAACTAGAGAGGCTGGGGTTTTTCTAACTGGAACCTTGTGCATGCAAGCTCCACCTGACTTCTTTGCATTTCCCACTAGCCCACCTTCTGCCCATGCCCACACAAGACTACACTTCCTCACCACCAGCCCTCTCGGAAAGCCAGGAACCGTTATGCTTGGGAGTCAGTACCCTTGGCTCAAGCCCCGAGCCTTAAGGATGACACTGTCAGTACTGCTGCAAGCCCACCAGACACTGCCCTCCCCTTCAACAAGTAAAACCACATCAAACAACCTGATTGGTATTTGGGGTTTTGTGTGTGTACCTCCCAGCCATTTGGCAAAGAAGGCAAGACTGGTGCTCCTCACAGCCCATTCATTGTGAGCTGTACACCAGCTTCCATCAGCTAGACTGGTGACTGGCAGTGGCTGCTGAGACCAGATAACACCGGTCCTGAAAGACCTACATTGGCTCCCAGTACGTTTCCGAGAACAATTCAAAGTGTTGGAGCTCACCTTTCAAGCTCTAAACAGCCTCGGTCCAGTATACCTGAAGGAGCGTCTCCACCCCCATCGTTCAGCCCGGACACTGAGGTCCAGCTCCGAGGGCCTTCTGGCAGTTCCCTCACTGCAAGAAGTGAGGTTACAGGGAACCAGGCAGAGGGCCTTCTCGGTGGTGGCTCCTGCCCCGTGGGAATGCTCCCCCATTAGATGTCAAGGAAATAAACAACTATCTGATTTTTAGAAGACGTCTGAAGGCAGCCCTGTTTAGGGAAGTTTTTATTGTTTGATGTTTTATCGTGTTGTTAATATTCTGTTGTGAGCCACCCAGAGTGGCTGGGGAAACCCAGCCAGATGGGCGGGGTATGTATGTATGTATGTATAAATAAATAAATAAATAAATAGCCCCAACAGCCAGCAGGGATGATGGGTGTTGTAGTGCAGCAGCAACATTTGGAAGGGCGAAAGTTCTGCATCTCTGCTGTTATGGGATAGGAAAACCTGGAAATCTTTTTTTTCTCTTGGCTTCTGCCCTGATCTAGCCCCAACAGCAAGGGGGCTGCTACCCAAACACCAGGATGTTGGATTTCAAGAACTGGCAAGAGCTTGTTTTTCAGGCCGACACCTATTCCATACACCCTAGCCGTGGCTATGCACCCTAGTCCTCAAACATTGTTCTGCACGTGTATGCCAGAGTAAAGACAAAACTGAAGATTTCACACCGCGGTGCTGCAAAACCCACAGAGAGAAAAGCCAAATTCTGTTACCTGCCAACGCAAATGCAGGAAATAACTGGCACCCCCTCTTGCAATGAAGCATGAGGAACGCTCCCAGCTGAGGGCACCCAGGAGGAGTGCTGCTTCGCAGGTACCCAGCCTTTGCCCAGAGATTCCCTCCCGCAGACTGTTGGCAGTCGCCAGGGCCTGCTTGGTACTCACTCAGAGCCATCTGATAGACAGTCCGCTTCTTATCAGTGCCCATCGCCGGCTCATAATCTGCAGAGACGACAGGAGGGGAGGATAACGGGGGTGGGAGGTGCAGGGGGGGTGGGCTGGGGACGGCATGTCTAGGAAGGCCGGTTCGTGGAGCTGTGTGGACGGAGGGGGGCGGCAGCGGCAACCGATGGGAGCGTCGGTGGGAGAGTGCAGGGCGGTGCTGGGTGGGAGGCAATGAGAGGTAAGCGAGGTGGCTCGGTGCGTGCGTGGCGGGGTGAGGGATGCGTGACACTCACCTGTTTTCTTCTTCCAGGGGGAGACTGGATGGTGGGAGGGAGATAGCAAGAGGGGAAGAAATTAGCACCTCCACTTTTGGAGGAGGAGAAAGGTATAGCTTGGGGGGGAGGCCTGGAAACCCCCTGTAACAACCGAAGGATTTGGGCAGGATGAGGGAGAGAAGATACTGGGCATTAAGGCATCTCACGGGCATTGAGGCATCTGTCACTGCCCAGAACAGCTCAGTTGGTAGAGTAGGAGACTCTTAAATCTCAGGGTTGTGGGTTTGAGCCCCACATTGGGCGAATGTTTTATGTATTCGGGGGGTTGGGCTAGATGACCCCCACGGTCCTTTCCAACTCTACAGTTCTAGGAGTCTATGAATTGAGGATGGGTGGGGCGAGGCAGAGAATCCTCCCAGTTCAAGAGGGCATTGGCAGGCCTGTAAGGGCCTAGCTTCTACCAAAGCATCTCAAGCTATGATTACAGTATAAAAGACACAGACACACTCATCTCTAACCCTGTTAGGAGTGGAGATATAAGGTAAAGCCTGCAAGCAGTATTCTGCTTAATCGTTCTCTAAAAAATAATAAATAACTTGAAGTGTATTAGGCTACCTGTATCTACATTCTGGCAATGCTGCCATGATTCCTATAAGCCTTTAAGACTCCTCACCCTGAACGCCTAGCCCTGCTCCCCACGAGCCTCCACCCCTGTTGGGCGTTTCTTTCCTGCAAAGTGGGTGGGTGGGGAGAATACGGTGACACCCGTTGTGGGTGGGGAGGGGAGAAATTAGTGTATCGCGTGGGTAGGCGGGGTGCACGTAGTATTTGCAGTTACAAAGTTGTCCAAGGGGTTTTGAAATCTCATTTCCCCCTATTTTGAAAACACGCTTTAAAAACGTGCGAGCTTCTCCCAAGCTGCTGTGCTGTAATTTAAAAACGTCCTTGGAAAGGACACTACACGACGTTCATCTGTCATGGATGCTTTAGCTGAGATTCCTGCATTGCAGGGGGTTGGACTAGATGACCCATGGGGTCCCTTCCAATTCTAAGATTCTACAATGACTTAGTGCCGTTTCCAGGGATGTGCCACTTCGATAGTGTGTCAGCAGTGGGGCTTCCTAGTCACTTGCAGCAGCTCCCCTTCAGGTTTTCAAAAATAAGGGGGACTGATGAAACGCCCTCAAGCCACCTTGCATTACTGAAAGCTTCCTAAAATATCCCCCGGCCTAAAAATATGCTTCCCTTCATCCAATCGCCACTCCTTTCCACACCTGAAATTATATGAACGTTTGGCTGGGTTAGATGTTTGCATCAGCCCTGCTACTTCGCTCTTTGACACAGGAAGATCACTGATATCAGGTCACAGATCAGGGAGGGGAGACCTTCCTTAAGCAGCAACATTACTCTAAACAGTATGAAGAAGTGGGGAGCCCTCATACCCCGAGTCTCCGTTTCTGAGCAAAAGGGAGGTGTGTGTGTTTCTGTAATCCAGCCCACTTTCTTGCAATTATTGGAGCAATTTGGGGTGGGGACAGGAACTCACCTTTCTCAACTATGATGGGTTTTCAGAGTCCGGGGCAGCAGTGGGTGGACAAAAAGAAAGAAGATGGAGAGAGAGGAGAAGCAATGGATCCCCACCCCTTCCATAATGATGCATAAAACTGGGAAACCCTCATTTATCCACCAAAATCATTATATACACCAGATTTTGCAACCAATCTAACATTCCCCCAAAGCCTGCAGTCAGTAAAAAAAAAATGATGATTTGGGATGAGCAGCTAAAATACGTTTTGTTTTTCCCCCAAATTTATTTCGGTTGCAAAATCAGGCTCAGCTCTTACCCCACAGTATGCCCCAGCTAGGAGAATGAAACTAGGACTTAAAAACTGATTCCTGGTTCTGTGTTGCGGCATTTTCCATGTACGATTCCAGTGGCTGAGGCCAAGTGCAGACATTGGAAACCCTCTCCATGGACACATTCGCATGGGGACGGTAATGCGTAACTTGAAACGCAGATGGCGACAACTTCCTGTCACAGTGAGGACTGCCCTTTATCCAGCTGGCATAACTGCTTCCATGCAAGGCTCCTGCCGACTTCTGCTTTAAGCAGAGTTTGAAGGATTTGGACAAACCAGGGTGAGACGTCAAGAGGAAGCCTTCAAAAGTCCATGCCTGGGTCTTGCCTAGGAGGAACCCTCAAATCAACAATCATACTGTGGGCAACAGGACCACTTTGGAAGCACCTAAGACCTCTTGCCTAAGGGTCCCTCAAATCTGGGGGGCAACAATGAATTCTTCAGAAAGAAAAAAACAAGTTCTACCATAGTAACAAATTATGCATGAATGGGTTCATTTAGGATAATCAAGGTGCACTGCATGGAGAAGATTCTGAATATCTGACTTAGCCTAGTTCATCGTTTGCAAGTCTTCTGCTCTAAGGCAAAGGAGGACACACATCAAAAGCACCTCAGGGCAGAACTATAACCATTACGGGGTGACCCAAACAATATTTTTAGCAAATAAGTGTAAGAAGAAGTAGTTGCCCAAACCAAACAGGCCACAAGATGACACAAGTATCAGCTGCACAGTAGCTGTGCATGCATCCATCTAAATGCCAGGTCACTGGCGTGTCTGTTGGTCACACTGTGCTTCTAGTGCAGTGTTCCCTCCCTCCAGTAGAGGGCAAGTATGTATGTTCATCATGAAATGGATTGGGGATGGCAGTTCCCCTCATACTCTTGAGGCAGGAAATGATAACCCATGAGCATCCTTACCCATTTCTTCCAACTCAGATGTCATGGATTTGGAGCGCAAGGAGATGGCTGGAGGTGGCAATCGTCTTGTCTGCTGTGGCGCAGCTACAGTTAAAAACAAGAAGCAGCTCTGGGATCTTGCTTGTGAACCAGACTCGTGTCATCCAATTCCCATCACCAGTCTTTCCCCGAACCCGCTGGACCACCCTCTCATCCAAAGTAAGCTTTGTATCTTGCCACCCTAACCACTTTTCCTTTTGCTCGAATGCAGGATGCATTCATCAGCTCCTGAGAGAACCCAGAACCCAGAACACACCATGGCAAGGAAGAGGGAAGGCACTGGTACAAAAACAATAGGAGAATCCACGGAGTGACTCAACATACAAGAATGTTCTAGCTATCCCTTGAAGAGATTGAAGGTATTTCTGTAACAGTGCCCACGTGGGTAAGTTTAATGTGAGATTGACGCTCCTTACACATGCAAGTTTTTTGCATTGCCCACATAATGTTTTGGCATCAATACTCCAGTCTGTATCCCCCTCCCCGCTGCCCACTTAATCCAGATTTATCCTTTCAGGGAAGCATCCTAAATCAGCTGTCCCTGAAGGGGAGTCATATGACCTGTAACACGAAGAGCCACCTATATTTTTCAGAGTGTAGTGCTGCATACAACATAAAAACAAGATTCCAAAGAATCTCCTGGACTTCTCCCCTTTGTGGGTCATATTGTTAGTCATTTCTTCCTGCATCTTTTATGATAATCCAAATCTTCTACCTCTCCATTATGTCCAAAACTCACCATTAAACTACAAGTGTTATTCCCATCCTACTAACGCTTTTAGCTGTTTTCAAGGGTTTTTAAGATAAATTATAAATTTCCCCCATTCCTTATTAAAATTTTGATCTTCCTGATTTCTGATCCTTCCGGTCACTTTAGCAATTTCGGCATAATCCATCATCTTAATCTGCCATTCTTCTCTGGTAGGGACTTTATCTTCTTTCCACCTCTGGGACTTACTGTTCCTGCTTCTAAGCCCCAGCAGGTCCCATTCTCCAACTCGGAGAAGATTTCAAGAGTAGAGCCTTCCCATCTTTAACTTCTGAACAACATATTCCCCCCCACTTCTTTTCTTTTTTAAAAAGAACCCAAAGCACCATCCCAGAATGCACTGCGGTGGTACCTTTCTTCTTCATGGCCTCTTCCATCTCCGGATTCCGCGTCACCATGACAACCTTCACCATCAAGTTGTTTCCGCCCTGCCGAATCATGTTGACGACCTGTCGGTGTCCAACCTTCACTACGTTCTGTCCATTGACCTGGAGTGGAGAGCTGATGGTTAAAGCAGTGCAGGCTGGGATGGAAGCAGCGGGGCAACTATTTAGCAGGAACTCTCAAGAGGACTCTCCCTCTTGGTGGCTTCCCCCAGGTCTTGGGATGCCTCGCCGAGAGAGACCTGTCTAGCCATGTCTCAGATGACCTTCTGCCAGCAGGCAAGTTCATTTTAACTTAGGCCTTCCTATAAGCAGAGCTGTAATTATGTAGAAGCTTACTGGTCTTTTTAAAAATTGATTTCATTGATATTTCACTTGCCTTGTTACAATGCTTTTCCTCTTAACTTTGCATTTCATTGCCGTTATAATAAAATATAACAAAATGCCGTATCGGCATTGTTAGTCACCTTGAGCACAACTTGGCAGAAAGGTGGGATGCAAATTTAACATACAAACAGGGTGGGGTCCAGGTTTAGTCGCACTTAGCACAGAGTAGACAAACTTAAGCCCCAGTGATTCCAACAAGTCAACTTGGAAGTAGGATTAAGGCTGCAATCCTAACCTACTCAGAGGTTGTTTACGTTGTCGGCATCCCACTGAATTAACTCCCAAGTTAGCGGGGCCGTCGCTGCAGCCTAAACCTGGATGCAACTGATAAAAGAGAGAGAATTCCTTCTTCCTCTAATATAACACAGGAACTCAGGATCACCCAAGAGAACTGATTAGCAGTCGATTCAGGAAAGGACTTCATTGCTAGAATGAAACACACAAGTAGGAGTGAGCTAGCCATTACTTTAAGGCTTTAAAGGGGGGCTGGGGAGGCTCACGGCAGCTACGGTCTGTTATTTTCCATCTCCGGGGGCAAAAATGCCACTGAATTCCAGTCACTGGGGAGCAAGAACAGGGAAATACTGCTGCTCTCACGCCCCACTTGTGGGCACCCCAGCAGGATCTTGCTGATCACTGTGGGAAAATGGAACTTGGGTCTGACCCAACAGAGCACTTCTGGTGTTCCTATGACTAAATCAGAGGATTGTGGTGGTGGTACGTATAACATAATTGCAAAGTCCTAACAAAAGCCAAACATTTGCAGCATTATGTGCCATTCAGCCTGGTTTCTTCGTGAAACGCCTATTTATTTTTAAAACAGAAATAGAACGGGCCATCAAAGCTACAAACCTGTATGTTCAATGAGGGGAAACCCTGGAAAACATAAGGAAGCTTTGGAAACTGGTAATTAGAAAAAACAACAACACAGGCCACGCAATGGTGCGGACTTGCTTTTAAATGTGCGAGCCCAGTGCAGATACCCAAGGAAGCACTCGTGCACCCATATGCACCCTCCCCATGCAACACGAGTGTAGCACAAGAGTTTGTGAAAAGTTCCAAGAGCAGCACAGAGGCAAGTCTGCCAAACCATTACCTCAATGAGGAAGTCCCCCATGCGGAGACCAGCCTGCCAGGCCACACCCCCTTCATCCACTGACTCCAGGTACTGCAGCGCAGGGAAAGCAGGGGTGGGTGTGAACTCCTCAATTGGGGTCTGCGCTGTAAAGAGAGAGGTGTGTTAAGTGACGCCCCTGGAGCTACATAAGCACCTGCCAGGCTGGGGTGGGCAAGCGAGTGGGGTGGCAGCAGGAGGGCAACACAGGGGATCATGGCTTTGCTTGGCATTTCTGTGACACCTCCTCTCTGTGAAAACAAACCACCGTTCGTTTCAAATCCCAGATCTGAAGACCCTTGTTTTCCAAAGTCAGGAGCGAGCGGTGGAGCTTGGGAAGTGTTTAACAGAGTCGGTGCTTCTGAGCAGTGTCAGAAACTCAGATATATAAGCTAGGCGCCAAATGGCTCCTTAAACCAAGGTTACAATCGCCAACGCAGAATGCCTAGTTGCCATTTTGGGGCAAGATGGATCCAAAGTCTTACTTTTCAAATGATGGACTGGCTGTGATTGATTCTTAGCTAAACATCTGGCTAGTTCAGATGACAACCTTGAGCTAGCTTTGGGAACTTAAAAGAAGAAAAGCCACTTGATCCAGGCACAGTCCACATATATTTTGGCCTATTCAAACCTCTTTCCTTAATGGTGAGTGCTCATGCTCAGGCTGCACAGAAAAAGCATTTTGGTTCCATAAATTCATTCTAATTGTGCAGATAAAATATAACGGATAGAATTCTACAGGATGGGGTATTAGTGTATGCAAACAATTCAGATTCAATAATCCCCAGGCACGCACCTCCAGATGGTGGAGATGTCAGGCACCATCCTGGTCCCCACACATCTTCACTTGGTCACAAGTGTTTGAAAGCAGGTGCAAAATGCGCCTAGCGCCTGGCTAATTTCAAACACTGTTTCTGTGTGTGTGCAAAGCACCATTCTCCCCCTCAAGGCCATGACCAGCCCCTGCCATACGCATCTGGGGCTAGGGGGCAGGTTTCTACGTCAAGGTCATCCCTGCAAGGTGAAGGTCAGCCACAGCACCTGCCATTTTTTAGCACAGCTTACACCCTGGCTCTCTAGCTTAATGTAAGCCAAATATCCAGAGCCAGCCTAGCTTTCTCTCCTGGAAAACCAAATTTTCCACTATGGGTAGTAGCACCCAGCCTTTCGCATCTATTTTCAGCCATTTCAGCACCTTCTGGCACTGTTTCTCTTAGGTCGAGTAGGAGAACTTTGGTCATTCAGATGTTGCAGGACTGCAACCCCCATCTTCCCAGGCTATCGGCCTCCTATCAACTCTCCCTATGCCCACCATTTCCTCAACCTACTATAAGAATGACCACAGCCAGTTAAGTAGTCACTAATCTTCATTAACTGATTTTGAGTTTGCTCATGTGTTCTGAAGCAGGGGAAAGCAATGGAGGTGGGCGGGCAGGCAGTGCAGACCTGGGCTCCTTCAACAGCCAGCCAATAGCTAGAGGTGGCCCTAGTGTCCAAGAGTGATGCTAACTCCCCCTCTCACCCTTGGCCCCTCTTAGCACAAAGCCAAATCCTTCGTTGTCCTTCTTCTGCAGCAGCACTGTCTTCTCTTTAATGATGTAGTCACTGCAAAGGAAAGAGACAACAGGACAGGTTAGGAGGCAGCCACATTCCAATGGGAATTCCCAACTCAGACACTCTTCCAATGTACAAAGAATAACTAGAGCGTAATACACTGCCCCGCACTGCTAACACAGCATCACTCATGCAGGAAATCCACGGTGCACCTGGTTTGCAGAACTTGCTGGCTCCAGATCTCTCTTCCTTCCCCTTTCCATCGCTGGACAAAGTTCTGATACTGCAAATATGGCACCTACTGCACACTAACAATGGAACCCACTAGAGGAGGCAGCACATTGTCAAGGTTCTGAAAGGGCATACAGGGTCAGTGCAAAGGGAAATAGCATTGAACTTGTTCCTGCTGTAGGAGGCCCTAGCACTGCAAATGCAAGTGCATAGCCTCCCTGGTCTACAGGGCTTAGGTTCTGGAAACCTAGAAGACACTGCACAACATCTGATACAAGCAGCATACGCTCAATGCAAATATAGATGTCAGTGCACAGAATATACACATTACCCCCTTGGAATGCACTGCACAGTGTTTGCTATCTACAGCTTTGCCAGCAAATTTATAAAAAGCAAAGCACAATCTTTGCATTGCAAATATACACTGCATGGTGCTGTAGCAGCGCAAATCTAGCATACAGGAAAGCAGCATGACTAGGTACAGAAAACACTGCACAGACATATACTCCAAATACAGTGTCTACTGCACAACCTTTGTTACAAGCAACACAGAGAAAATAGAGCTTACTGCACAGGGCAACACTTCTGCAACACAAAATATACCATGTATGCTCACTGGCACTGCATCAGACTGGCATAGGTTATGCAGAACAAGCTGCATAGTCCCAGTGCACATGGCACATTCAAATCCAGAGCCTACTGCAAGTCTGGAGCAGTACTGCAAATATAAAGCCCACTGTTCAGCCACCCTATCCAGTATTGCAGAAAGAGTGCCACAGTGCAGGCAGCCATTTATTCTAGCTGCAAATACAAAAACCACAAGTACTGCACAGGCTTCAGGCACTGCAAATATAATCACTTCACAGTACTGCAAAACTGAAAATGCAGTGCCTGCTGCTGATAGACACAGCATTGTGGGGTTAGAATGGCACACCGCCATAAATCCAGTTCACTGGATATGACAAAAGTACTCTGCAGGCTTCACTGTGCTGGTACTATCAACCCCCCACCCCCACCCCTCAAAGGATCCAGAGTTCACTGCTGACAGCAATCTGACAGGGAAACAGACAGCAGAAGGAGCTCCCTCTTTGGCAATCCTACAATTCTAGTCAATAACCACAAGCACTGCCACTCCAGCTGCCCTGACAGCATTCCTCCAAGTTTCCATATGTTACTTCCCTCATCATGGATCCCAGTTACAGGCCTTACAACATGCACCCACAGCAGTGTCTACAACAGGTCCACTGAGCCAAACTTAGCCCACAGGTCATGTGCCACCAAGGACTTACTAAACCTCTTTTTGTTGCCTGCCAGGACTGCAGAAACAGGAAGGCCATCAAAGCATCTAGCAGGCCACACGATACACGTGGCTGGTGAGCAGCTTGATCTGGTGGGTCGCTAACCTATCCCATATTTACTTGAGTCTGTAGAAAGCATACCCTTAGCGCACCACAGGTGCTATTCAATGCGCACAAAGCATTAGAAAGAGAAACACGCACAGTCCATATTGGACACAGTTAAGAGGTATGTGTGTAAGAGATGTGCTCTTTTTAAGCACATTTTTGACTGGCAGGCGAACACATACAAGCAACACGCAGTGAACAGAAATGTGCGGTGCTGCCACACCCACAGATAGCAACGCTGCCGACAGAAGGAGATTTCCTGGATACAGAGCAGACTTGGGAAAGCGGTGCCAAGTGAACAGACACCATCTCACATAGAGCACAGCTCACCATGCTCACGAGTGAACTCCTGAGCCCCAGCATGTACATGCATGGTGATAACATCCTCACACCTTGTATAAATCTAATCCCCACCTGAAACACAGCGATGCTCAGCACCCCAAATACTTCTAAAGTATATTTATTTACTGCATCTCAAATGCCACCCAGTAACCAAAACAATGCACCTTCGTCATGTGCTAGACTGACACTTTGGGCTTCCGTGTACCTCCAAGTATAAGTGGCACAAGCAAAAAAAACTCCCACACCATCTCCTGGTCCCCATCTTCACACAGATCCTCTACATTAGGGAAACGTAATCCTGCACAGAATATCCCTGGGAGAGAAGCATGGGAGAAAGGACTATCAAGCATCTTAGTTCAAGGCCAAGCCTCTCGAGGTTAGAACCCGTGAGATTCTAGCGATCCACATGGACCCAACCAGTGGAAAGGAACAAGAACAGGGAAGCGGCTCACATTTCTTGCTCCAAGTCCCATCTTCTGAAGCGAGGGCACTTATCACAACAGTGCTTTACAGAAGCAAAAACCTCTCTCCCCCCAGCATTTTGGACACCCAGACCCAGCACCCTAAGGTAGCAAACTGCAAGTGACAGAACAGTTTTCCTTTGATGAGATCATCGTATCATAACATTAACATATATTTAACACATATATGAGTTCTCTGCAGAAACCCATGACAAAACAAGGCCTTGGAAAGATCTCCCTTTTGTTCCTTATCCTCACAGGCCCAATCCAAGATACAACTAAACCTAGCTGCACACAGCTGCAGTTTTCAACACTGCAGTGTAACTGTAAAGGGATTTGGAAGCTCAATCTTCCAATTAAAAAGTGCATGGCTTATTCCATTAGATATAATATATGCAGGGACTGGTGTACATATTCAAGGGTTAACGCGCCGATACGATAAATGTGACAGCATGCGTTGAAGCATGCGTGTTATGCTCAAATGTTCACAAGTCAATGCAGTAATCTGTATGCACACAGTAAGTTAAGCTTATGTTCATGCACCAAATATATACATTTGGATCCACAGACCACAACGTGCAACTGCACAAATTTTCATATGGATGTTAAAGGTGAACTGGGGGGTAGGGAGAGGAGGATCATATTTAAAACACACTATACTCATGAACAAACCTGTATGTAAAACTGTCTGCATGCAACAGACTGTCACAAAGATATATCACTACATGTGTACATAACCAATGCACATGCTTGGAAGGAGTGTTGTTTAGTATGTGTAGAGGATGTAGCACATCATGTTCCACAGGGTCAGGCTTTTACTATGAAGAACAGAACAAACCATAATCCAGAATGCATGTGTGTTGCTTACCAGCACACAGCTCTGTGCATATGCATAGACCAGACATTAACACATATACATCATAGAGAGGCACATGCACACATACAATACTTTGCTTCCCAGAACTCCTCAGCCACCGTAATCTCAGGGCACAATACAGTTATGACGGCAGCATTAATCAATAGTGAAGCTGTATGCAGCGGATGGCGCCCATGCAGATGTGCACACACATACACACACATTCAAACTTCACAGACACATAAGTACCCACAGCCACTTCACAGTGTACACGGAGAGTCTACACCCATGTCGTTTCCCACCCTCAAGAATCTTCATGCACACAGAGGCACTACCATGCATACCTTGCACAAATCATTCCCAGATGCTCTCTGTGCAGCCATACAGAGGCACACAAACCGTGTAGACGAATACCTAACCATACACACAGCACACCCCGACCCGTATGTAGAGATGCATGCACACGCACACACAAGCCCTCACTGACGCACACTGCGCGCGCACACACGCGCAATCCTCTCAAAAACAGGCACACACACCTCTCTCCGTAAGAGGCATGCTAATCTCTGCCCCCCCCCCCGGACTCTCCCTCGCTGCCTCGCGCGCGCGCGCTCACATACCTAATCTCTCTGGCAAGCACCTTCAACCCATCACACACCGTCAGCATCGTCCCCCCGTGGCTCCCACTCGCATCCATCCATCCATCAATCCGGGCGGGCGCGCGCAGGCTGAATGGCCGGATGCATGGAGCGGGGGAGGCGTTGTGCGCGGAGGGCGCGAGCTGGGAGCCGGCAGCGGCGCTGGATGACTGACTGAATGGCTGCATGAATGGCGGGCGGGTGCGCGGGCGTGAATGGGCTGCGGAGGGCGGGCGCGAGGCGAAGGGATGAATGGGGCGCCGGGGAAGGGGGCCCGCGAGGCATGAATGGGGGCCGGCTCCGCTGGGCTGGGAGGCCGCCGCCGCTGCCGCCGCACGGGCCAGGGCCCCACGGCCGTGCCTGCCGATGGCTGCTCCGCTTCCTCCTGCTCCTCTTCCGACCGTACCTGTAGATGTACCAGACGCTCCGGCGCCGGGGCCCCAGGGCCGGCCAGCTGGACGAGAGGGCCGGCTGCTGCTGCTGGCTCCCGCCGCCGCCGTCGTAGCGGGCCATGGCTCCGCCGCCGCCGCCGTTGATCCCAGGCCCCCAGCCGCCGCTGCCGCCGCCGTGGGGCCCAGCCACATTCTAGGGGCGCGCGGTGGGATGGGGAGGCGGGCGGGGGGCGCAATAGCGGCAGTAGCGGCAGCAGCAGCAGCGGCGGGAGGGCTGCACCATACTCACATCATGGCACCGCGGGAAGGAAGGAAGGAAGCAGGGAAAGGACGACGACGGAGCAGGAGGAGAAGAAGAGCGGGGGGCTGGCGGGCAGGCCGGCCTGCCGGCCTTGTTCATTGGCAGCAGGAGCCGAGTCCAACGCCGCCGCCGGAGCGAGCGGGAGAGCGCACGCCGACCAGCCGGCACGCTTGCTTAACCCCTTGCGCACAGGCGCACCCGGCGATGCCGCGGCACTGCAGGAAGCGGGCAGGCCGGCCGGATGGTTGGCAGGCTGGCTGGCCCAGCTGGCTCAACCTCTCGGTCGGTCGTGGGTAGCGGCGAGAGGGAGCCCCGCGCCTCTGAGCATGTGCAGAGCGCCTGGCGCCGAGTAGCCGCAAGCAGAGCGCACGTGCACCCGACACACACACACACACACACACACACACACACACGAGAGAAGCATGAGTTCGGGCACCTCTCTTTTGAGAAAGTAAAGACTGCAAGAGACATGATGCTCATGGTCTTCCCCCTCCCACCACAAACGCACACCCCCCAAAGACAAATCCTTCCTCAATTAAGACTGTTTTGCGCTCTACCTGATCAGTTGGAAAGCAGCACCCTATGACAACAGAGGAGACTGGACAGACGACCCAAAGGGCCCTTCTTCACCCCAACACCTCATTCATGTTTTTTGTTACTCCATGCCACAAGAAGTAGCGAGGGCTGCTATCTTAGATGGCCATAAAAGGGGGTTAGACAAAGTTACGGAGGATGAGACCATCCGTGGCTATTGGCTACGGTAGTTAAAGGAAGAAGCCTCTATCCACTGGGGGTGGCGGCAATAAGCATGTTCTGCTTGTGGGTTTTCCAGAGGCATCTGGCTGGCTATTATGGGAAACAGGATGCTAGACTGAATGTCCGTTCCTTAGTCAAAACCAGCAGGGCTTGTTCCGTATGAGAGGATACCCTGTGGAAATAGAAGCCACCAAGGCCAAGCCAGCTACGGTTGCCTTTCCACTCTGTGACAAAACTGAATTTTAGGTCTAGGCAATGGCTCGCTTTCTGAACAGCTGGCTCCATCTCTCTGGAAAGAGCTCCCTTATGATCCCCTCTCGAGTCCTCCTGTCAAAAGGCTCTAGGATCCCTGTATAAATAGGTTTCCTCACTCCCAACAGGAAGACTTTTTAGCACTGGATGACGGGTCCCTATAGGAACAGCCACAGGAGGGAATGGATTTGCCTTTGGAATTGGGGCAGCTGTTTGGAGAAGGGAATCTTTATCTAGTCCCCTGCTCCTGGTGCCATAGCTGCATTTGGGGCTAGGCAACTCTCCCTTAAGCAGTGGTACCAGTACCAGCTGCAGCTCCCCCTCGGTATTCAGGGAAGAAGGGAGCCTTGGATAGAAAATCAGCAATGAGTGGGACAGGGTGACCCCAAATGCATGAATGGCTCCATTGCCGCCATGTTTTCAGCAAGCAAGGTTTCGACAGCTGCTTTTTCATTCAGGAACACCAGAGCCCATCACAGTCCCAAATCCCTTTACACATTACATTCCACATAGTTCCTGCATATACATCATAGGGTGCACCTGAATTCACCCTTACTTCAGAGTACGCGTGCTCAGGAGAAAGCTACAAGTACCAGTGATTTCTATGGGATTTGCCTCCAAGCAAAAATGTGCATAGGACCACACACAGAGACTTTATAGCAGCATAACTTGGCAGTGAATACAATTTTGGTGAGTGAGCGTTACTTCTTAGCACACAGCGTTGGTGCCCTGTGAAAGTTTACTTGGGAGTTTGCTGTGCTGAATTCAGAGGAGCTTATAAATTAACCTTTGCAGGTAAGGTTGTGCTTTATCTTCCCAACCATCATGCAACTCTCTCTGTAGCATCCTTCAAGTTGCAGAACAGCACCATCGCCCCACCCGCCCACCATCTTTCTCTCACAGACATGTAAAATAAGCTAGTATTCTTCATGTACGGCTAGTCATATTTGCATTTGCACACTCACACATACAAGCAGGCAGGCTTGTGAAGAGCAATCGTCCTGCTCACCTTAAAGAATTTCCTCTAGGAAATTTCCATGAAGGTGTTCCTTTTACAAAAAGTGGTTCTTTTTATAAAGGTCACAAATGTCTAACACAGGCGCCTACAAACAAGATAATAACTTACACAGATATATTTGCAAGGCTGCACAACAAGGTATTTGCATGGTAGGCTACACAGATAGTTGCTTTGGGGGTGGGGTCCCCAGAGAACATAACAGAACAAGGGAAAGGATATCTTCCTCTGGAGTGCATAAAAGTCTTTGACAAATGGAATGGCAGGTATTTATCACTAAGCAAGGCTAAACTTCAATGCAAAGGCTTTGAGCCACCAAGACCCTCAATATATGTCATTGAAAGCAGCCCCACATGTCCCACCCCCACCCCCAATTGGCAGAAGTTCACTCAAGTAGCTGTGCTGTAGATCAGACAAATTAGATACTTTTTGATGCTTCTTGTTATATATTTTTAAAAAGAAATGCACACATTCCTATAGCCACAAAAGTTGATTGGGGGAGGGAGGAAATGCTATTTTTCAGACTGCTGGTATGTACAGAGACATGATATTGATATGTATGCAAAAGGCACACTGTCACAAGGTCAGTAATGTTTAAACGATCTCGATAAGGTGACACACACACTGAACTAGAGTGACACATTACCTGTGGTGATGTTTGGCTCATCAGATGGGGGCAAACTGCAAGTAACTTGCAGATGCATGCAATAAAGGCTTAAGAGTTTTTTAAAAGAAATAAAAGGAAGGAAAGAAAGAAAAGAAAAAAGAAATGAAAAACAGCTTTGGGAGAGGCCCATTTTGAGAAGAGAAGCAGGGTGTGGGGTGTGTGTGTGTGTGTGTGTGTGTGCGCGCGCTCGCTCGCGCTTAACCCTTCCTCCTCTGGACATGTTACTTCTCTTAATCTCTCTCATCCTGCCCACCCAGCCAAGGCTGCTTTACTCTCTGCAGTATTTCAGCTGCAGGTTTGCCCTCATAAATTCAGAGCCTACCGTTAAGCAGTGGCTAAAGGTGATTCACAAGAGGTCAGCATGAAGGGGAAACTAACTGCCTATTTCTGACACAATACAGAAGGTGGGAGCAACTGCTGCTGCAGTATAAAACTAAAACTATTCTGCCCCCTGGGCAGGATAAATGGGACAAAACATCAAGTGTGCATAAGCTCTCAGTCTTTCTCTCCTACATGGGCACACAACGTTCAGGAACTTGGCACGCACAGCGGTGAAGTAACAATGCACAGCTCTTTGCAAGGCACAGTGTGCAAACTCTCAAAAACTAACAGCCTTCTCCTTCAACACACACTTCCCCGCAACGATTGCACCTGCCTTCTCATGACTTATGCTTCTTAGTCCTTCGGAGTCAAGAGATTTATCTCCCCCATTGGTGGGTGAACCTTGTCCTGCCCTAGCAAACAAGTCTCCCACTTCAAATTTTATTCCCGTTACAGAAGCAGGTCAGGACACAGGTGAAGCGAAATGGGTCACAACAGGGAAGGGGGGAGATGCGCGCTGATTATTTCCCTGCCACCAAAGCACTCCCGTTACACACTGCCCACCCTGGCCGGTCTAACACCCACGCCACTCACCCAGTCACATCTGTCCCCATGGTGCTGCCCAACTGGTTCACGTGGCCACTGGCATCCTGGCATGACCCATCTTCTCTGTCTGGCTGCAGGCAAAGACCACTGCCCCAGGGGGTTCTGGGCCTATCCAGCCACCTGGCACCAAGAACCCTAAGCAGGAATCGTGCGAGCCCCGTGGTGGGAAGAAGGAGGGGCGAGCTTCTGCACGGGCGAGCAGACCCTCCGCGGCGGCACCTCGGCCAAGAGCTCCGGATCAAGCGCTCCCGTTTCCAGATTCAAAGCCAGCCCAGTTTCGGATGCACTGCCTGCCTTCTGAGCTCAAGGACATATGCCGACAGAAGGAAACACAGCGCAGTGCGAATCGGAGCATCTGCGGCACACAGGCTCGGAATAACTGGGTCCGCTGGGGAGGGAGAGCCAAATGGAAGGATCCAGGGCGACGGGGAAGGGTGGGGCAGAGCGCAGGTTGAACTGTGGAGGACAGTGGTTTGAGATTGAGGGTCACAGGCAGGAGCCCGAGGGACGGAACAGACGAAGGGAGCCAGTCGTGCACATAAAAAACCCCATCAGAACACTGAGATGTTCCCTGTGGCATGTGGGTCACAAAGGAGGGCAGAATTGCCAGCCCTGGGAATGGCTGGGGTTGTGGGGGAGGAGGTCAGAATTGTGGTGTAGTGGTTAAGAGTGGTAGTCTCGTAATCTGGGGAACCGGGTTCGTGTCTCCGCTCCTCCACATGCAGCTGTTGGGTGACCTTGGGCTAGTCACACTTCTCTGAAGTCTCTCAGCCCCACTCACTTCACAGAGTGTTTGTTGTGGGGGAGGAAGAGAAAGGAGAATGTTAGCCGCTTTGAGACTCCTTAGGGTAGTGATAAAGTGGGATATCATATCCAAACTCCTCCTCCTCCTCCTTCAGAGGCAAGTGGGGACATGGATCAGAATTTGGGGCATATCAGGACAGTAAGGAGGAGAGTTGAGGAACATATGGCTTGGAAACTAGAGTAGGGGATGTGAGCTGACTCTACAGTAATGATATTAGTTTTGGGGTGAAACAAAAGGGTTTCGGGCAGGAGAGCAGGAAGGCTCCAGCAAAGTGACAAGCTTCATTTGTACTTGTTCACCTTAGCACTTTTTCTTTTATGTTGCTGTTTATGGAGCCAGGAGAGGGTGAATGACAGTAGAGGTCAGTCCATTAGGGCGAATGCAGCCCTGACCCACCAACCTCAGTCTGTCCCCAGTCAGCTGCCTCTTTCCTTACAACCAGTCTAGGGGGTGGCTCTGCCTGCCGTTGGGTCTGGCTCCACCTACTGTTAGTCTCCCTGCATTCAGCCCTATAGACTGCATGGGCACCAACCATTGTTGGTGAAAGAGGTTCAATGGGCATGAGAGAGAGCAAAGAAGCCTGTCATCCCGGTGCCAGAATTGTAGAGGTAGTGTACATGCTGTGTGTGTGTGTGGAGGTTACACTAAGTCATAGAAGATGGGTGTATCACCAATTTATCTTGGAAATGTGAAGAGACTGAAGGGAAATTTATACACATGTGGTGGAGTTGCAAGAAAGCCAAAGAGTTTTGGGAGATGATATACTCAGAACTAAAAAAGATGTTTAGGGTTCCAAGAAACAAGAGATGTTCTTATTGAGTATAGTACAGGGGGAAATACCCAAGAAAGTACTTCGTCTTTTCCTCTATGCAATAACAGCAGCTAGAATAATTTATGTCAAAAGGTGGGAGGACAAAAATAGTCCCGCGAAAATAGACTGGCAGATTAAGCTAATAGAATATGCAGAGCTAGCAATGTTGACTGCAAAGATAAGAAATCAAGATGAGTGGGAATAGTTTGGTGAATATTTAAAGAACTATAACAATCAGATAAGCTTCTAAGTGGGGTTAGATATATGAGCAGCAGTTAAAACAAGTAGAAGAGGGGTGGTAATTAAGGAGATGCAGCTTAACAAGGACAAAATAAGACCTCACGGAGGGATGTGTGTGGAAGTCAAAGAGTGTAAGATGAATGATGACAATTGTATAACTGATGTATTAAGATATATAAAATGCATAAATGTATTTTTTTTAAATAAAAAAAAAAGATTGGTGTATCAATTAGGATCAAGGGTAAACTACATGTCACACACAAAAGTGTGTTAACTATAGGCCAGTAACCCTTAAGAAACTGTGATTGATATCAGGGAAGTGGTAGCATGGAAGTCTCGTGGCGCAATGGGTCAGTGTGCCTGGCTGTTAACCAGAAGGTTGCTGGTTTGAGCCCACCCAGGGACGGCTGAAATTTCTATGAATTCTAAGGTGAGGGAGAATGAGAGAAGGTGCTTAATCCTCTCCCCACCTGCTGTTTTCAAATTCTCATTTTTCCTCCCTGTGGGGTTTTAAATGTATGGTTTACCCTTGCCAGGTTCTAAGAATGGACTACTTTAGTCAGCTTTTAAGTTTTCAGTTTAAGATGTGCCCAGAGAGGACTTAAGAAATCTTGAGTCTACATCAGACTTTTAATCTACCTGGGAAGTTTGCCACCTCTTGTCAGTTCTTTTTATTTATGGGCTGACAAGAGGCCTGTAAACTGAGACAGCGGTAATATGTATGAGATTTAAGAAGCGTAGGCTGGGGAGCTACAGACAGAGTCCAGTAACCATTTGGAGCTGCAGGGACTGGGAAATGGTCGTGGGGCCTGGCAGCAGGTTAGCGGGCGGCAATCGCCTGCTCCACCAGGCCTTTGAGTCGGCACACCAAGGCCTGCTCCAGATTTGAGGGGCTCCTCAGCACAGTGTCCTTTGGGGGGTCTTCTCTCATGCCTGCCTGTGAGCCTCCCACTAATCAGACCCTGTGGTGTGGCACTGGACGGCACTGGTTTTAATTTTCCCACAATGCCCCACAGAGCCAAGCTGAGTGTAACTCCAGGATATTGTGGGAAATTTAAATGGCTCCTTGTAGCTGCCTCCTGTTGGGTGAGCAGGGGGAGGGGGTTTAAGGCAGGAATCAGTGCCAGTGGGTCGCACCAGACTTTCGGAACCAGGCAGTTGCCTGGGGGTGCCAAGTGCTGCTACCAGCCCAGCTGGATCAGGGGTAAGAGACCTGAGCTGCAGACCCTCCAAGTGTCCCTATTTTTCAGGGACAGTCCCGGATTTCTAAAAGCCATCCCGGTTTCTGGTTTGATCCCAGAATGTCCTTAGGACGTCCCTATTTTCATCAGAGAAATGTTGGTGGCTATGGAGTTATCCAAGCCATCTGAAGGGAAGCTTTCAATGTTTAATGTTTCATTTAGTTTTCATATATGTTGGAAGCCACCCAGAGTGGCTGAAGAAACCCAGTCAGATGGGTAGGGTACAAACAGTAAAATCATCATCATTATTTTTTTATTATGGAATTGGGCGTCCCAATTTTCATCAAAGAAATGTTGGAGGGTATGGAGTCAGCAGAGTGGGTTTTATCAATTCAGGCTGCGGGTAGGCAATCACATTTTAAAAGCTCTACAACATTGACGTCCAACTCCCAAGAGATTGTGATCTACTTCTGGAAAAAGTAGGGAGGAGGGGCGGGCAAGCCAAAGTTGTTGAGATTTTTTTAGGGTGGCTTTTTGGGGGGGAAGCAAAAGTTGCTGAGCTTATTTGAGGGGGGGATGCCATACTTCTGCTGGTTTTGGGGGGGCGCGCCATAACTCCGTCTTCCGTTTTTGCAATCGTGCGAGATTAAAGGACAAAGTGAGGGGGCGGGCCTGGGTCCTCTTTTTCCCCCCACGGAGGAAAATGAGCCCGTGATCAACGACTGTCACCCAGGGATCGATCTGTCGATCGCGGTCGACCGGTTGGACATCCCTGCTCTACAACATAGGTGGGGAACCTCAAGTCCAGGGATCAAATGTGGACCTTCAGGCCTCTCCTACCTGGCCGATGGAATTATTCTACAGGTTGCACACACCCTCCTCAAATCACTCTCCTCAGTGGCAGACTCTGGGATCTCAAAGTTCAGTGTCACCCTGTGCAAAGCCAAAATTCAGTCCCCTTGCCTTCTCAAGCTCCATTCTAAATCATAGCTGTGGCGCTCCCTGTGGCGATTCTGCAGGTCTGCCCCCAGTGCAACTGAATCAGTTGTGCTCCCCTAAATTCGCCTCTGCTCCCCTCACAGGCCCTGCTTAGCACCCCTAGTATTTTTGCCTGGTTGGAATGTGTCCTTGAACTCTGATGATGCCCCTTCCTTGCCTGGTTGGAAGATATACAAGGGTGTGTCAGTGTGTGTAGAAACCAGCCTACTGTATGAAGGTTGCTCAGAAGGGAAGACTGCCCTTGGGCTGAAAAAAAATGTTTCCCTGCTCCTGCTCTACAGCGGTAAAAATAAAAATAAAACTCCCTGGAAGTTCCACAAAACCCAAAAGTTAGCACCTGAGGAAGTATGGAGAGATCAAGGTGTTTTCTCAGGTTCAAACTCCTGCAAAAGCAGGGATGGGACACCTCAGGTGCATTGGCCAAATGTGCCCCTCTAGGCCTCTCTGTGTGGCCCCCAGAAATCTCCCCAGGCAACACCCATCACTGGCCGGCTGTCAAACCGCAAGACATCAGCGCAGGTGGGCCCTGCCACTGCCTGGGTCTCAACCACTGCCCTAGAGTGGCAGGTGCTGGTGCTGGGCCTGCAGTTTTGCTCCCTTCAAGATCCGGGACTGGAAAAGAGGAGGAGAGTGTGAAACTGCATACCCTCTAACAGTTCTCCAATGAAATTAGGGACGGCCTAAAGGAAAGCAGGACATTCCAGGATCGAACCAGAAACCGGGGCGGGTTCTGTAAATCCGGGACTGTCACTGGAAAATAGGGACACTTGGAAAGGTCTATACAATTGGGAATCCTGAGAATGCAGTAACTCCAACAGGAGCTGGGTATGGTGGCACAATGGGAGTGGTTTCAACGTACAGTGGTACCTCGGGTTACATACGTTTCAGGTTACAGACTCCGCTAACCCAGAAATAGTACCTCAGGTTAAGAACTTTGCATCAGGATGAGAACAGAAATCACGCGGCGGCGGCACAGTGGCAGCAGCGGAAGGCCCCATTAGCTAAAGTGGTGCTTCAGGTTAAGAACAGTTTCAGGTTAAGTATGGACCTCCGGAACGAATTAAGTACTTAACCCGAGGCACCACTGTAGTGCATTTACAATATTTTTAGGCTGCATTTAAGGGCAAAAGCCTCTGAATGAGAGGATTGCAGACTCAGTCTGGCAGAATATGGAACATGGACATGGGCTGTGTCTACACCATACATTTATAACATGTGGCTTCCCTCCCCCCCCGGCAAAAAAATTCCTGGGAACCATAGTTCCCCCTCACAGAGCTACAATTCCCAGCTCCCTTAGCAAACTGCAGCCTGCAGGATTCTTCTGGGATGGGGGGTGGGGAGGAAGTAATGTGCTGTGAATGCAGCCTTAAGCCGAGAAAGCCCACTCCACAGGATGACCCTGGGCAAGTGGCACTGTCTCAGTCCCCCATCTATCTCCCAGGCTTCTTGAGAGGCTAATCAAGGTAAAGATAATAAAGCACATTGTGCACTGTAAGTGCCGAGTAAATGATTCATGTAACTCGATCTGGAAGTGGTGGGTGCTACCATAATTAGTCTAATAAGAGAGCTGAAAAATTGGGCTCCTCCTCCTCCAGATGTAGGAGACAGAAGCTCAGAGATATTTTGCCAGTGGCCCAACCAGTGGGAACTTGTGCATTTATGGGAGGCAGGGATGGGGAATCTGAGGCCTTCACAATGTCGCTGGACGCAGGGCCGGCCCACCTGTGAGGCGAGGTGAGATGGCAGCCTCACGCGGCAGGGTCCACCGGGGCGGCAGATCTCAACATCAATCATTCTATCCCCCTCCCTCATTGTCCCTGATGTAGATCTTCCCTGACCCCCTTCTTTCCGGGTGGGGAGTGAGGGAAGGCCATTTCAGGTGCTGAAATGTCTTGGGCTGGCCCCGGTTTGGAAACAACTCCCATTATCCCAGACCATTGGTTATGGTGGCTGGGACAGATGTCAGCTGGAGGGCCACAGATTTCCCACCCTTTACTTAGAGGCAAAGAGAGGCCTTTCTGCTTATTTTAGGAGCTGAAACTGCCTGGTCCTCCAGCTTTGTGGCTGCACAGGGTTTTGTGCCTAACAAAGCTGAAAACCTGAAGTAGCCGAGTTTTCTGAATATGTCAAAAGCAGAACCAGGACAAGTTGCTTTATATTGTTGCCCCCAGATGTAACAAGAGTAGCTGCATCTGCCTAAATCAGCAGCTGAGGCAAAGTAGATGCGACATTAGCAGATCTGGGGGTTTAAAATCTGTACCTGCCATAACTGGGGAGGTTTAAGAAGCAAAAGGAGCGCATGGGTGCATGGGAGAAATGAAGTTCAGCTCACGTTTCATTATGAAGCTCCCCAATTCACACTTCCTGGAACATATGAGGACTGAAACACAGCTACCTTTCAAAATCTGCACTTCTCTGAATTGTGTGGTGCAGTTCTCCAAACAAATAACGTCTACAAAAAAATTGTATTTTAAAGGTGAAATGTGCGCAAAAAATTCATGTATTGGTGAAAAGAGCATACAAAGATGCATTATATTAGGGGGAATCGCTTGCAAAAAGTGTACATTAGAGAAAACTGCATGGGAAAGTGTTTCGGGAAATGCTTCTGCTAAATGCTGATGGATTTTCATGCTGCTGCAGAAAGGAGGAAAACTGAAGACAGGAAAATGGGGGAAACCAAAATCGACAGATTCATCCATCCCTAGTGAGTACAGAGGGGTTCCAAGGAAGTAATCTGTAGCAGTGGCGGCAGGTTAGCTCTCCTCATACCCTCTTTTCTTCCTTAAATCAGCCCCTCCAACAGTTCCTTTTAAGTGATTGTAGCAGATCCAGGTTTAGACACACAGATCTGCCACCACATTTAGTTTGGCCCATTGGCGAGCCACCAGGACAGTTGGTGCTACATAGCGGTTAGAGCATCGCACTAGGCCTGAGGAGGCAGACCTGCTTCATGAGTCTTATGGGATGTGTGGCCTAGTGACTGGCCTGCCTCGCAAGGTTGTTAGAAGGGCAAGATGTGTGCATAGGATGATATTGTATGCTGCTCTGAGCTGCCTGAAGGAGGGGCAGGATGCAAGTGTGGCGCTGTGGGTTAAACCACAGAGCCTAGGACTTGCCGATCAGAAGGTCGGCGGTTCGAATCCCCGCGATGGGGTGAGCTCCCGTTGCTCGGTCCCAGCTGCTGCCATCCTAGCAGTTCGAAAGCACGTCAAAGTGCAAATAGATAAATAGGCATCGTTCCGGCGGGAAGGTAAACGGTGTTTCCGTGCGCTGCTCTGGTTCGCCAGAAGCGGCTTAGTCATGCTGGCCACATGACCCAGAAGCTGTACGCCGGCTCCCTCGGCCAATAAAGCGAGATGAGCGCCGCAACCCCAGAGTCGGTCACAACTGGACCTAATGGTCAGGGGTCCCTTTACCTTTACCTTTTTAATGCAAGGATAGTACATTACTGTCTACATTACTGGGTTGATGTAAAGACTGCTGAGATGATCTAAGCGAGTGTTTTGAGCATGGCAAAGCAGTAGTCTCTCTTTCTGAATATAATATAAAATAAATGTTATCATGTCATATCATAAAACAGGTTTGCTGCATCAGGCCAAAGTAAAAAGGTGAAGGAGCCCTGGGTGGTTAAGTCCAGTCAAAAGCGACTATGGGGTTGCAGCACTCATCTCGCTTTCAGGCCAAGGCGTTTGTCCACAGACAGCTTTCCGGGTCATGTGACCAGCATGACTAAACCGCTTCTGGCGCAACGGGACACCATGATGGAAACCAGAGCGCACAGAAACACCGTTTACCTTCCTGCCACAGTGGTACCTATTTATCTACTTGCACTAGTGTGCTTTCAAACCGCTAGGTTCACAGGAGCTGGGACAGAGCAACGGGAGCTCACCACATTGCGGGGATTTGAACCGCCAACCTTCTGATCGGCAAGCCCAAGAGGCTCCGTGGTTTAGACCACAGCTCCAACCGCATCAATCAGGTCAGTGGCCCACTTGATCTAGCATCCTGACCAGATGCTTATAGTTACAGATAAGCAGTGCTTTTTTCATGGGGATCCTCAAGGGTATGCAGTACTGGCATCTCTTTTTGTTGTTGTTGCTGTTGTTGTTGTTAAAAAGTGTGGCATTTAACAACTTCATGGTGAGTACTGGCACCTATTTTTCTAGAAAAAAAGCACTGCAGATAAGTACTAGATTACAATTTGACTTGGGGAGTACAAAAGAAAAATAGGAAAATCCTTTAGATTTTTAGCTTCTGGGAAGTCTTTTGTTTTTTCCCTTCTCCAACCGTAAGGCATCTAGCCACAGAAATATGCTTTCTACCACTCTCACCGCTACTAGTACTACCACTAATAAAAATTATTATAACTTAAAAAGACATTGTTATCCATTATGGGAATACATGTATGCTCCTCCGGGCTTTCTAATGCATTCTTTCCATCCATACGGGGCCTCAGCAGTTTCTTAGTAAATGTTATTCTTTTTGACAGGCATGCACACGTTACCCATAATCCAACATGTTTCAAGCCAAAGCAGGTAAAGCAAAATCAGCTTAACTGTCCAATGGGAATCAGGAAACAAAACCTTTAATCACAGTCACTTAGGGCTTGCTGCCTTGAATGAAGTGGATTCTCGTCCACCTAAAGTCTGTGTCATAATAAATCTGATGGTCTTTAAAGCTAACCCTGTTTGGCTTTAGGGCCCCATTCATCTTGGCCAAGTGGTTCATCCATTCATCCAGGGGCCAAGTAACAGCACTGGGTTTGGCCCAAAGGGGTGCGGCTACCCCACAATCTCTCACATGCACACTAAACAGCCTGGATAGTTCAGTTGGTTAGAGCAAGGCACTGGTAACGCCAAGGTTGCAGGTTCGAACCCTGCATGGGACAGCTGCAAATTCCTGCATTGCAGAGAGTTGGACCAGATGATCCTCAGTGTCCCTTCCAATGTCAATTCTATGAATCCATAGCAATCCTCAGGTGATTCATGCAGTAGGGGTCTTACTGCTTTTTGCTAATTAAATTATCAATCTGATGAGTGGGGAGGAGGTAATTTCCATCCACATCTGTGTGTGGGGTTTCCTCCCATTCCAGCTTTGTCTCTGCTTCATTTGGTTTTTCTTTTTGCTGCCGTCACCAAAATTTGGGAGAGGGACTTTGGGGTGGCGGCGGATCACAAGCCCTTGAACTGGGGGTTAGCAACCCCTGTTTTAAAGTGCCACGGTACTCTTCATTACTGCAGCAGACAAACATGACTGCCCCTTAAACTTGTGTGTAGAAAGCAGTCATAGAATCGTAGAATTGTGGCGTTGGAAGGGACCCCAAGGATCATCTAGTCCAACCCCAGGCAAGGCATGAATCTCAGCCAAAGCATCCATCACAGTTGGCCATCCAACCATCCAATCTCTGCTTAAAAACCCCAAGGGAAGGAGAGTCCGCAACCTCCCATGGGAGACTGTTCTACTGTCAAGCAACTCCTTCTCATCTTCTTTGTCACGAGGTTCCCACTTTATCATATCCCACCTTTTGACTTGAAATCACTGTGAAACCTTCAAAGACTCCTGACAGAACCACCAGGCTGCAAAGGATGAGACAACCATCCAATCCATTCTTATTACATGCACTAGTGCCCCTCCTGTGTGTTCCCTCTTTACTCTCAATAATTCAGACTCTTGAATGCTGTAAGCCAGTGATGGCTAAACCTGGCCCTCCAGCTGTTTTTGGGACTACAATTCCCATGATCCCTGACCACTGGTCCTGTTAGCTTGGGAGGATGGGAGTTGTAGTCCCAAAACAGCTGGAGGGCCAAGTTTGGCCATCACTGCCGTAAGCAGTCAGCCAGAGTAAACCGAACGCATCACACCATGATGCCTGTCGAGCACATCACTATGTGACTCAAGCAAATGAGCCAAGCCGCACGCTACAGAGGAACGTAATAAGCAGATCAATACCTGTTCCTTCTCAACTCCCAAAGACTGTTATATACCAAGTATGAAGCAAATCCTATTCACAGAGCAATCCCATGCCCTATTACTCAGAAGTCCCACTGTGTTCAACAGGGCTTGCTCTCAGGTAACTGAGCATAGGTTGCAATCTCACTAAGCCTTCCTAAAAGTTCTGCTTCTTCTTCTTCTTCTTCTTCTTCTTCTTCTTCTTCTTCTTCTTCTTCTTCTTCTTCTTCTTCGTGAGCTTCAGCAGTCTCAAGTTGCGGCTGTTCTAGAAGCCACAGAGGAAATACTAAAGATGCCCCCCTCCACCAATTTCACTGTGGGCTCCTGCAGATGACCTATTTATTGAGTGTTCATCTTGATTTGCTTTCACAAATCTTATATAGAAGTTAGATTATATCTGGTCTGTTTTGAGTACAGGTATTTGTTCTGATCTGTCTGCAGGATGTTTACGCACCTCTGTGAATCACATGTTCATCTCACACTTTCCAATGCGTTTCCTTGCCACTCTCCTAGGCGGAAAAAGTCTGTTTCTTTTTCAAAGTGGATATGTTGTGCTGGGGCGACAGAGTGCTTAAATCCACTTTAATTGCGTCAACCTAAATTTCCAGAGATGCTCTTGTCTGGAAGGGCCTGAAGCCCACAGAACAGAAAAATCACATGATATCCCTAATAAATATATCCAGTTGTCTTGAACTCATGGATACTTTGCTTCCACAACACAAAGAGCAAGTTAAATTATTTTATGTTTCCAAAAGTTAAGGTTAGTTAATTAATAATCAGTAGCAACTTGTTAATTAGTTATAATTCCCTCTTATAGCCACTGTCCACAAAATTGCAAAAAAAGATTGCCCCTTCAACAGTTTTGAAATTAGCTTTTTTTCTCTCGATTAGCTTGAAATCCTTTGGTTTTTTTGCCCTATTTCTGACCCAACAGCCACATTTGCATGATCAGATCTTGGCTTAATAATCCAAGATATGCAAAAGCATATCCCTTGCTACCTCTCTTTACATGAGCAGTAAAACAAGCCAGGAAGCATGAGTTACTCATAGCTCCCTGTTATGCAAAATCCCAAAGTAGACAGGATTCAGACGCCGATTTTGAACTGCATCCTTGCTTGTTTGGAAGCTGTTCATCATATTTGTCTTGGCTTTCACATGATAGGAAGCTATGCTTAACTGTGACTTTCTGGTTTGTTTCACCACATGCGCAAAGAGGCAGCAAGGGGCTGTGTTCACAGGCAAGCTGCGCATGCATTTCATGGCTTATTGATTTGATGCTGCAAGCATAGATAGAGAGGCTGCCCTAGAATTTCACTCACAAAAATCAGAAAACTTCGCTTTTTGGACTGGAGGTAGTGTATGGGTTTTCATGAGTCTAAAGAACAACACACAGAAACTGATTATATTTGGATACGAGTAAGATGTCACCAGAAAGGGTGGCCTTTATGCCGTTAATCCACTTAAACTCTGTGCACCTTTGCACGGTCACATTTCAACACAATTCCACCTTGCACACAACCACAGATTGCCTAACCTCTTGGGCTCACCGTCCACTCACCTGGGGGCATCGAAACTGTCGTAGGAGCCAACCGTGTAGTGCCTGAAGAGTCGCTTGGCTTTGTCACTGCGGCTCTCTGTAAAGCAAAGCAGAGAAGGCGTGGGGATTAGGGCTGCAGAAGGGCACTTGGTACACAGACAGCAGCTTCCTTCTTAACTTTGGAACCTCCTGTCCTTCCTGCTGGTTCCTCTGGCAGCCAGTGAGTGGCAGCACAAGCTCAGCGCAGCTGGTGGCATGTCCAAAGGCGGGGAGACAGTCGGAAAGGGGGAGCTATAAGTGTGTCAACCATAGAGAAGATGGGAAAGGAGCCAAAGGGAAGCTGACTGCATGCGTCCCTATTTTCCAGGGGCAGCCATTATTGTCTGGCATTTGTCCCTAGTAAAATACAGCCCCAATTTTTGTGTTTGGAGGCGACCGTGAGGTTGCCTTTTACAGTTGTCCTTAGCACACACATGTGCACATATGTACACTGGTGGCATGTTATTACAGTTATACCTTGGTTTTCAAACAGTTTAGTTCTCAAAGCTTTTGGCTCCCGAACGCCGCAAACCCAGAAGCGACTGTTCCGGTTTGTGAACTATTTTTGGAAGCTGAATGTCCAACAGGGCTTCTGCCGCTTCCGATTGGCTGCAGGAGCTTCCAAACATTTGGTTTCTGAACGTTCTGGAAGACAAACGGACTCCCAGAACAGATTCTGTTCAACTTCCAAGGTACAACTGTATTGTAGTTAGTAGTAATGTAGCTTTGGATCTACAATGACTGGTAGTCACTGGTGACAAGGACTCCCATGCAGGCAAGCAAATGAGCTGGTGGAGAGCTCCATCCCAGGGGTAGCCCATTCCATTTTGCCGCCTGAGGCGAGAGGAGAAGGTGCCGCCCTGTGCATTTGCCACGCAACCTCCTTTGCTGCCCCCGCCACAGGTTGTAGCCTCCAGGTTGCGGTGAGATCTCGTGAGAACCCCGCGGAACTGCGCAGAGGTCTCTGATGACGCTCCAAAAACCGGAAGCTAATGCAGATGCTTCTCCTTACATCTCTGGTTGTGGTAGAGGAGGTCTGCCATGGATTCTGCCTTACGGATGGACCATTCCTCCATCATAGAAACCAAACAGGCAGCTACAGGAGGGAAACCCCCTACTTGGACCCTGCATACAAATGTATTGGGCTGCTGCAGGAAGGCTGGATCTCTCCGGCCCTCCTCTGCCATGCCCCAGCAAGGTAGTAAAAAACTGTGCAGGCTAGTTAGGTTTGCGGTCTTACTTACAAAATTAATAATAATAATAATAATAATAATAATAATAATAATAATAATACTTTATGACTGGTGCCAACACTACAATTCTTTTGGCACCAGAGTAAAACCTTTGTATTTGCCTGGGCACTTTAAGTACAGGTGATTGCTCTTAGTCCGTTCTATTGCTTTAACTGCTTTAAAATGTGTTTGGTCTCCTTGGAAGAGGGTATTGCATTTATCTGGGTATGACTAGTTTAGTTGCATCACTTGTACATACCCTTGCACCTATGAGGATGAAGGGTAGTTCATATGTATAAAAATACATTTGAACATAAATGTCCTTATTGACACTTTGCCGGCCCCCCGCCCTCTGCCACTCTAGAACTCTTTTGAGCAGGAAATTGCCTCTTCTTTCGAGTAATGATGAAGGCACCATCTAGTGCGCAGGCTGCTATTTCGCACATTGCATCTGGTGAGGCTCATTTTGAACTGTTAGGCGTAGTAACAACATATTGTAGGACAATTCTGTCTGGGAGAATGTGCTTAAATCGCATTCATCAGATTTAGCCTGTGACTAGGTTAAATCTGTCTCGGTTGTCTATAAACAAAGAATGCCAGCCTACCAGTTCCCCTCGAGGCCCTGCCTAACTGCCTATCGAGATACTAAATATTGCCAGATGTGTTTTGAGTTGCAACCAGTGTTATTATCAAGGTGCTGGTACTCACCATGAAATTGCTAAAGTAAGTGCCACATGTTTAACATTTGAAAACAAAAAAGGTCCAGTACTGCGTACTCGTGAGTACCCCCAGAAAAAAAGCACTGATTGTAACTATTTTGTAGTGAGCACATACAGATCCAATGAGATTGAACTGTCTCATTAAATAATCTTGCGTTTACAAAAAGGGAACCAGTTGCAGCCAGTTTACCAATCCGGTTACTCACACCCCCTTCTTTAGAAGCCAACGTGGGCAGCTGATGGCAGCAAAAAAATAACGCAGCCAGCCAGCAAAGTTTCCAACAATGTGCAACGTGTGTGTGTGCATGAAGGGTTGTGAGTATAGGAGCATCGTTGTAAATGTGCTATGGTCTGATTCGCACATCATGTTAAACCGAAACATGATGTAGTGGAAATTGTGGCTACTTTGCTCCTGCCCGATTGTTCTACTGCTGAGTTAAGCCATGCCTCGGGCTTAGCATATTGTCCAAACCTAGGTTCATGGTGAGACTAACCACAAGCTGTAACCAAGATTTATCCCATGGGTTTGTCCAGGAGAGTTAATGGCTCAGAGGTCATGCTAAGTCAAACCATGGTTTAGTGCAGCAGCAGAGCAACAGGGAAGAAGCAAAGCGGGCACCATCTCATGTCCAGGAGCCCTCATGCATGGTCATGCTGTGAAAATCAGTCCACTGTCCCTGTATTTCGTTTTGAAAATGGGGAACAGCATGTGACAGGAAGAAAATATGGCCACTTTTTTTAAGTGTGGTGGTCTTCACTTCCTAGAGTTTGGTCACAGTTAAATTGCATGATGAACATGAAGACCAGGCGTGAGAAATTAGGGCCCTCCATGTGTTATTGGCAGGGACGTGGGTGGCGCTGTGGGTTAAACCACAGAGCTTAGGGTTTGCTGATCAGAAGGTCGGCAGTTCGAATCCCCGCGACGGGGTGAGCTCCTGTTGCTCGGTCCCTGCTCCTGCCAACCTAGCAGTTCGAAAGCACGTCAAAGTGCAAGTAGATAAATAGGTACCGCTCCAGCGGGAAGGTAAACGGCATTTCCGTGTGCTGCTCTGGTTCGCCAGAAGCAGCTTAGTCATGCTGGTCGGAAGCTGTACACCGGCTCCCTCGGCCAATAAAGCGAGATGAGCGCCGCAACCCCAGAGTCGGCCATGACTGGACCTAATGGCCAGGGGTCCCTTTACCCCTTTACCTTTACCTATGTGTTATTGGACTACAAGTTCCATCACCCACTGACCATTGGCCATGCTGCCTGAGGCTGATGGGAGCTGGAATTGAATAACACTTGAAGGGACACCCATGTTGTAAAGAGTGATAGAAGATAGAAGGTGGAAAAGTCTCTAGCGGTGAAAATCTGGGGACAAGTGTGCGTGGAAGGAGCAGTACACTGTTGCTGCTGGTGATGGCGCTTCAATTCCATGCTTTAAAATAATAATAAAAAATGCTCAAATTTTGAAAAGAAAATCTGCGATGGAGGAGGCGGGGGCAGAATTTAAACCGAAGACTGTTGCCTACTCTACTTTTATTTTGGCTGTCCCTCCATTTTCTGGCTTCTTCCCTCCATATGGGTTTCACATGGAAGTGAGGAGGACATGTAATGTCAAAAGGGGGCCAACGTGTTCTTCCTTGAAATATATGGAAATGTCATCATCCCATAGTGATTAATGCTAAAAGCTAAAAAGGTGTAGGGATAGAAGATGAAAGGGCGTGATAAAGCCCCTATTGAGGACAGCCAAATTACCTCACAACAATTTAACAGCATTCTTCCACAGGGGCATGGTGTGGGGGGCTTTTTGTGGGGGAAATGACCCTTAAGCAAGCAAAGATAGCTCCCTGTACCTGCCACAGTGACAAAGCTCATTTCTGAAACATGGAAGAGGAGGGGAGGAAGAAGCCTTAGCTACTGGATATTAAATGCATGGGTTGTAGTCACACTTTTACCCACTGAAATAAAATTTTAGCCATTGGAATTAACGGACCTAAGTTAGCCACGACCATTACTTTCAACATGTCTACTCTGAGTAAAAGTTACTTGACTACAATCCTTTGTCTCCTTCTGCGCAGCGCAAACGCTTAACAATTTCTCCACGTCCCCCCCACAAAAGTGCTGAAAGTGTCTCCCCACTTTTGAAATTGTCGAGTAGGGCTGATAAGGTAGAGAGGCACTTTTGGCCAAGCACAAGCTATGTGGGTGCCCAGCCAGCCAGCCTGTCAGACATGCCTTCTTTCAATAATAATAATAATTTATTATTTATACCCCACCCATCTGGCTGGGTTTCCCCAGCCACTCTGGGCGGCTTCCAACAAAACACTAAATATTCCTTCCCTTTCCATTCTCCCTAGTCTCCTGCTTTCCTTCCCCCCAACAGCCAGTCAGCATTCTGTGCCCAAACAGCGTGCTCAGTCCTCACTAAGCTGCTTTGAGATTTCCCCCTTACTTGGGGGTTCCTCTCTCCTAAAACCGTTCTGTTTTGTTTTTTGCACTACAAAGCTTGGGCTTCCCCCAAGACTGCTGATAACTCCCTCTTATACATGGATGGTGCTATTTTGGCTACATAAGTGTGTGTGTGTGTAGATCTAGATAATCTATATGTACTTGTGTGTATATATATAGGAGAGAAAGGGGCTAGAGGGCAGTTTGGAGCACCTACCTTGCTTCCCTTCCTGTGATTTATTGGGTACTTCCTCCACGCAGTCCGATGGGAACCAGCCCACACGGCCCTTTACCTGTCCCTCCCAGAAGCCTCCTTCCCCAACACTCAGCACTGAAAAGGAGAAGGGCACTGTTAGGGGTGCGAACACGCTTTGGACGAAGGTGGCCAGCCGTTCACCATTTTGTTACTTCTTCAGAGCCGCTGTGGCACAGGGGCCAAACCTGACCTAACAGAGACCTGGTTAGAGTAGCAAACTGAATCCACTTAGCCGTCGTCGTTAAAAGCCCTGCCTCTCCCCCCCTTTTTTGTGAAGGTGTGCTCTCTGAGCATTCTCAGATACTCCCTGCATCTGGGGATCCTGCTAACACGATTTTAAGCTGATAAACAAGTAAGTGTTGGGTCGTTCTGTGTGGAACTTGCTTTTTGTTGTTGTTTCTAGTCCCCAGCATCTGAAAGCAGCATGGCTGGGCCACCTGTGGCTCTCCAGATTTCACTGGACTACAACTCCCATCATCCCTGCCCATTGACCATGTTGGCTTGGGCTGATGGGAGTTGGGAGTCCAACAACACCTGGAGGGCTGCAGAAGGCACACCATTGTTCTGCAGGTTTTTTTCTAGACAATGTTGTGATCCATCACCTTTCGTGTTACATCTTCTGCTTTAAAATACAAGCTTCTAGAGCACTGGAGAAGAGGCGGGAATGTTGTTTAAAAGCATGTATTAGAACCCTCACATATTCCTTGGGATGCTGGGAAAGAAATCTAAATGCGTATTCTGGAACAGTGATTCCTTAACTGTGCTCCACAGTCCAGCAGTACATACTCTCCAATATCTTGACTCCCAAAACCATGATGCACGTCTTCCTAGCCATGCTCCTGTGCAAGTCACATGATCTGCACGAGACCACAGAGTTCAAAAGATGTGAATTTTGGGGCTCATGCTCTCACAGAAGAGCAAAATGCAGCCCTGAAAATGTGTTGGGTGTGTGCGCTCGAGAGATCTTGGCATAAAATGGTACGAGATCACAGCACCCAAAAATGGCCACTAGTCTCCGTTTTTCCCAAGACACTTTTTTCCACCAGGCCCAGCATTGGAAGGAGACATCCTTAAGGAGCTGGGAAAGGACTAGCGTTGCTGACTAGAATGCTTTTCTGGGGCTTCAATGAACACCAGTTGTCCACCATTGTCAATGCTCCCAAAGCCCTAAAAAAAATCCTTAGTATGCTGTGTTGAAAGCTTTTGATGTAGGGGAACATTCAAAAATTATGTTCTCCATCTGCACTCTGAAGTGATACAGTCCATTGTACCATTCCCAGAATTCTGCATCCTCAAGCCTACTTAACTCTGTAGCTTGTGTAGACCAGGCCTTCAGTAAAACCTAGTCCCTTATCTTAGGAAGAATAGGATCTTCATCTCCCCTAGTAATTTGCTTACTGCACAGTGTCTTGAGATCTTCTAATTCCTTTGGAGATTGCTAAATACTAGTTGGCTGGGTTTTCTGCAGCGTTTTTGAAAGCCAGAAGCCAGATTATCAACACCTTCAATATCAAATATACAGTGGTAGCTCAGGTTACATACACTTCAGGTTACATACGCTTCAGGTTACAGACTCTGCTAACCCAGAAATAGTGCTTCAGGTTAAGAACTTTGCTTCAGGATAAGAACAGAAATCGTGCTCCGGCGGCGCGGCGGCCCCATTAGCTAAAGTGGTGCTTCAGGTTAAGAACAGTTTCAGGTTAAGAACGGACCTCCAGAACGAATTAAGTACTTAACCCAAGGTACCACTGTACATCTATAAGCATCTATCCAAGCACCATGGCCCTCATCTAGTTTGTGATCTTATAGCCGCTTACTTGGGAATGAGCTCCATTAAACTCAGTATAGGTTTGCTCTGAAAGTCTTTGTAAAAAGGTCTAGCTGACCAGCCTTCCACTGAGCTGTGCAATCTGCAGCAGTTAGACCACTGAACTCCTATTTGTGAGTCCTCTGAAATCACTTGCAGACCTCCATTTTGTACCGTACTATTTAGGAGATGTCACACCATTCATTTAAGGTCCTATGGCTATGCTATGTTGTTTCACAGCATTTCTTGTACTGACAGCATTTTTGCAGCAATTAAAACAGTCTTGTTTCACAGCATTTCTTGTATTTGTAAATTGAGCAACAGCACAATTATAAAACTTGTAGAGATTTCACTGGCCGTTGCCTGTAGAATCAATCACCAGTTCTATAGGGCATGTTCTTGGGGGCAGAGATTTGTGCTGGTTCACAATTGCTCCCCACCCCATTCTTACTTTTAGCCCTGCTTTGTACAACTGCACGGGAGTGCAGAAGGAAGTTTCTTATTTGTAAGCCTGTGAAGTGACTGGTCTCCCTCCAACGTGGTGGCAGTAAAAGAATGTTGCAGTCCTCAAAGAAGAAGCTAAGCAGAACTGTGGTCTGTGATACAGTACAGTTTAAGAATCACTGCCCTAGAATATCACAGCCCCATTGAACACAGCGGGTGCACTTTCAACTTCATGGCTCTATCTTCAGTAGGGGAAATATCATAGCTCTGAAAGACAGCACATGCTTTGTATTTGGGGTTTGAGTCCCAGCATTTCTAGTTAAAAGGATCTGGTAGTAGGTGATGGAAACGACATTTGCCTGTGAACCTGCAGAGGCGCCACCAGCCTGCGGAGACAGAGGGCAGCAACACCAGTCCTATGCAGAACAGACTCACTGAAGTTAATGGACACAACTTAGTTTCATTAATTCTGATGGGTCGACTCTGAATAGGACTTAGTTGAATACCGCCCAGTATTGGGCTAGATGGATACATTTTCCACAGCTTATCTAAGGAGACTTCCTACATTCCGACAGAATATAACACGTCTCTTATTTCAGGTACTGCAGTTCAAAAATAATCCCCTGCTTCACAAAATTCTGATCTGGCCACCTTTCTCTGGACACAGACACACACTTAAGACAACGGGCCACTCATGCGTGGCTGACAGATGCACACCAAGACATTCTAGACACCAACTAAAGACCACACACGCACGCACACACAAACAAACACAAGCCAAGCCTCACAGTTTCCCTGATTCTCAGCTACAGCTGTATCAGCCAAACGCAAGATTCTGAAAGTGCAAGGTAGGGGGCAACCTCCCTATACAGTCGTGCCTTGGTTCTCGAACGCCTTGGTACTCGTACGTTTTGGCTCCCGAGCACCGAAAACCCAGAAGTAAGTGTCCTGGTTTTCGAATGTTTTTCAGAAGCCAAATGTCTGGCGCGGCTTCCGCTTGAGTGCAAGAAGCTCCTGATGCCAATCAGAAGCCGCGCCTTGGTTTTTGAATGGTTTTGGGAGTCGAATGGACTCCCGGAATGGATTAAGTTCGAGAACCAAGATTCCACTGTATTCAGAGAGAGGCTCAAGTTCCTTCCTGACTAAGGGACCCATCAAACCCTACCATCTGGGTATATAGTGTTGTTTCTCCCTGCTCCCATTGAGTGTAAAATCTGGGTTTCCCCACTCATGCTGAGAAAACTGTGTGGGCACACGTTGGGGGAAGTACTCCATGCTTTTAAACTGGGTCCTTAAAAAAAACCCCAAACACTCCATGGAGTCCTCATCTACCCCGCATGTAACATGTCTTCCATTTCCCATAGGTCTAGATCAGCCTTCCTCAACCAGATGCTGCCGGATGTTGCTGAACTGCAACTCCCATCAGCTCCAGTGATCATGGGCAATGGTCAGGGATGGTGAGAGTTCCAGTCCAAAACATTTCCAGGGCACCAGACTGGGAATGGCTGGTCCTGAAGATTCACTCCCTGGCATCAATGGAAGGGATGGGTAGGACTATAATTATAATTTCTCTCTTTCTTTCTCTTTAGGAAGCCCAACTGTTCTGCTTCTTCTTTTTTTTGTGTGTGTGAGGCTGGCTACGACAAAGTTAAAGAACGCCCATGATAAGCCCTTTGGTCTCTCCCCAAGAACCCAGGCGTCGTGGGGCTCAGAGAGATTCCCTAGGCAATCCAAGGGTGTGCGCAGAGATCAACGTACCCTTGATCTTCTCGCCCTTGCTGATGGAGAGCTCACCCTCGGCCTGGACCTGGTACGGTTTCACAGCCATGAACGTGCGACCAGGCACAGCCGAATAGAGTTTCCGCTTCACTCCCCGGCTACTCAGCGTGCTTCCCCCAGCAGACTCCTTCTGGTAGCCACTGGAGCTGCCAAGAGAGAGAGACCAAGATTTAGGCAAGTATGATCCGACTGAGTCCTGAACCTGACCTGCATCTTTCTCCTCTCGCCTCTGCTCTACCCTACAGAGAGAGGCCTCTTGCAAACACTCTGATTTTCCTCATTGGCCTGGAGGGCCAAGCTATGCACTAAGTTAAAATGCATGTGTTCACTTCAATCTTTCTGTCGTGATTATCATCAACATCACTGTCATTGTCATCATCCTTTAACATTACGGCAGCAGGGTTCCCTGTTCAGGATTCAGACTGCAGCATACAGGGAATGGGGCATCATGAGCCTTCCTCCCTGCACCATGAGCTCAACAAAAGTTTCCTCCCAAAGCTGTTACCAGCCCAGGACGGAAGCTGCTACTTCTTGGGCAATTAGCAGCTGGGGTGGGGTGGATTTTTCATTAGGACTGCTGCAAACTCTCCATCCAACCCTTTATGACACATTCCTGGTTGCCTCTTGCTATTCTTTTTGAAATATGTAAATTTAATGCACATTTAATGCAGCAGAAGTGTGGCCTGTGATAAAATGTTGCAGCGCAGTGTGTTCTTGTTCAGGATCCCAGTCAGCCAGCTCGGCCTTCTTTCAGGAGACTCCATTCCATTCCTCCTCCCCATCGTGGTCTTATGGTTCCCCCAACAACACTTAACAAACATCCTATGCCTCCAGAGCATAGTCCAAATTGCGCTATTTTTGGATAACCCCTCGGTGCTGTTTTGCCTACATAAGGATCCACACTCAGAGAATGGATTTACTCTTATTCCTCCTGTCTTTTTTCTCCAGTGGGGCTAATAGCACAAAAAAGATTTGTGGTCTTGATTGGGAGAGTAGTGCAGAAATGAGAGGTGGGAGCCGGGGATTTAAACACCTCCACCTGCCCCCAATGCTGCTGCTCTGGTAAAGATTGAAGGCTATCCCTCTGGCTACTTTGAAGGTGTTGTGTTTGGCTTTAAAAAACAAACAAAACACTGAGAAATTTTGATCTCCCACTTCATATCCATTTCAGCCCCAAGCCACTCTTTTTCCCAAGAGGAGACAGATCTCATTCTATCTCAAGGGCGTGTTGGATGCAGAGGAATGGTGGGAGGAACCAGCTGGGGAACCCCTAAGTGAAGAAGGCTTAGAGCCCGGGGGTTGGTGGTGGGACGACGACGAGTGGTCAGAGGGAGAAGACTAGGAAGAGGAGGTGTTGGAAGCTGAAGAGGTAACCGTGCTCAGTGAGCTGAGAAAGTCTGTGGCACAGAGAAATCCAGAATCAGAGGCAGAAGCTAAAGCAGGAGACAAGGGAGGCCAAGAGGCAGGTATTGGTCAGGCTTGTGAAGAGGCACATGTATCTCCTGCTGTGACAAGCTCCCCTCCCTCCTGGTCTCCCAGAATCAGGAGAGGCATGAAGAGGGAGAAGCAAAGACAGGCCTGCAGGTGCAGTCTCTGATTGCTTGGGAAATGCCCTGGAGAGGTGGAGACATAGCTGGCTATGGAGAGGTGGGAAACTTTAGTCTCAGCAACTGCTTCATGGGAGAAGACTTGAGATTAGGTCTGACACTCCTGTGCTGATCTTGTTTTGCTAATAATCAGCTAACTCCAATTTGCTCGGGTGATTTACTGCTGGCTCGCTCCTGTCGGGTGTTCCTGAACCTGTCCGATCCTGGCAGCTGTGCCATCAGGAAACGACTTGGGGACTGATGTCCAGGGCCCAAGCAGCAGAATGTGCAGGAAGCACCCAGGTTCCCCCAGCAAGCAGCAGGCTGGCTCACCACATTTTGAAATACACATTATCATATAAAGAGCCCCCAGTAAGACCATTAAGTCTAGGGTCTAAAATTATCCTGCTGCATCACTGGATCCCAGCCCCTTTCAAAGGGGAACCAGGTTTTCAACCCCCTCCCCCTACTCTAGAGTACCAATGTGGCATTCTGGAGGCCTTCCCCTGGCACAACAAAGCCCCTGGATGCCCGCCACACCATTCATTATGAGGCACCAAGTGTTTTCTCCCTTGAAAAGTACATAAGAGCTGAAGCTGGAGAAAGTGATGAACTTTCCCATTTCCTCTTATCAACTATATGTGCTTTTCCAAAACCGAGATTGGCACCTGAGCATCTCAAGAGAAAGCGAAGCAACCAAGAAGACAGGGGGAAAGGGGAGCAATTTAGGTGACTGAGGAACGCAGAATAGTTGGGTGAAAGAATAGGTGCCAAAGGAATCGGGGGGGAGAGAGGACGAGTGTGTGTGTGCATGGACAAGCACACACACTAGAACCAGTGAAACAAATCCTCTTGAAATTGCAAAAGAAATCCACTGTAATCTTCATCAAATCACAAATCACATCTGTCTCTATCGGCTTATCTCAGATCACTGAAGCCTGGAGCCTCACATATGAAGCCCCAAGCCTACCTGGGTCGACCGCGCTGCTTCTTAGCCTCGTCCGTGTGGCGCCCGCGTGACGGAGAGCGGCTGCGAGCGCCACGGGGACTGCTGGAGCTGCGCAGGGTTCCCGTGGTGATCTTCTGGCTCTGCACAGCCACAGTGGCAGACGGGGTGGACGGCGGGGCATAAAGCATCCAGTCCGGGAGGTTCATGCTGGTGTCGCTGTTGGCTCGCAGCAAAGTGTGCGGCACCGCCAGGCTCTGGGAGCCGTCCCGACGCCGGCTGACGTATTGCGGGGTCTCCTGGAAAGGGACTGAAAGGGACAGCCATGTCAGAGGACAGATTTGAAACAGGAAAGCTGGGGAGGAGAACATCATGGGGATTTGTTCCCTGCAACCAAAAACCTTAATGGGTTGTGAGCACAGCTGGTGCAGACCTGTGTGTTACGCTGCAATTTCTTGTGGGAGGCTAGCAATAATTAAATGTTCAGGTGGTGTTGCTGGGCATGCCGTTTAGCTTCTCGGGACTCTCACCTTTCATTTTTGAAAAAAAACAGGGTTCTAGGTCGTATGGTCACACGGATGTGCTTGAAAACGCGTGGGAAATGCCTATTGGAAACCCAGAAGCCTGAGGGGCAGCTGAAAAGGGTTTCCAGCAGTGAGGGAGAAGGCTCTGGCATCCTGCACAGATCTCCGTCGCTCCCCACTGACTGGCAAAATCTGAATGTGTGAAATGGGGTGACTTGTTGGCTCTAGGGTTGAGTGAGGACCTTTCCCACAGAAGTGCCCCCAGAAGACCTTCTGTAATGCTGGCGATCTCAATGGCTGTGAGCCTACCTGATAACCATGGCTATGAGCTGGCATTTTACATTTCCCGCAACGTCCCACAGTGTCCTACATAGCCTTGCTATGGAGCACTGTGGAAAATCAAAATGGCAGCCCTCAACTTCCCACAATGTCCTGTAATGGTACTATATTGGGCACTCTGGAGCATTGTGGGAAATTTAAGATGATGGGCAGAGATCAGTGCAGGCGGATACTCCCTCCCCCACAAGATTCTGGGGTCCTGGCAGCTGCCCAAGGGTGCTGAAACTGGGCCTGGAAAAGAGCAGGCAGGAAATGGCTGAGAGGAAAATGGAAGAGGTCAAGACACTGATAGCATGGAGAAGATTATGACAGCAACAGCAGTGCAGAAGTGGGGAAGAGCTCAGCTATGAAAGTCAGGCTGTGTCTATCAGGGCTTGCAAAACATGCCAATTTCCTGCAAGTTAGCACAATTTTTAAGAGAGCCCAAATCATGTTTTAAATCTCCAGTAATGCAGCAGCCTGGATAAACAAGTGAATTCCTAGGTGCCACCATCAAATGTCCAGTTACCTGGGATTTCTTCAGCGTTGGTCTCTGTGATGTCAACTAAGTGGCACAAAACAAGCAGTTGGTGCCATATCCTACTGCAGACCTAGGGCCCTTAACAAGCTTTCATTTACATTTTAGAATGTACACTTCGTGAATACTGCTAAGGCAGAAGACAGTAACATATAAATCAATTGTACAGTCTTGCCAAGGTTTTCTATTTACTTTATGAATAAAGAAAATGCAAAAACCAAGGTGTCATTTGTGAAAAGAGGCTCAATGCTGAATTTAAACCAGTTCAGCTCTCATGGGCTAGAGGCATCATAATGCTAAACCCTTGTTAGAATGAAGCAAGACTTTCCAAGGTTGTTCACTTCCCCCTCCTCACTCCTATTCTGGGCATGGCTGCAAAGGGATTAGAAGCTTTCACTTCTGTTTTAGATCGAAGTTGTTTAGTACGTCGTCCAAACACTAAACTGTGGTGAATCTTAACCATACTCAGTGAAACCAAACCAGCTTCATAAACCGCAGTTTGAAGATACGTTGTTTCCGCTAGCGATTGCTAAGATTAACCACAGTTTATAGTGTTTGGACAACTTGCAAAATTTACGTTAATCTAAAACAAAAGCAAACGAACATGAATTATTCATTGCAGCTGCACTGAAGGTGAAGGTAGAGGAACATGCAATCCCAGGGCGAGAGGCTGGGTTCATTTTCATAATGCTAAATTGTGGCTTAGTGTTATGACCAGACATGTTATCCCCACAAAGTTCCCTGGGAATTGTAGTTGTGAAGCATTCCTATAAAATTCTTTTCCTCATTAGAGAACTACAATATTCAGGGTGCTCATTGGTACTGGTGTGTGTGGAGGGGGGAAATTGGTGTAGGGGAGGAAGTGTAGCCATATAGCCAAGAGGACTTACGTGTGAGTAGGCATGTTATCTAATTGTACTGCAAATCCTTTATGTTCGTAGTGGAGGAATGTTAACAGCACCCACCCTGCAATCAAACTCACCAACATCTGAGTCCCGGTGGCTCTTGATCAGCTCTCCCAGCTCAAAATTCCCTGTAATGACTGCAACCTAACATGGAGAGAATATGTGTATGCACAATGTTTATTTTTCCTCAGGAGCACTGACAAAACTGTACAAAACTAGGGATCTAGTTTGTTTGAGAAGCTCAAGGCTGCGGTGATTGGATCCCTCCATTTGGCCCTCTGTTGCCGGAATCCACTAGCTACCCAACGTAAGGCAATTTCTTAGCCCACCCTGCGGGCTAAAACTGGGGAAACTTGTGTCCACTTCAAAGTGGAGATTTCACATTATGGCTTGCTTCTTCATACACCCACCTCCCCAATCCCTGATCCTGAAAAATTAAATAGCAGGGAGAGCAGTTTGAACATGGGTTTTCCCTGAGTTTTCTATGGTTTAATAGTAGCACATCGTCATCATCATCCTTCATATGAACCCTTGTCTGCAGCTTGGGGTGATGCAGCCCAGACACAGGTTTAGCACAGCCTTGTAAATAAGTCCACTAAAGTTACTAGACTGCCATTTATTTATCTTTTTCCTAGTACAGGGTTGGAGCTCTTGCATCCTTCCTGGGTTGCCTGGCATAGGAGTGATGGAGAACCCTGTGCCAGCCGGTTTACTTACCTGCATGCCACTCCTCCTTACCCAAGCTAGCACACCTCACCTGCTATCTATGAGAATGTGCCCAATTCTTCACCATGCCTCTTTCCCTTTCTAATTAAATATACACCCCACCTTTCCTCCACGGAGTGCAAGGTGGCCTACAGGGGACTCCCAGGCAATCTTCTGTCCAGGCGTTGGCCAAAGGACTCCAGCATATCTGGAGAATATGGGCCTTAACTCATGCAGAGTTGAAAGGAATTCTGGGTCTTACTCAGGTTATACCACTGTATTGTCCAGGACCGCATGCTGCAGATACGTTCACATTCTCTGACTCAGTCTAGACCCAGAGGCGGCTGCTTTAGCTGAGCTGCTGCAGGCCAAGGAGAGGTTTGCAGTATATCAGCTAAAGGGAGGGGCTGTGGCCCAGCAGTAGAGCATCTCCTGTGCATGCAGAAGCCCCCGGGGGGCGATCCCTGGCATCTCCAGGTAGGGCTGGGAGAGACCCCAAGCCTGAATCCCTAGAGAGCCACTGCCAGTCAGTAAGAAATTACTGAGCTGGATGGACCAATGGTCATTAGCTCAGTATAAGGCAGCTTTCTATGACTTCTATTGATTCCTACAAGCAGGGCAGAGCTACTGGTCCAATTTGCCTTCAGAACTCCCAAGCACCCTTTTTTGCTACAGTATTTTGAACCAGGGCTAGGGGGACTGTGAGCTCCATCTGATAGTTTTTGGGATTTAGTGCAAGGTGGAGATGGAGAAACTGATCCCTCCTCGCGTCTCCTATGCTATGCAGAATTAATGACACCGAGGCGCCAATGCTGGCGACAAGGTGAGAGCGCCTAGTTCCAGATCTACAGAATCAGCCAGTAAAAGAAATGTACCTATTTCCTTGTGAGAAGTGCAGGGCAATCTCAACAAAATGAAACCAGGAAACTATTATTCCACAGTATAATAAAGGTAAAGGGACCCCTGACCATTAGGTCCAGTCGTGGCCGACTCTGGGGTTGCGGCGCTCATCTCGCTTTATTGGCCGAGTGAGCCGGCGTACAGCTTCCAGGTCATGTGGCCAGCATGACTAAGCCGCTTCTGGCGAACCAGAGCAGCGCACGGAAATGCCGTTTACCTTCCTGCTGGAGCAGTATCTATTTATCTACTTGCACTTGACGTGCTTTCGAACTGCTAGGTTGGCAGGAGCAGGGACAGAGGAACGGGAGCTCACCCCGTCGTGGGGATTCGAACCACCAACCTTCTGATCGGCAAGTCCTAGGCTCTGTGGTTTAACCCACGGCGCCACCCACGTCCCCTTAGTATAATAGATCCACCTAAATCCCCAAACACCCATATTGACCTGGGCAAGGCAAGACATTCAGGGGCTTAGCCCTGTGATGTCTTGGTTCAGATTAGGTCAGTGTGTCCCACTCTCGCTCTCCCTTGAATCCAATTCACCACACACACCTGGAAGGCAGTCTGGCCATGGTTGTTCTTGATCTCTTTGTTGGCTCCCCGGTACAGCAGGATGCGGGCACAGCTCTCCTGGGAGATAGGGGAGGGGGAGGAGAAAGAGAAGGAATGAATAAGGCACATCTTCCCTCCATCCTGTTCTCGGTGGACAAGTTGCCAGCAGCTAGCTCTAGCAGAGAGGGTTCACCTGTGGCACACCGAGTGCTGTGGGACTCCAACTCCCATCAGCCTCAGCCAGAACAGACAATGGTCAGGGATGATGGGAGCTGTAGCCCAACAACCTATGGCAGTTTACAGGTTAGTGACCCCTGATCAAGAGATCTGCAAAGGTGCCAAGAATGTGTGTGCATCGGTAAGTACCAAAATGGGTTAAATGAGATTAGAATTTATTATAAGACTACAGTGCAAAAAGTCATATTTACATCACTTGCTCTGCATGCTTTTGCCTCTGACCTCACCCACAACTGTCAAGTAACTCCTGGAAGGCTGCCCAGAAAATAATCCAGTCCTTGGGCTGAAAAAGGTCCCCCAACCTTGCTCTGAGTTCAGCCCATACTACCTATTACTTGAAGGATAGTGCAAGGGTTGTTAAAGGTAAAGGGACTCCTGACCATTAGGTCCAGTCGTGGCTGACTCTGGGGTTGCGGCGCTCATCTCGCTTTACTGGCCGAGGGAGCTGGTGTACAGCTTCCGGGTCATGTGGCCAGCATGACTAAGCCACTTCTGGCGAACCAGATCAGCGCACGGAAATGCCATTTACCTTCCCGCCGGAGCAGTACCTATTTATCTTCTTGCACTTTGACGTGCTTTCGAACTGCTAGGTTGGCAGGAGCAGGGACCGAGCAACGGGAGCTCACCCCATCGCAGGGATTCGAACCTGCCGACCTTCTGATCGGCAAGTCCTAGGCTCTGTGGTTTAACCCACAGCGCCACCCGCGTGCAAGGGTTGTTACGACTGCTGGGTCTTTCTCACTGCCCTGCCACTGTTCACTTCCTTGCAAAAGGCAATTGGTGGTGCACTCAAGGAAGGACTTTAGGGCAGATGTCAAGAGCCCCAACAGCGGAATGATCAGGAGAGCCACTAAACACAGCAGGGCTGTCTTATCACATGTTGAAGTCCACAAAATAATACACATTGCCATCTAAAGAGAAGGTGGAGGGGCATAAGAGGAGACAGACTTTGTGCTGGTCATCATAACCTGCCTTGCCCCACCCTCCAGCCCTAGGAGCAACTGGAAAGAGGGAAGAGAAGTTCAGGGATGCTTTTTTAAAAATAATTTGTTAAGTTGTGTGTCTTTGTTTCTCAATTTGTACTGTGTTATTTTATGCACTGTGACTTGCTGTTCTTTTTATTGATTACGGATTAGAAATTATTTATTGTAATTGTTAAAGAGTGAATTTCTGTTTAATCATTATTTGCTGATAAGTAATTTTATTGTGTACTATTATATTCTAACGGATTACTGAATATTAGTTTATTTGATACAAGTTGTTTATTTTAAAGTTATGGTTTTTAATGACATTTTTGTACTGGATCAGATTGTTATACGGCGTGTGATCTTTGTGGTTTCTTCAGCTTGCAAACAGCCTGGTGTATAGCAATACTGTATAGAAAGGCAGTATACAAATTTAAAAGTGAAATGAAATGAAATAAGGCCTACAGTATAAAGTGACCTAACTGCAGCACTGGTAGCAACAGTGAAGAGGATGTCTATCAGGGTCTCTGAAATTGGACAGCAGGTCCTTGTTGGGCTTTGGCTGATGACCCAAAAAGGCAACCCCTGATTCAGTGCAATTCCTCCCTGCTACCTGCCCATTTCCCATAAGTTCCATCCCAAAGAGGAAAGGCAAACTTGGATTGAACACAGCAAAGGCATCGGCCTGACCATTCTCAAACTGTTGTATGTATGGGGGTTGGGGATCAATTTCATCCACGTTTTAATGAAAAACTACCAAATGCACACTTCACAGAACCAAACCAGTATGTGAACCGAAACACAATCGTTCTTTGAAATCGACACTTCTCCGAATTTTGTGATGCAGTTCGCCAACCAGACAAGATGTACAAAAATGCATTATATATTAGGATTTATTTATTTATTTTGCACAATTGTGTATTGCCGGGGGAAATGTGCAATACAACGCTGACCAATTTTCACGAGGATTTTTTTTTTTAATTAAACAAATCACAAATTGCTGCAGGAAAGTGGAGAAACCCAAATTTAAAGATTTGGAAAAACGAGAAACCAAATCAGAGAGAGTTGCCCATCCCTACAGGGCGTGTTATGTGTGCTGCATCTTCTTCTTCTTCTACTTCCGCCATTCCTACCTTGTTGTAGAGTGCGCAGATGTGTAGCGCCGTGTTTCCGGACGCATTCTGTGCCCCAGGCTCGGCGCCGTAGAACAGCAAGTGCTCCAAGTGCTGTGAGTGTCCGTGCTGGCAGGCCTGGTACGTGGGGAAGCAGAGGTCAGGAATGGAAGATGTGGGCTAGATGATCAGATGGACAGGTGCCAAGTCACAGCCACCCCCCTCAATCTTTAGGCTTGGAGCCAACCCTGGCAGGAGACACACACAGGATGTAAGATGGGTAACCTAGCCCTCTCAAGCACACAATCCAGGGCTGCCAGACAGGGCAACTCAAGAGTGCCTGGAAGCTCGGCCGCTATATGCAGGTCCTTACCTGGTGTATCTCCTGCCAGCCATTCTCGTCAGTGGCGCCAATGTGGGCTCGGTTGTAGAGCAGAAGCTCGCAGCAGCGCGGGTCACCTCCAACCATGGCTGTGTGGTAGAGCGGAGTCAGCCCGCGGCGGTCCTTGTAATTGGGTGAGCCTCCCAGGTCCAAGAGTGCCTGCGGGAGAAAAACAGGCCAGTGTGAATGGCAAAGGCAGGTTCAGCCCAGCGTTGTTTCATGCCTCTTGAGGAATGAAACATATTGCTCCTCTTGCAGTAGCTTATTGTATGGGCTTTTGAATGCGCACCTGTTTACACAGGCTTTCTTTTGCTTAATAATAATAATAATAATAATAATTTATTTATACCCCGCCCATCTGGCTGGGTTTTCCCCAGCCACTCTGGGTGGCTCCCAACAGAATATTAAAAACACAATAAAACATCAAGCATTAGCACATCCCCATTCTTTTAATAATTTTTGGTCCAATTGTCCCCTTATGAATGCTGTGATGTGCTAAAGAGTATACGAAAAAACATTGTTCTGGAGTAAGCATATCGGTATGTAACGAATGAAGCTTTGCAGGGTTAAATAAAGAGAAAAATGGTGCAAAAAGTATAAAGATAGAGGTAATCTATATTAGACACAACAATTTAGAAAGAGTAAAAATTTCGAGGTCTTAGAACAAAGGAAGGAAGTCATTATGTGTATATGTACGTAATGATTAGAATGATGATATGGTTTTATTTGTAGATGTGTGTTTTGCTTTTTGTTTTTTTTCTCTTGTGTTTTGTTTTGTTTTTCTTGTTTGTACTGTTTTATTTTGGATGCAATGTTTGTAATTATAAATTTGCATTGAAAATAAAAAAAAATTAAAGAAACATCAAACATTAAAAATTTCCCTAAACAGGGCTGCCTTCAGATGTCTTCTAAAAGTCAGATAGTTGTTTATTTCTTTGACATTGAATGGGAGGGCGTTCCACAGGGCAGGCACCACTACCGAGAAGGCCATCTGCCTGGTTTCCTGTAACTTCACTTCTTGCAGTGAGGGAACCACCAGAAGGCCCTCGGAGCTGGACTTCAGTGTCCGGGCAGAACAATGGGGGTGGAAACGCCCCTTCTTGACTTGAACCTCCTGTTTTAATTTCTGCACTGTTTTAATTGGATTGTTTTATTGCATATTTTAATCACATGTGCTTAGACCTCAATGTTTGTGTCACTGGTTTTTATTATTGCATCCTGCTTAGAAACCTATTTTGGCATGAAGCTATATATACATTAAGAGTTATAATCATGATTAATAACCACATAGAATTGTAGAGTTGGAAAGGACCCGAGGGTCATCTAATCCAACCCCCTGCAATGCAGGAATCTCAACTAAAGAGTGACTGGGGAAACCCAGACAGATGGGCAGGGTATTGATAATAAAATTATTATTATTATTGTAAAGCATCCATGACAGATGGCCATCCAGCCTCTGCTTAAAAACCACCAAGGAAGGAGAGTCTACAACCTCCCAAGGGAGTCCGTTCCACTATTACTGTCTGGGGAGAGTGGGATCAAGTAAGGAAGAGCCAGAGATCGTTGAAAGGCTCTCAGTTCTGGCCCAGGAGAAAATAACTTAGCTGATCAACATGCAGCCTCCAAAAGCGTGACTCCTCCAAAAGGGCAGGCAGTGGCTCTCCCCACAAAACATGCACCATAGCTGTGGTCTTTTAAATGACGGCCTACCGAACATGGCAGCCCCTGCGCAGAGACACACTATGGATCCACACACTGAAAGCCAGAGTGGCCCCTTCTGTGACCCTTTGGCTAGCAAATTCAGCTGGCATGGAAACCCCACCATATTGGATGATGCTTAACAGGGAACCCAGAAGATCTGCATGCGACACAAATCCTGGCATTAGTTTGGCAGCTTCTTGAAGCAGCGACCTGTCCCAGCGAAATATTGTAAGAGCCTCCAGGCAGAGATCTGGCCCTGACATGAGAATGTAAGATGCTTTGAGCAGGGACCGCTCTTCTTATACTTCTCATATATGCTTATATATAACAACAAAAGCATAAGGAGCCGTGAAGGTGGAGGAGATATGCTGCCACTGACATTTTCTTTCGCTCCCACATCTTTATTTTCACATCTCCCAGTACAGTACTGAGAAGGAATTGGCAACTGGCATTACCATCAGGGCTGGGTAGTGGTGGGAGCACACAGCTTTGTGTAGTGCTGTGGCTCCATCTCTCGCACGGAAGTCTATGTGGGCACCGCCAAGGCATAGCAGCCGGATCACGTCAATGGTGCCATCCAGCTGGGCAGCTAACGTCAAAGGCGTCTCTGCAGGGAAACCACAGGGTTACTATTGTGAGGAGAGGGGCGGGTTGTGTGGCAGGCACCCCAGGCGCCCCAACTCTCCCGCTTTGTGTGCCCCCTCGATAGTTACCGCCAGTGTCGGAATCGTGGTAGTTGGGATCCAGCCCTTTGTCCAGGAGCCGCGCCACTTTCTCGGCCGATCCATGCTGAACGTACTCCAGGAACTTCTTCAATCCCGTCTGGGGAAAGAGTTGCCAGTGACAGCCATTGTGGGGCGGGAAAGGGAGGGGACAGAATACTGCAGGTTGAAAAGAGGAACACAGTGGAGCTGGGCCTCACGCTTAAGCCTCCCAGAGTGTCTTGCGGGCATGAGGGGATCAAGCAGGGATACAGATGTTTCCTGCCTGCAAAGGCTCCGCTATTCATTTCCATGGAGAGTCCCAGGTGTGCATTCTTTTGCATTCTGGCTTATTAAATGCAACCTTATAAATAAGCTCACGAAAGTTACTAGCCTGTTTATTTAACTAGGCTGCTAAGAAACTACAGTGGTACCTCGGGTTAAGAACTTAATTTGTTCTGGAGGTCCATTCTTAACCTGAAACTGTTCTTAACCTGAGGTACCACTTTAGCTAATGGGGCCTCCCGCGGCTGCCGCACGATTTCTGTTCTCATTCCGAAGCAAAGTTCTTAACCCGAGGTACTATTTCTGGGTTAGCAGAGTCTGTAACCTGAAGCGTCTGTAACCCGAGGTACCACTGTAATGGCTTGCAGCTCTATGCTAGCTCTGAAGCAGCGAAGGGGTGGCTTTTAAGTAAATCAGAATACTCTCATAATTTGTCTGATCTGCACAGTATTTCCGTAGCAGAGCATACACGGCAACGGAGTTAGAATGCTGAAACTGTACTAAAATACGGGATTTTTAAAGCCAGCTGCTCTCCGGACAGAGATTTTTATTTCTATGGGGGTTTTGGGGAGGTGGGGGGGGGTGAAGATGTTGAAAGGTCTCTCTTCTCTCACCTTAGTGTGGAGTTTTGCCAGCTGCTTCTCATCCAGGTTAGTCTGCTTGTAAACTCGGGTCTTGTAGCGGAACTGGAAGAAGTGAGGAAAAGGGAGAGAGGGGGCTGTTACTGCAGTTGTACATCATGACACCTAACCATCTCTGCAGAGGCATATCCCTCAACTCTAATCTCACACTTCCATAAGAAGCTCTCAGGGTGCTTCAAGCAAGATGAATTTCCCACACAGAAATCACTTCTATACAAGGACCTTTAAGTGTGGTTCGTCACTGACGGAGACTAGGGCATGTGTCAGGCAGGCAGTACATGCTCTGTCACGTGTGGCAAAACTATATAAAATATCCTCAGTGCCCTCCAGCATTTCACATATTACAACAGGGACACACTGCCATACTTCTCACATCCCAGTTCTTATGCCGCGGTTAATGCCTAAGATAGGGAAGGTCCCCTCCACACTGAATACAGAACATAGGAAGCTTGCATTATATCAAGTAAGATCAATGGTCTATCTAGCTCAGTATTGATGCCAGCTTTTTTGGACTACAAGTCCCATCAGCCGCAGCCTGGGGCTGATGGGAATTGTAGTCCAAAATACCCCTGTAAGGCACCAGATTGGGGAAGGCTGGTTGGTGTACATGGACTGGCAGACGTGGTCCAGGATTTCAGGCAGAAGCCCACCCTGGAGATATCAGGACTGAACCTGGGACCTTCTACATGCCAAGCACATGCTCTGTCACTTGAGCTACAGCTGCTCCCCAGTGCTCTTCTCCACCTGATGTGTGCGCTGCGTCCATTTACTCTGCCACATTGTGCCCTGAACTGTTTTAAAAGCCAGGAAGGTGTTGATTCTTTTCGTTAAAGCTATGCTAGAAAAACTTGACTGTTGCACACTGCACGGTAAACACTTCAAAGCGAACTTCATCAGCTGAAATATGTGAAATGGCTGCAGAGCACGCAGTACTTTAGAGCACGACACGCCACTTTCATGTCCAGGCGTGTGCATTTCCATGCAGGTGCACTAGAGACAAGGCAGATCCACACCATACATTCAAGGCACATCCTATGCCTCTTTAAGACACACAGCTTTCCCCAAAGAATCCTGGGAACTATCGTTCCCCCTGCACACAGCTTCAAGTTCCAGGCACCCTTAACAAACTACAGTTCCCAGGATTATTTAGGAGACATAACGTGCTTTAAATGTGTGCCAGGTGCCTTTGAAATGCATGGGGTGGATCTGCCCAATGTGTCTGGCCCTCCACGCAACCACAGATTTAACTTCTATAGATCTGGAAGAAGAATGTCAACTCCAGATATCTGTATGATTCAGTACCTCCCACTCTTCAAGTAGTGCCTCGAGACATATCTATTTTCTCAAGCCTTCTCTAATTCGCTGGATTCATCTCTCTCTCTCTGTTGCTCCCCCCACACCTTCCTTTGCCTCATATGAGTCTATATATTTAGAATGCAAGCCTATGGTTTCATCATTGCTAATCTTAGGTTTTATACTGAATGCATACTGGGGCAGATCCAGAGGCAGCAAGTCATTCTTCAGTTTCATTTGAAATCAATGGGATAGATTAGTCATTACAAAGTCTCGCTGATTTCAGCGGGGCGGGGCGGCGGCGGCGGCTCCAGCTTCACTAACTTCTGGATCCAACTCACCACATGTTTTTATTTAGAGTTGATGTATTGATAGGTATCCTTGATGTGTGGCTATGCACTTGTGAAACAGACAATTTTGTGATATACATCATGTGTTGAGTCCAGCTAAGTTTTTATTCAGGGTAGATGCACTGAAATTAATGGACCTCAGCTGATGGCCTAGTTGGCTAAAGCGTCATGCTGATAACACCAAGGTTGCAGGTTTGATCCCTGTATGGGACAGCTGCATATTCCTGCATTGCAAGGGGTTGGACTAGATGACCCTCAGGGTCCCTTCCAACTGTATGATTCTAAGTTAATTGTGTCCATTAGTTTCACTGGGTCTACTACGAGTGTAACTAACATTAGACACAACCCTTAACCGGACTTTGGTCCCATCTGGTCCCTGAGGCTCTCCTGCTTGACCTTCTCCTTTAGAGTTCCTAGCTTAAAGAGGAAGAGGGGAAAGTGGCAGATTGTAGGCCTGGGGTTTTTATCTGAATCAAACCCGGTGTGTGTGGGGAGGGGGGCAAAAGGAGCTTTTACCCTTTGCCTCTCAAAGTGGGTCCTCAGTGCCTGCAGTTTGCCCAAAACAAAGGACCCCTTGAAAAGGGCTACTCTGACCAGCAGTGGTTCTTCAGGTACTCAGACAGGGATTGTTCATATTACCAACACCTGATTCTTTTAAACTGGAGAATTCAAGGATTGAATGCAAGACCCTCTGCATGTAAGGTATAGTGATAGTCCGTCCTCCAAAATTAGTATATGTCCTTCCTGTAGCCTACAAATCTAGATTACAAATCTAGGGTCCTTCCAACTAGGGACATACAATTAACATTCCCACATTTTATTTTGCTGTGACACATTTAATTCAAATTTGTCACTCTTTATTTCCCAAACATCCTCATCCTCATTATTATTTCTAATGACCGATGAGTATTTGCATGCGTTATGAATGCGGTTATTTGAAAAATATTGCCTGTACTATTGTCATGAAATCTCACACTGATTGAGAGAAAAACCCATCATGGAAGAGAAGTACCAGGAATATCTGTTGGGATTTTGTTTGTGTTTTTCCAGAGAGTGGGTGGTAGTGGGACAGAGCTACTTACAAAGTGTATTTGCTCATCCACCATTATTTCTGATCAAACAGGTCTGGCATGTTTTTGTAGTTTCCAAAACTTGCAAGACCCATTTGGTCAAAGATTACCGAGGGACTAAAATAAAATAAATAAAAATGACTGTTTCTATTATATGTTGCAATGGGTCTAGCATACCAGTTTTCACTATCTTCCCTCTACCTCCCAACTATCTTAAAACAAAACAATTATCTGTCTCCAGATTTAAGTTGATAAAGGTTGGTGGGAAAGACATCCAACTTTCAAAAAACTGGGTAAAAGGCTTCACCCTTTTATTTAAAATAGTCATATTTTGTCTTTTTGCCTGACAACAGGCCTACAAGGCAACTGACATGCCTGATTCACACATAATGCTAAGCTATGGTTTGTTGAGTCAAAGTGTGGTTTGTTAGAATGCCTGAACCCAGCTCAGTAGATTAACCATGGTTTATCTTTCTAGCAACAAATCATGATGTAAACCAATGGTTTGTTATTGGTTTAGAAATGGTAGCTTGTTCTAACTACGGTTTAGTGTTATGTTCAAAATGGACAACCTTGGTTTGTTGGATCATTCCACTCCAGATGCTTGACAAGCTACAGAAGCCAAAGGGAAGAACAGCTGAAGAAGAAACCAAGTTCTAGAGAAAAAAGCTGTGGCTTCTTTTCTTGTCTGCGGGACGACTCTTGTGGCTCAAGCCATGGTTAAAGCAAATTATGGTTTAGCTTCATGTGAAAATGCAAAGAGAAAATTAAACACCCAATAAACATAATATTTCAAGGCAGTTGGGGCCTAAGGACAGCTGGGACTGTGTGCAATTATAGAAAATGCTCTTTCCCTATTGCCCGCTGCCTGCTGCTCAATGACTGGTGAATAAGGGTTTGCTGCAACCTGGAACTGCATGGCCTAATAACCAGGACCAAATAGTCCCAGGTATAGGATCTTCTCCTCACCCGGGTACCTGGGCAATTACTCACTGCTTCTCAACAGCAGTGGTGCATAACTGATGAAAAACTTTAGAGGGTGGGAATGATGATATGATTACTGCCTAGTCCTGTGGTGGGAGAAGGGGCACCCAGAGGAAATGATCTTCCTAGCAGAGTCTTCCAAATCATGTCTGAGCCTCTGCTGATCTTACTGATATTAGCACTTTCGTTGGCTCTGCTTTTTAACTCTGCTTTGTATTATTTATACAACTGGTCATTGTAAGCTGCCTTGAGGGGCTGAAAGGTACAATAAAAATATTTTATAAATAAAAGCATTTTAAAAGCATGCGTGTGTGTATTGGGGTGGGGATAGCACTGATATCTCCTTTGCAACACTTTTACACAGCCTGGGCTATTTGTTTTTATATTGGCTCCCAAAGGCTCAACGCCCCCTTTCCGTTGGCAGTCCTCCCTTCTGACTACAGTATGCTGTAGGACCAGCAGACTTACCTCCAGGTAGGGCACTCCCTTCTCGAAACTCTGTGGGTACTCGCGCAATAGGCGCTCTTCGTCCAGGAATTTGGCATCCCGCCCATTGGTGGCTGGCTGGAAAAGCCCATAGTTCAGCACGTCCTTGAGGCTTTCATTGAGAGTGCAGAGGATCTGTTGCTTTGCCACCCAGATGGCCGCATCAGGGTTGAAACGTAGGCATTTCTGAAATGGTTTTGGGCCAGTGGGAGAGGGAGGGGTGGAATTGAGAGCAAAAGGAATGCATCAAAATGGCACAAAGTGGCACCTTGTTTTGAGTTTGCTCTAAAGCAGTGTTTCGGCCCTTTTAAATCTGGTTTATTGATCCACATCCTCTCTTTCTTCCAAGGGACTCAAGGCAGCTTACAGGATTCTGCCCCCCATTTTATCCTCGCTACAACCCTGTGAGGTAGGCTAAGCCAACAGACCTAGTGATCACTCGTCCAAGGTCATTCTTGGGCATCAAGGTCATCAAGCTTAATGGCTGAGAGGGGATTTGGACCTGGGTCTTGACCACTCTAATCACGATGCCACACTGGCTTAAAAAGAAAAGAAAAAGGATTTAATACTGATCTTTCTACATCCTGGGCTATAAATTTTGTGATGGTGGGCGGGGGGGGGAGTGGTAAGATTACATAATGTGGGGAATGAGCACAGAAGAGTCAGGATCTAAAAAAGAGGTAGCTTAATAAATTTACAGTTTTTTGATTGTAGAACAAGATTGTACAAGAATATTCCTTTTGCTCAGCTAATTTAGTTCACAGAGAGGGGGCTCTTTGACCACCTGTCCCACAAGTCATGTTGGGGAGAAACTATTATAAAGGTAATTTAACTGTCAGCACTCCCAGACCTTATGCGTCTCACATCCACATCATATATTTAAAGCTAGGGATTGTAGCTCTGCACGGTCAGCACCCTGAACAAACTACAGTTCCCAAGACTTTCCATTACCAATAAAGTCCTATAATTGTTAAATGTATGGTATGGATGTAGTTGTGAACAGATCCTGTAACTGGTTGCTGATGTTCCCTGTAATTTTTTTATTAAAAAAACCTTCTTAATAAAAATCAACGCTTTTCTGTTCATCCGAGCTGCCTTTGCATTCATCAGCCAGGAGAACACTAGAATTATGTTTTCCCACACCGTTGTGCAGAATACAGCCTGCGTATTTTCCATCTTATCTCCGCAAATGAAAGGGACAGAGATTGCACTTTTTAAAAACGAAAAACAAAAAGCACTGTTAATTGAAAGCTGAAATCCAGGCTACGGGCCTGCAGTCTCCCTGAGGGGACAAAGTCCCTACAGGCCTCCTGCAGCTATTGCCTGGGGCAGGCCTAATTTCGAGTGATTCCTCAACAGAGAATTCCAGACAAAATCTGAGAAGTAATACAGACATCGAGCTACCAAGAATTTCATCGTAAAATGAATTACAAGAATGGTGACAGAGGGCCTATCTGTAGGCAGTCTCTCTGTTTGTGTGTGTGGCAGTGGCAGTGTCTGTTGTAATGCACTGTGTATGAGGTGCCTGCAAACCTGCTTTCACCCCGATCAAGTCTTTAGCTGACCCACACCTGACGTCATGTATGCCCTACATATATAATGTCAGATGTAGGGGTGGTGGGTGTGGCTTGCCAAAACAGTCTTATAGGCCGAATGCTGGGCCTTGCCGGCCAAATTAGGCCTGTTGGGCCTAATTAGGTGCGCAGGCCAGAGGTTCAACACCACAGGGGTAGACAGTATATGTTGTCCCAAGTCTTCCCCTCACTGCCTCTGGATGTAATATTATTATTATTATTATTATTATTATTATTATTATTATTATGCCCTTCACCCAGGTGGGCTATGGCAATTTAAAATACAACACCAAGAGTATGCAACATGTACTCTTCTTTCATCCCCGATGCACTGTCACTGCCTATCCTGACAGGCAGGCAAGACACAACGCCTCTTCCCATCAAGGAAATTGCTAGGTTGAGAACGCAACATGCCAACTTGATTACTCCGATTTACATTTGCGGCAGGGGCATTTGAGCCGCGCGTGGCGCAGGCCACGTCCAAAGGGATGGTTCCCTGAGTCTCAAGCATGCTCCGTCAGCAACAGCGCCTGCCAGTCACCGGGTGCATGCGCCCCATGGCCTCCTCTGCCACATTGGAGAAATGTTGGAGGGTATGATAGGATGTCCCTGTTTTCATTGGAGAAATGTTGGAGGGTATGCATTTGACTCAAATGGGATTGATGTCTTTTGCTCTTTTTACGGCACCAGGAGTTTCTCTGTAGGGTTCTCAACTCACGTTAGCACCAATACTCTCTCTTTCCAACTACCCTAGCAGTCCCTGCCTCCTTCCCTCACCCCTCCGTCTTCCAGGGTCAGATTTGGGGAGTGGGGGGAGGAGAGGGGTTCATGAAGGGACAACCAGCCAGACACATGGTGGCAGTTCCATCCCTGTTTCCATGGTCACAACAATTTGTGATCTCTAGCAACCGTTTCCATGGTTGCCCCTGTGAATAGAAATGGGACCCAAGATGAAGGGGGAGAACAGCTTTAAAGAATCAGTAAAATGTTATGGCTTTGGGTGTTGCTGTTTTTATTGTGGGGACTGAGAAAAAAGAAAGGGGGCCTTCTCCAAAATAGTGTAGAGACCAACAAACAATGGCCTTTGGGTAGCTTAATGTAATATTCACATTTTAAACCCCAACCTCCCAAAACACTGTGTACACAGAGGGGAAGTGGTGTTATACATATATGGTGTGTGTGTGGATATGAAGATGCAGGAATAGAGGACTCAAAAAGCAATGGCTAAGTGAAAGAGACTAAAGGTTATTTTAGCCAGCTCTTATTAAGTTTCCATCTGCCCTATTTATTTAAAGTACTTTCATGCCGCTTTTGACAGAGATGGCTTTCCCCAAAGAATTCTGGGAACTGTAGTTCATGAAGGGTGCTAAGAGATGCTAACAGACCCCTATTCCCCTCACAGAACTACAAATTCCCAGAGCTCCCTGGGAAGAGGGACTGACTGTTAAACCGCTCTGGGAATTGTGACTGTGAGGGGAATAAGGGGCTACAGGGGGCGTCCCTGGCATTTCATCTGTACAATACTTGGGCCAACTCTGAACACCATCTAGAACAGACATGTATTCTTCTAGAACAGTGTTTCTCAAACTTGAGTCCCCAGCGGACTACAACTCCAGTCATCCCTAGCTGGCAGAATCATTGGCCAGGGGTGATGGGCGTTGTAGTCACATAGATATTTGAGGTGATTTATAAATTATTGGGCCGTATCCAGCACTAGTCCTACCACTGGACATCATTAGCTTAAGTTCACTCATTTCAATGGAACTACTCAGAGGAAAACTTAGTTGGATACAGCCCATTGTTCTTATTGTAGAAGTATGGCCATAAGTCCTACTTTGCTGAGGGAGGTGGTTTTTTTGACAGACCTTTTTTTTTTTTTTTTTAAAGAATAGCTAGTCCAAGCCTGGTTTAAGGACAAAAAACCTTAAAGAGGGGGACCAGGGGGCGGGGAATGAAGTTGCATATCCACCACAGCGACCAGCTACATAGTGGATTAAGCAGCCATTCATGGGTCACCTGCTCATAGTCTCTCCTCTGCTGGAATGAAAAACATTACATTGCTATTTAAAGTATAGTGATTATTTCTAAATGTGCATGTATGCATGCAAATTAGCAAATGCAAATTTGTTGCAAGAAGTGCATCTTCTTCTGTTTGGCAAAATTTACCCTTTAGTAGCAGCAGCAGCAAGGCTGGTTCCAGGTTTCACCAGGCCCTTGGCAGAATGCCTTCTGATGTGCCCCCTCCTTCCACCTGGTAACAGCGGCAGAGGTAGCTGTGGATGGCTGCTCTCTCACAATGCCCCAGAACAATGCTATGTTGGAGATGCTGAGGGAAATCAAAATGGTGGCTCCTACACCCAGTTGCTTTTTAAAAGCCGGGGGTGAGGCCGTGGTGTGCCCTGACAACTTCCAAAGGCTGCTGTGTGCTGACACTGGGCCTAGCAGCAGCAGTAGCAGAAGCAAGATTATACTTCCAGGGTGGATGTTACTCTTGAGAAGTGGTTAACTTCTCAAAAGAGATGTACAGGAAGACACAACCTCAGACCCAGAACTGTGGGGTTGTGAGGTTGTGGGTTTACCGCCTTATGACAAAGATGTTCCACATATACTCAAAAGTTCTCTTGCCTTTTTCAGTTTTTTAAAATGTGTTCTGGGATTGAGCCCCATAAACATGGACCCCAGAAATAGTGGGGGCTGTGAGGACGGGGGGGGGGGGGAGAGGGGTACAGCTCCCACAAAGAATGGCCAGGGATGTTGACCCCTTCCACAAGGATGACCTGGCATATACAATGGCGGCTGTTGTCAAAAGCCGATTCGTGTCCTTTCATTTTTCCTTTGCTCAATTGCCAAGCCGCTTAAGGTTTCTTTCTTTTCGTATCCATTGTGAGGAACTCATTTTCCACAATGATGAACAGTATAATTTTTGACCTCATGACTAGCCCGTTAAATAAGCAGATGTAGAAAATACACCAGAAAAGTAAGCAACACTCAGGACGTCCTTGACCACCTCATCTTAAAAGCAAGGGCCAGGTCCACAGACACATTTTTTCAAGGTGATACGGAAGTCATACACTGTGGACTTTCTGGGTTTAAGAATACTACGGCTCACTCACAAACCCCTGGAATAGGGTGGGGCAAGAAAAACAAATTTAAAAAGCTAATAACCCCTGATATGTGGGGTGATTTTGGGGTGGGTGGGTGGGTGTGTTAGAGAGGCTCGCATCTGTGTGCTCTGCCAATGTGGTATAGTGGACAGCTGGACCAGCGTTCAAATCCCACTCAGCCATTAAGCACACTGTCTCCCAGCCTAATCATACATCAGTCATAGGGGTTGTTGTGAAGATAAACAGGGGGAGAGAATCATGCGCGCCATTTTGACCTCCTTGGAGGAAAGGTGTGATACAAATGGAATCATCGCCGAGTGAGATGAAGAAGGCATGTACACAGGCAGCGAGACTTCTGGGGTGCCCAGGGAGTGGTTGTGCAGCCATGCAAGGACCCTAATGGCAGGCGGGGAGAAATGGAAAGGGGGGGCAGGGAGCACACTTCGCCTAGGTCTGCAGATGGCTCTCCAAATCAAAGGGTTGCTGGATAAAAGGACTGGTGCTGGTGGCAATGTCTGTATGTGTGTGTGTGTTGCTGAGTGTCCTGGTTTTATTGCTAATGAAGTGAGGAAGGAATAAGTTCCCTTTAGTGCTGAGCTAAGGATGAATCCAGTTCTGCATTAATTACCCCTCTAGGGACTGGGGTGGTGGTGGTGGTGGGGTGTGTGGAGCCCAGCCAAGAAGGGAAGCCCCACTTTTATTTGTCCATCAGCCACAGACCTTCCTGGGCAGCATTGCAGAATCAAGGAACACACATCCCTGTCCACAAAACTCTCTGCCCATTTAACCGGTTCCCTCCTTGAGCAACCCACGCTACGCAGATTATATCATGTCCATCTGAGGCACAGGGGAAAGGAGCAAACAAGAGCCCTGTATCAGAGGAAATCTACCCGATTACTGAAACGATTTGGTAAAATCCTCTCCAACTGCCTCGTCACCATACTCTACAACAGATGTGGAGAACCTGTGGCCTTCTGGATATTGCTGTAGTACAACTCCTGAACATCCCATTGGGTGCTGATGTTCAACAACATCTGGGACGCCACTTTAAAACATATTGGGATGACCCAATTGTCTCATCCTTGCGCTTCGATACCTAACCCTAAGTACACGTAACTGAAAAGACAACATATTCTCAGTGTTGGCTCCAGGTTTTGGAGAGCCTTGTGCAAGACCTTCTGCCCCGTTCCCTCCCAGTGAGTCTAACTCCATGCTGCCATTATCACAAACTGCTCCCCCTTCTCTTCCTCATCTCTGCTGCCACCTGCATGCCTGCCAGGCAGAGAGCCAAGGAGCAAACAGATAGTGACATATACCACTCTTATCTGGGCAGCCAGAGCAAGAGGTAGCTGAACAAGCAAGCGGACTGCAGCTGTGAAGAGGAGGAGCAGGGACTACCTGATTGCGCCAACCCTGCACAATCTGCTTCCATTTTCCTTCTTGTAACCCCTCAGGGCAGAGACCAGCCCTCAAACTTGGTTCAGCACCTATAGATGGCACTATTACTATTGCTATGAAAGGGCCATAGCTGAGTAGCGGAGCACCACAAATTTCATGCAGAAGGTTCCAGGTCCAATTCTGGGCATCTGCAGGTAGGGCTGAGAAAGATGGGAGTCCCTTACGAAACTGCAGAGAGCTACTGTGAGTCAGTGTAGACAATACTGAGCATGATAGACCGTCTGACCCAGTTTAAGGCCGATTCCTAGGTTCATCGTAACCATCTAGATGGCTAGAATTACGACACAAAACACAGAAGCGTGTCAGCTAGGGATGGTGGGATAGAGACGGCAAAAATTAATTTTGAAACCGGTAACTTGACATCGCCTGTCGCTCTTGTCTTCAGTGGGTTGGAATTTCTCCCCAATGCTCAATATAGAGCTTGGCTAGATTCTTTAAAAACACACAAAATATCCTCCACACTTGCCTCCCGCTACACCTCAGCATGCACCTGGGCACAGGTGAGCTTCCATGCCTCTCCCGCACTCCGTCCCCTCTTTGGTTCCTCACCGTCTGGTGCAGGTCAGGAATGCCAATTCGGAAGACCATCATACTGAAGTGTGCGTCCTCGGGTACCGACATGGAGCGACTGTGGTCAGGGTTAGCGGGGCTGGCCGGCGGGCTGGGCCCCTCGCGGGAGGTCTCCGAGCCCGACTCCCCCTCGGGGCACTGGGAGAGGTGCTCCTCCTCCTCCGCACTTGATTCGGGGCTCTGGGGCATCGTCGGGGGCGCTGGGCACCATCACTGGCTGCACTGCAGGGATGGGGAAAGAGAAAGAGATTAAAGGTTACCTCTGTGGAGGAGCATTGTAAGAGATGTGTAGCCGCTTGCCTTCCTTCTGGGCTCCCCATGGGCATCTGGTTTGGCCATGGTTGTAACAGGATGCTGGTAAGATGGACCACAGGCCTGATCCAACAGATCTCTTTTTACATCCGTAGTGGTAAAGGGACAGGGATGGCCTCTACAGCACTGCTCTGCTAAGATGTGATCTCTTAACACACACGTATTCAGATACAGAAATATGGTCTTTGAATAATGCATTCTGAGCAAGCGGGCACAGACCCAAATGTGCACACACACACACTCTCACACACAAACCAAGGCTGACAGGCAAGTGAAGCAAAAATGAGGCCTCCCTTCTCTTGCTTTCTCTGCTATACCGACACAAAACAAAGACATGCTAAGGCGTGCAGACAAAAACATGCAGACATACAGTACTACGACTAGAGTGGAATCTAGTCCAGAATCTTTGTTCTATTGTTTCACCTGGTGATGAAGTGAGTTCAAAGTAATCCACTACAATCTATTGGAGCCTCACAGGGTGGCCCCTCTGGAATTTCTCTCTCTCTCTCTCTCTCCCTCTCTCTCCCTCCCCCTCTCTCTCTCTCTCTCTCTCTCTCTCTCTCTCACACACACACACACACACACACACTGTCTGTGCTTGGCTACCCAGCACTTAAATAAATGACCTTTCACAACCCTTTTCAAAAACATGCATTGGGAGAGGATCCCTAACCTGGCACAGAGAGAGAAATATAGGACAAAACCTTATCAATACAGGATGTAGCACTTTACACTGGAATACAGGACAATCCTGTATTATACAGGACAGTTGGCAACCCTAGCTGGAATCTAATTTCACCACCCACCCCACAGCTTGTGCCACACAGGAGGTCCAATTATGTTTCTTCCCCGGTTTCCTCAGTTGCTGCTCCTTCTCCGTGTTTAATACAACTCCATACACTAGTACTGAGCAAGAGGAGTGGAGGGGGAGGCTGCAGTCAGTAAGCCCCAAATGGGGTGGGGTGGGGGTGGGCACACAATTCCCCCCCCCCACTATTCTACCAGGGATCGGTGTTAAGGGGGAGTAGGGGGTCGTGTTTCCTACATCAGCCTTTGGTTTATTAGCTCTGAATCCCTGGAAGACTTGCTGACAGGCAGCTTGCCTTGATCTGCACTGAAACCAGGATTCATTCCAGTACAGATGTGGCAAGAACCCCGGGGAACATAGCTATGAAGAGAGAGATGGGGAGAATAACTTGTGCATAGGGAGGAACACAGAGACGCTGCGAGCTTCGTTTTTCAATCCAGGCACAGTCACCTGCTTCCCACTCCTACTTCTGGAGCGTGATTATTGAGGCAACAGCCCAGTTTGCACATGACGCTAAACTAAACCATGGCTAAGCGTGAATGTGTGACTGTGTGTGTACTCACAGTAAAAATCCCAGCCACTTCCCTCCTCTCCCTGTTCTGCTGCTGCGCTATCTGTGCTAAGCCATGGTTTGTTACATCCAAACCAACCATGGTTAGTGTTACATCTGAAGCTAGGCTCATGGTTTGTCTTGCTCCCAACCATAAGCTGTAGCCAAGGCTTGTGGTTTGTATGGAAGAGGCAAACCATGAACCTAGGTTAATATGTAATGCCAGGTACCATAGCAGCAGCAGCAGCAGCAGCAGCAGAGAAGCATAGTGGTATGTGGAGCATAGCTGTCAACTTACAGATTTGAAAATAAGGGACCAGCAGCCTTGAAAATAAGGGACCAGCAGCCAAAATAAGGGACCTGCAGCCTCACCTGTTCCAGGCACTCGTCTTCCTGTCCTCCTGCAGTCTGGTCAAACTCATGCTGGGTAGCTTTGAGAACACTGTCCAACCAACTTTGTAACCAGAGGTTCAACTGAATAGAATCTGAATCACATGCACCACAAGGCCTATGCAGCCTCAACTTAAGATGGCTCCCCGGCCTGGCTTTGCACTGCAAAGTTTGCAGCAGCATGTGCAACAAAATGGCATCCAGCATTCAAAAACCTCCTCAGCTTGCATTAACTAGCCACACACAAGGCATGCAAGCTGCACCCCCCAGTCGTTCTTAGACTTCTTATTGGGTGAGCAACACAGCCAAGCAACACAGTTGGAGCCTCCCTCCTCCCTGGCCGGCAGGGAGGGAGGGAGAGGAGCTGCTTCCTTTGAAAATTAAGGGACATCATTTAAGGGACATTTAAGGGACATCCATCAATAAGGGACAGAAGCGGGACATGGCGCTGGAATAAGGGACTGTCCCTTCAAATAAGGGACACTTGACAGCTATGATGTGGAGTCACACTTAGGCACGGTTTGGTTTAGCGCCACTGGGTCATGGTGCGTGATGCTTTGAACAGGCAAAACACTTATTTTAACATGCTCCCAAATGGGTCCTTAGTGGCACACGATCGGAATGATTTGCATGCATACATGCCTGCATGATGCTTCCAGATGAGCTGCTTATTGAGCATCCATTCTGATTTCTTTTCAGGGAGCTTAGACAACGTTGGCTGCTTAATATGCCTTCATTCCGATTTATCTGCGGGAGGTTAGGTGATGGGTCATCAAAGCAAGTGCGGTGACGCACTTTCTGAGGCATTCTCCCGCTGCTTCCTTTATCACGAAAAATCCAATCTTTTGGGAATCCCTCCCCCAAATGGCAAATGCCTGGAAATGCCCTGAATAACATGCACATTCTCCCTCTTCGCTCGCCCAGTGCTTCCATTCTCTCATTCCTCCCGCCCACTTTGCCCTTTTAATTTCTGCATGTCTGTCGGATCTTGTCCCCCACCCCCCTACTTTCCCAGTTCCCTGTTTCTGTATTTCCTCCACAAGACGTGCAAGGCGGAGATCCCTCGCTTCAGGTCTTTGCTCTGCATGCTGGCCAAATGTTCCCTTCCGCCCCAACCACCTCCACCCCAGTCTCCTTCACTGACTTTTCATGCTCCGTGTCCCAGTTTCCAGTCGGCCCCAGGGCCCAAGCAATCTGTGTGCAAGCAGCACACGACGTCCCAGAAAGCAGAACAGCCCTGGGACGCCTGCCCCACTTTCGGCACCTGCCAAAAGGGCCTATAATTAGCCCTAAAGGACACCATTTGCTCTGAACCCCCTGACACCTCCAATTTCATTTGCTAGATATTATCGCAGCCAGGCAGATACTGTGGGCGGTGGGGCAGGAGGAGCAGGGGTGTAGTGTGGGGAGGGCCAGGGGTGCAATAGCCCTGGGCGCATGATATGGAGGGGGCATGAGCCAGGCTCCCTCACGCAGGGATCCCTGCCCTTTCTGCCACCGGGATCGTGGGTAGTAACTGATGTAAAAGGTTCTCCGCTTAAGATCTACTGCCAGTGTAGACAATAGCAGGTTCCATGGGCCAGTGGTCTGTCCTGGTATGATGTAGCTCCCCATATCTTCTCTGTGGAAATGAAACTAATTCTGGCATCAGTTGCAACTAGAGAGAGAGATATCCCTTGTTTGGTAACATACTCAAGGTCCAACTCTAAAGTGGCGGAGGAGGTTTTTTTGCCTAGTCAGCATTTTAAAGCAAACCAACCAACCTACACGGGTGGGAATTCAGGTATCAAATTGACTGTACACTTCTCCAAATTTTTGCAAAGTAAGGTTCTTTTGTTCAGACCTGCTAACCTTTCCGCCTGATGCAGGCCTGATGCCACAGTGAAGAGCTTGGCTGACCACTGCTTGACCCCGCACTCAACACAAAGGCAACCAGCCCCATACCGACCAAGTCTAATGAAGTCTTCTCTGCACTGGTTCCAGATTGGGATTTGTCTTATTGGAGGTGGTGATGGGAGAGTGCTAGGTAACAGTTTGTTTCAGCTCAAATATATGCACATAAATGTGCATGCAAATCCATGTAAAAATGCATATTCTGGGGGAAAGTGTAGAAAACCACACGAAATGTGTATTTCAGCAGAAATTGTATACAATTTTTAAATGCACTTTTATTTTAAAAATAAAAAAAAAAATGAAATAGAGAAGAATTGTGATTGAATGCACACAAAACCTACGTAAAATGGAAAAAGACTGATCCATCCATCTGTATTACCACAAAGTTCTCATAGAATTTCTCCCTCTTCCTCAGAATCATCGGATAATGCCATAACTAAAGATAGGTCCTTGGAAACATCAAGAATGCCAGAAGAAGAAGAAAATCCCCAGGAAGCCAAGTCAATGAGATCAGAGGGCAATTCACACAAACATCTGGCCCACTTTGAAGTTAATACAAGCTGGCTTTTTCAGTAGGAGCTCAGAGTCCACCTCGGAAATGGTTCATGCTCTCTTTCATGGCTCAGTACGTCCCGCAAAAATCTGTTCAAAGCAGGCATTGAAAATGGAAAAAGCACCACTTTAGCAGGCAAAAACTGAAACGACAAAATAGCATCATGGCTTTCACCTGGGAACTGTGGCTCATTAAAGGCACTAACCTCACAGTGCTATAATTCCCAGCACAGTTCTCAGGATCCCTCATGACTGTTAAAGTGGCATAAGGGTGCGGATCTGACCCAGCACATGACAGGCCCGGGATAGACCTTATTTAAAATACTTGGGAGTATCCTCTTCTCTCTCTCTCTTTTGTAAAGCAGGTTGAAACCAGATTTGCTAAAATGCTGTAAATGTAGACATGGACTCAACACAGATCTGGTTCAATTGTGCAAGTCCGGGGCACCCCAAGTCTCTTGTGTAAAACAGGACATTTCGCGAGATGTTTGATACTGTAAATACTCCAGATGGAAGTTAATAACGATGGTGTTAAATGGTATTAGCGCAAGGGTAGTAAAATGTGTGCATATATAACACTTGTGTAACACCTCAAGTGTTACCATTACTGTAACGTGTCACTGTTATGTGTGAGACTACACGTAAAGACAGGCAGGCAGGCAGACAACACAGAAGTGTCGAGTCTCTTGGAAAAGAGAGACCATTGCATACCCTCCAACATTTCTCCCATGAAGCTAGGGGCATCCTATTCAATAATAATAATAATGATAATAATTTTATTATTTATATCCTGCCCATCTAACTGGGTGGCCCCAGCCATTCTGAGCAGCTTCCAACATATATATAAAAACATAATAAAGCATTAAACATTTTTTAAAAACTTCCCCATACAGGACTGCCTTCAGATGTCTTCTAAAGGTTGTATAATTATTTATCTCCTTGGCTCGGGGGTTGCATAACTCCATACCCTGCAACATTTCTCTGATGAAAATAGGGACATCCTAAGGAAAAGCAGGACATTCCGGGATCAAATCAAAAACCTAGACGGCTTCTGTAAATCCGGGACTGTTCCTAGACGTTAGGGACACTTGGAGGGTCTGTCATCATGCTCAGAGCATGAGACTGTGATTATGCAGGAACAGAGAGAAATTAGAGTGCCACTGGCTGCAGAATTCTGTTTTCTAAGAAGCCGAGCTTGCTCAGAGCTCTGCTGGAAGGTATTTTTCTCCGAAGCCATTTATCAGTATATCCTCCTCTTCCACCCCCAGGGAAAGGGGGCTATTTCGCAGAATGTTGTCTGCCCCACGCTTTTTTGATGGTTGCTGTCCCCACCCCAAAATGTCTCCTAACAACTCAAGGTCTGGATATTCCAGGCTGCCAACACAGCAGCCACCTCCCCTGTTTGAGGCAGTAAGAGGAGAGTGCTGTGAAGCTCAGTTCCTGCTTTGCATAGGCATCTGGATGGCCGTTGTAAGAACAAGATGCTGGACCAGATGGGTTGCTGGGAGATGTATGAGCTCCTGCTCCAGACACTGCTAGAGAATTTGTCCTCCCCATAAGGGATATTTGGTAGAATGTTCCCCACAATTTGGGCCCCTGCAGATGGCATCTTTACTGAACTTTTGTCCTGATTTGCTTGTAGAGAGGTTATACGACAACGAGCATTCATCCTCCCTCCCTCCCAGTTTGCTTGTGGGGGCGTTTATATGTCTTTCTGTCAGTTCTTCATTCATTCCACACGTTTCCCTGTCACTTTACAAACTGCAAAAAGTCTGCCTTTTCTTTCAAGTGCATTTGTTGCATACTCCCCAACTGTCCCGATTTAAGTGGGACATCCTGTTTTTTTAAGGGGGGGCGTGCTCTCGTGTGAGTCATCTGACTCCCATGAGATGGTGGCCCCGAAAGACGTGCATTTTGGGTGCCGTGCTCTCGTGTGAGTCACATGGCCCGCATGGGAGTGCGGCCCCGAAAGACACGCATCCCATTTTTTTCCTGGAGCATGTTGGAAGGTATGTTGTAGCAGTGCTTTGAACCCCTTTACATTAATACCTCCACGAACGTTCACCTTATCTAGCGTCCATTCCAGCAAACGGGTTACTTCTGGGTTTGCTGCTCGCGCATGCGCGGAAGTGCTAAATCGCGCTTGCGCAGAAGCGCAAACAGCTCCGTATGTGTGCGCAGACGCGGCACTTTGCCCTGCGTCCTTTTCGGCTAGCGGCCGGGGCTCCGGAACGGATCCTGGCCGCAAAACAAGGTACAACTAATTGCACAAACCCAAAGTTCCTGGTATGCACTTGAATCCCTCCCACACAATACTGGGCGATCTGGTGGTACCCCTTCTTGCTGCACACAAATGAGGTAGAGAATTTGGAGTGGCCATTTTCCCAACACAGCTCCATATATACTCCATTATACTCTGTGTCTACTAACCCAGGGATAATAATAATAATAATAATAATAATAATAATAATAATAATAATTTATACCCCGCCCATCTGGCTGAGTTTCCCCAGCCACTCTGGGCGGCTCCCAATCGAATGTTAAAAACAATACAGCATTAAATATTAAAAATTTCCCTAAACATGATTGGTTTTTTAAATAACTTTTGGGGGGCTGAGGAGGGGAGATCATAGAACCATAGAGCTGGAGGGAACCATGAGTATCATCTAGTCCAACTCCCTGCAATGCAGGAATATTTCACCCAGCGTGGGGCTCGAACCCTCAATCCTGAGATTAAAAGTCTCCTGCTCTACCAACTGAGCTATCTCTCAGGGGTGTTGAGGGTGCTTTTCTAAGACGTTATTAACATGCACGGGCATGCAACGGCAGTTCTTCTGTTTTAATCTCCCTGTCCTGCGCATGAATAGGCACAAAATGCCGGTGCGCTGGTTAAGAGCCTAAGAATGTCAGGCGTTGTATGGAAGAAATACAAGCAAGGCCAGGCCTCACATGGAGGATTACAGTCTAAAAAAAGAACACAAAAGAAAGAACAAGGATGCTGGCTGTTATGAGTGGGCGGGAGGTCATAGGGAAAAACCCAAAAACAGCCTTGCAGTCGAACTGATTGCCACATATTGCTTGTGTGGATGCAGGACTGCTAATGGTATCATTTTCTCCTGTGCAGATAACAGCTTCTAAACAGTGTTAGAAACACAGATATCTAAGCTAACCATCAAATGGCACCTTAAACCTAGGTTAAGGCCACCACGACGGAATATCTAGGTGCTTTTTATTTATTTTTGGTGATGAAATTTTATTTATTATCATTATTATCATTTCTATACCACATTATATTTTAAGGAAAAAATATCTCAAAGCAGTTTGAAACACATTAAATAAAACAATACAGAATAAAACAAATTCAAGCTTCAAGGAAAATATTTCAGATCCTTCTCTAAGTGACATTTTGCTTTCCCCATATCTATTTACCTACTTAATTTACAGAGCCGCCCCATAGCAGAAGTACTCTAGGAAACCAGTGTGGTGTAGTCGTCAGAGTGACGCACTAGGACCTAAGAAATCAGGGTTCGAATCCCCACTCAGTCATGAAGCTCAGTGGGTGAACTTGGGCCAATCGTGGCCTCTTAACCTACATCACAGGGTCAGCCCCATAGTTGCCTTTGACTGGACTTAACCATCCAGGAGTCCTTTACCTTTTTTTTACTTTGTAGGGATTAACTGAGGAAGGGGCTGAACCATGTAGTCCTTGGAGAAAAGGGTATAAATGCTCTTCTGCTTATTTGCTTAAGAAAGCTGGAGAGGCCAGCCAGAGGAATATGTCAGTTGCCAATGAGGCATTCAGAGATCTCCGCACGGTCGCAATTGGACCCCTGCAAACTGCGCCTGGCCCCTGGCTAATTTCTAACATTGCTTGTAAGCCAGAGATTTTCATCAGGACGGCTTCCTGCAGCCAATGGGAAGCTGCGCACGCCTCCTCCGTGCCGGAAGGAGCACCGGAAATAGCGTTTGCGCATGTATCCGCACGCACACACTCCGGCCCACCGTGGTGTCTGCAGGACCATGAACCGGCCCAAGCCACAATAACTTTGCAGACCCCTGCTTTAAACTCCTTCCTTCCTTCTATCCATCCATCCTTTCTTCCTTCCTTCCTTCCTTCCTTCCGATCTCCTCCATTACCACCAACATTCTTGTAAGCCTGGAAGCTCACTGATACCTGTCAGGCCATTATCTATGTGATGTTTGCATCTATTTTTTGTTTTTTGTTAAAGTCTCTTTCTTTCCATGTACAAACTTCCATACTTCTGCAAACCCAGGGAATTCCTGAAGTACATAGAAGCCAACTGCCTTAGTTTTTTTACAGCTACCTCAATTTACTTCCAGCTGTTCGGCACTCAAGACTCTCGAGCTCTCATTAGGAGGAACCAGCGAGACCTGCGATGAAATGTTCTCGTGGATGCTTGCCTCCTAAAAACGAGTGACCTTGGTACAGGATGCCAGCCAGGTTTGTATAAAGCTGCCTTGTAGCGAACCAGAATATTCATCCTTCTAGCTCAGTATTGGCTACACAGACTGGTAATGGCTCTCCAGGATTTCAGATGGGGGGGCATTCCCTCTGTATCTGAGGACGCTGCGGGTTGAGCATGGAGACTTTGACATGCAATGTGGATGCTTTACCTCTGAGCAAAGGCTCTTCCCGAAGGATCATGTGTATCTCCAGGATACTACAGTGGTACTTCTGGTTACGTACTTAATTCGTTCCGAGGTCCGTTCTTAACCTGAAACTGTTCTTAACCTGAAGCACCACTTTAGCTAATGGGGCCTCCCACTGCTGACGCACTGCCGCAGCGCAATTTCTGTTCTCATCCTGAAGCAAAGTTCTTAACCCAAGGTACTATTTCTGGGTTAGCGGAGTCTGTAACCTGAAGCGTATGTAACCTGAAGCATATGTAACCCGAGGTACCACTGTATAAACAGGCCATTCCTCATATCTCTCTCTCTGTCTCCCCATTTTCAGTCGTTCTTTTTAAGCCAGCACTCAACATTCCACGGATAATGGAGCTGCTCAATCCTAATTATGTTGTTTTAGGGCTATTTTCCCCCATTAGGCCAGTTTAAAAAATATATATTTTGTGTGTACTTTGCATTGCCCATTCTTGAGCCTCCCCTGGGCATACCAAGGCCTCCCTCTGGTTTTTAAGTGGCCTTTCTTGACCTCGCATTCGTCGGCGCCACTTGAGTTCGCTCTTCGTGACGATAAGGGATAAATATATTCACGCAGGCACTAATTAGTGTCTTTAAGGGTGCAAACATACCAATTCCCTCACTGGATCAGAGGGCAGAGTCAAGGTAGGAAGGCAGACCTTGACCTGTTCCAATAAGAGCCATGGATTTGCTGAAATTGCTGGCTGGCAATCTAAGCAGAGGAAAGGGCTTGCAGCTCAGTGGTGTGAATCACAGAGCCGGAAGGGACTAGTGTTTGAAATTCGCCAGGCGCATTTTGTGACTGGCGCGGGTCCAACTGCAACCACATGGAGATCTCTGGATGCCAGCTTAGCAACCGAAGTCTCCACCTGGCTGGCCCCTCCAGTTTTCTTGAGCAGATAAGCAGAAGAGCATTTATATCCCTGATGGGGAGTGGTCATGGAAGTACACCTGCAGTGGAACCGGATAAAGGTAGGCTGGAGTAGAATGTAAAAATGCAGAAACCAGCCTTCTGTACAAAACGTAAAATTGGCTTTAATTGCCCTGCCCACTTCAGCCTTTGGCTCCGCCCATCACTGGGCCTGTGTGGCCCATAAAATGTCGCCCAGAAGGGAATATACACATTTCACTAACCACTCTGTTTCACATAAGCACTTTGCAATTCAAAGCAGGCTGGAGGAACTGACAGGATTTCTGGAAGACCAATGGGCGGCGTTTGTGGCTAGATTTCACTTCTAGGCAAAAGCAATCACGCGGCTAGCTTCAAAATGATCTAATTTTGGTTTCTCTCCTTGCTCCTTTATTTGTTTAAGGCAAGCTTGCCTTTTCTATTTAAAGCAAAGTCTTCACCTGAGGCATTTTTTTTTTTTAAAGTTTGCATACATTTAAACAAATTAACACACGGAAATGAGTAATGGCTATTTATTCCTGCACCCGCCACCCCATGCCCCACCCCCCGGCTGCCTTCCCTCCAGAAGTGAAAAGAACCCTGTAGGCCACACTTCTGGGCAACCTTTATTTTGTCATGTATCACCTCAGGAGTAATTGATGGCGCTGCGAGAAGCTAAAAATTAGACAGGGCCTAAGCCAAAAGAGAGCAAGGCACCCCCTTTCCTCATTCTCTTTCTGCCACAGAGCTGAAGTTCCCATCAACCTTAACAAACAAGAGTTCCCAGGATCCTTTGGGGGGAGTCATGCGCTTTAAATGTGCCTTGAATGTGTGGTGTGTGCATAGCCAGCAGTGTCTGCCACCTCCTTCTCTCTCCTTCTGTCATCTCTTTCTTTCCCTCCCTCCCTCTCCCTCTCCGCTGCTGCTGCTCCCTTTCTCTCCATCTTCCCCTCCTAGATACCCACGTGAGATCAGTCTGATGGCTACGTGTGGCCATTAAGCCACAGGCTCATCACCCCTGCCCTAGGCCTCTGTTTCTCCGCACAATGCCAATGTTCCACAACAAGAATACATTAAGGTTTCCATATTCCCCAAAGCGGGTCAAAAGTCGTCAAGCTTTTTTTGGGAACATCTCCCCCCAAAATCTAAGTTTTGGGGGAATTTGAAAATGATTTTTAAAAAATTTAAACACACACGCCCTTGCCATATGTTGATTTGACAAAAATCCACCCAGGCGCCATTTTCCTGTCCAATTCCTGGATGTATGGCAGCCCTATGATACATATTCATAGAACTGTAGAGTTGGAAGGGACTCCAAGGGTTATCTAGTCCAGCCCCCCTCAAAAAGTAAAATTCCTGACACCCACAAAGTTGTTGAGCTTTTTTAAGGAAGACCCCAAAATTGAAAGTCCCCCCCCCAAATAGTGATTTTAAGCTCTTTCCGCTGCTTTCCCCATCACATTGCCATACACCTGGGTTTTCCCTTATATTCTGCGAATTCGGCAATGGTTAATTAGAGGTTTCCTAGTACATCTGTCACTCCTGCAAATGAAAAAATGGAGAGGCTACCTGTGCAGGCAGAAGGCTTTTTCATATCTCAGGTTGTTAAGCCAAAAAATGACTGAACCATACTATTGTATTTCAGAGTTGAACAGTTTTTTAACCTTGTATTTCCACTATCCAAGCCTCATGCTCTAAGTCTAGCCATTGCACTTACGCCTCAAACCCCAAAGGAGGAAATACAGAAGCACATCAAATGGAGAAATGCAGCGAACAGACCTCAAAGGTGCACTGAGGATAATTTATTGGCCCAATGCAGTTAGAATCTGTTGGTTCTCCCTTGGGGGCAACTGATTTGTTGCTTTGAAAAAAAATGATCAAAAATATCTTACACACCATATCAAAAGTTGGGGTGGTTTTGCTGCTTTAGATGGGTGGGTGGGTGGGAGACAGGGAGAAAGATCAGTAGTCTCTAAGGAAGAATCTATGGACTCAAAGCACAGTGGACCAATAAACCCAGCTCTGTGCATCTTTAGTCATTTCAGGTTCTTGTGCCACAAGCATGGGGGGGCGGGGAACTGCCTCCACTAAAATCTTTTTGCTCCCTCCTGCTACTGGGTGTATTGTCACCCAAACAATCAGGCCCCCTTGCTCTCATTTCCCAAGAAGGTGATGGAATTCCTAAATCAGTGTTTGGTGTTTGTGTGTGTGTGAATGAGAGAGTTGGGCAAACAGAATAAACTAATGCAGAGAAGATGGGTGTATTGATTGATTGATTGATTGATTAAAATAGTAATCGGGGCTTTTTTCAGCCAGAACTCACAGGAACACAGTTCCAGCACCTCTCAGGCGCCATTGCCATTACAAGAGAACAAGGCAGGAGTTCATTGTGAGTTATGGCACCTATATTTCTATAAAAATAGCCCTAATAATAATAATAATAGTAAGGTAAAAGACCCCTGGACGGTTAAGTCCAGTCAAAGGCGACTATGGGGTTGCGGCGCTCATCTTGATTTCAGGCCGAGGGAGCTGGTGTCCACAGACAGCTTTCTGGGTCATGTGGCCAGCATGACTAAACCACTTCTGGCGCAACGGAACAATGAAAGCCAGAGCATGAAGATGCCATATACCTTCCCACTGCAGTAGTACCTTATTTATCTACTTGCACTGGTGTGCTTTCGAACTGCTAGGTTGGCAGGAGTTGGGACAGAGAAATGGGAGCTCACCCTGTTGTGGGGATTTGAACCACCGACCTTCCGACTGGCAAGCCCAAGAGGCTCACTGGTTTCGACCACAGCACCACCCGCTAATAATAATAATAATAATAATAATAATAATAATAATGCTGGTTGGGGGTCTAGGCATAGCCTGTAGGTGCTCCCAGACCCAGCTGTTTCACTGGTGATAGAACGGACCAGAAGCACTTTCCACCACCTTTGCCTCCTTCTCAAGCTGTAGCCTTGTCCAGAAACCTGCCATTGGACTTTTCCAAAGTGCAGCAGTCAAAATATTCACCAGAGATCAGACCGCTGAACCACACAGCTCCTATCCAGAGGTGTCCCTCAAGTCTGAAAGTGTTCTGGGCAAAGTGACTTCTGGTGGGCCCTTCCTGACTACAGTGGCAACTCTCTAAAACAGGGGTAGGCAACCTAAGGCCCATGGGCCACAAGCAGCCCATGGGGGTCGTTTTACCAGTCCATGAGCCACCCCCAAACCAAGCCGCCCGCTTGGTGAGTCTCCACACGCTGTGCTAAACCGGTGCACTCACTTCCGCGGGACTGGAGATCACATCTGCGCAGATGCCGGAAATCGTGTCTGTGCAGACGCTGGAAATCGTGGGCGCACGCGCGATCCAGCCCACAGAGGGATCTCCACTGGAGTAAACCAGCCCAGGCGAGGTAAACCTTGCCGACCCCAGCTCTAAAACAACACCATGTGGCAGGAAGGAAGCTCCAGGAATCAGCAGAGGGCGCTCTGCTGAGGAGGGTCCCTTGGCAATTGCCTAATGGCGACAACTGCTGATACTCGCAGTTGTCTATGATCTGCTCCACAACTCTACTCTTTTTCGGATCCCATTAATAGGGGATATACAACAGACGAATATTTGAGACAGTGCTTTTTTTAGCGCTGGCACCAAAACTTTGGGACAGCATCCCCGGGGTCAATTTGCTGAGCGTCCCCTTTTTCTACTTTTGGGCAGGCTTCAAAAACCCATCTTTTAAAACATGTACGGTAACGTTTAGTTCCTTTTTTTCCACATTAGGAGCTTTGTATTCTCAAAACCATTCTGTTCATTTTGCCAGACTACAAAAGCTTTGCATATCAAACATACGATTGCATTTCGTTCCTTTGCACAGAGAAAATAGACATCAGATGAAACGCAGTACAAAATAAAATAAATAAAAGCAATCAGAGAACAAATGAATAAAAATGTGTTGTTTTGGGTTGTTTTCTCCAAATACTGTCACTTAACAGTTTTAACACAGGCTTTCTTAATCGTGTTTGTTTTCTTTCAATTGGTTTATTAAATTTTGTTGCGCAATGCTGCTCTCTCCCTGCGTGTAGTACCCCAGTTTGAGTACATTTATAGAAAAGCAAGATAATAGCAGTTGCGATGATGATGATGATGATGGAGAAACATGTTCCTCATGGATGCTCCAGGCAACATCTCCAACAACCTCGCTTTCCTGGATTCCTGCTGATAAAAGCTTTCTATTTTAATAAGATGTTCTCTGCCTGCTCCCCCTTTGTTCATATGTTCGCAGGAGGGAGAGAGGCACCTTGCAGAAAAGGCTGTTTGCCAGGATGCCAAAGGTGCCGCATGGGTCTCCATGCCCATCTTCTGGCATTTTGTTAACCAAGAGAAAATATACAGGATGGCCTTCCCACATTTGGTGTTGCGCCATACATTTTGGACTGCAACTCCCACCGTCCCTGACTGCTGGTCATGCCAGCTGAGGCTGATGGGAGTTGTAGTGCAAAACATCTAGAGCAGGGTTTCCCAAACTTGGGGCTTCAGCTATTTTTTGGACTACAGTTCCCATCATTCCTGACCTCTGGTCCTGATAGCTGGGGATGATGGGAGTTGTAGTAAAAAACAACAACAACAGCTGGAGACCCAAGTTTGGGAAACCCTGATTTCGAGGAACTCAGGTTGGGAAGGCAGATCTCAGACACAGTCCTCATCACCAGGGCCAGCCCAACCAGGAAGACAGACAAGGAAGCCACCAGAGACAAGAACAGAAAGGGCACCCATCATGTCTGTTCCTGAGTCCAGATTGAAGAGAAAATTCTAAATAAGGAGAGCAGGAGGCCCTGGAGTTGCCCATCAACGACTAACACCTCAGCAGCAAATTGAGAGGTTACCTGGTCCCAGTTTTTCCATTATGGTGAAACAGAACATTTAAATATGAGTAATTATTCCTAAAGAGGGATGCGGGTGGCGCTGTGGGTTAAACCACAGAGCCTAGGACTTGCCAATCAAAAGGTTGGCGGTTCGAATCCCCACGACGGAGTGAGCTCCCGTTGCTTGGTCCCTGCTCCTGCCAACCTAGCAGTTCGAAAGCACATCAAAGGGCAAGTAGATAAATAGGTACCGCTCCAGCGGGAAGGTAAACAGCATTTCTGTGCGCTGCTCTGGTTTGCCAGAAGCGGCTTAGTCATGCTGGCCACATGACCCAGAAGCTGTACGCTGGCTCCCTTGGCCAATAAAGCAAGATGAGCGCCACAACCCCAGAATCGGCCACGCCTGGACCTAATGGTCAGTTGTCCCTTTACCTTTACCTAATTATTCCTAGATTTTCATCTATGCATAGAAATCATCGTATGCATTCCATCCCCCCACCATCAGGAAGACTGGGTCCTCTTGTCTGGTGAGGCGTAAGGAGCCACTCAATGGTGGCTCCCATGAACTGAGAGTGCCCCCAGAATCCTCAGTGGCTTTGCAGGTAGGTCTCCGCTTAAACAGGGATATCCCTTGCTCCATCTCACAGCGAGCACAAAGAGCTCTTGAGCCAGCCCTGGCTGAATCCCAAGCCACTGTGTGGCCGATCCGACTTTGCATTGCCACGGCATCCTTCACTCTGGGAATTAAAATGTTGCATTCAAAGCAGGTTGTGCCAAACAATCAAAACTTGATGTATATTTTGCTTCCTTGGCATAAATCGGCTCCCTTTGCATTCTGTGTTCTGACATTTGAGGATTTCTCTTTTTTTCGGGGAGGATTTGAGATAGAACAGAGCGAGAGCAAGCAGGAAGAGCGTTCAGCAGGCGAGGGTCTGTACATTTGTGTATGTGCGTGGGGGGGCGGCGGTGGCGGCGCATGACTGGAAGCTGCGGAGGAGCGTGGGACGCCGTGCAGGACACAGAAATTGTGTGCATTTCCCCATAAACGTCGGAGACTTCATCAGGCGGTGAAAATACATGGCATTCACCAAACACATTTTATAGTGTCACAAGTGCTTCACCTAGATTATCTCTGTAATCTTTACAACAACCCTGCAAAGTTCTTCAGCGATCACTCGTAGCCGAGTAAGATTGTCTTCCATAAACACGGTTTTAACAGTGAGTCCGTAAGTGACTGGAGATCAATTCTGGATCCACAAGCCCTTCAACAGTGGGGACATTGGTTTCTGGGCGGGAGTTGATCACGGTGTGGGTTTGCCAAGCGTGCCTTCCTCTTAGCACGTTTCTCCCTTGCATCCTGAGTTCGAGTGTCTTCAAAGCCCATGACACCTTTGGTAAAGGCTGTTCTCCAACTGGAGCACTCGCAGGCCAGCGTTTCCCAGTTGTCAGTGTGTATACTACATTTTTTAAGATTTGCCTTGAGAAAGTCTTTAAACCTCTTTTGTTGACCACCAGCATTACGATAATCAGGCATCTTAACAACGTGACCAGTCCAATGAAGCAGATGTTGAAGAATCGTGGCTTCGACACTGGTGATCTTTGCTTCTTCCAGTACACTGATATTAATCATAGAATCATAGAATCATAGAGTTGGAAGAGAGCACAAGGGCCATCGAGTCCAACCCCCTGCCAAGCAGGAAACACCATCAGAGCACTCCTGACATATGGTTGTCAAACCTCTGCTTAAAGACCTCCAAAGAAGGAGACTCCACCACACTCCTTGGCAGCAAATTCCACTGTCGAATAGCTCTTACTGTCAGGAAGTTCTTCCTAATGTTTAGGTGGAATCTTCTTTCTTGTAGGTTGGATCCATTGCTCCGTGTCCGCTTCTCTGGAGCAGCAGAAAACAACCTTTCTCCCTCCTCTATGTGACATCCTTTTATATATTTGAACATGGCTATCATATCACCCCTTAACCTCCTCTTCTCCAGGCTAAACATGCCCAGCTCCGTTAGCCGTTCCTCATAAGGCATCGTTTCCAAGCCTTTGACCATTTTGGTTGCCCTGTCTTCCGAAGTGATGTGTAATTTTTTAGTTCGCCTGTCTTCCGAAGTGATGTGTAATTTTTTTCCAACAGTGTCACCCCAATATTAGAAGGAAGGCAGCTGAGGCAGAGACATACATGGTGGGGTCAGCTCAGATATAGCACACCCTTCTCCCCTTGGGTGCTCCCATTCTTTTCCTCCCTCCTCTTGTTTGAGCAGACCATAGCTTGCCATCCTATATGAACTGGCAAAGCATCATGCTGGATTTAGATGGTGAAGAGTTAGTTTCAAATCCTCCCTCTGCCACGAAATGCACTGAGTGCCGTCGGGCCACTGACACTCAAGCTCAGGCGTCAGCAAGCTTTTTCAGCAGGGGGCCGGTCCACTGTCCCTCAGACCTTGTGGGGGGCCGGATTATATTTTGAAAAGAAGAAGAAGAATGAATTCCTGTGCCCCACAAATAACCCAGAGATGCATTTTAAATAAAAGGACACATTCTACTCATGTAAAAACACGCTGATTCCCGGACCGTCTGCGGGCCAGATTTAGAAGGCGATTGGGCCGGATCCAGCCCCTGGGCCTTAGTTTGCCTACACATGCTCAAGCTAATCAACGTCATGAGGTTGTTGTGAGGATAAAGCCAGCCACTATGTATGCCATCAGCATTCAAAATTTGCCACGCACATTTTGACCATCGAGCAAGTGAAGATGCCTGGGTGCCAGGATGGCGCTTGACATCTCCACCATTTTGGGAGTGCCTGCCTGGGGATCCTTGGACCTTGACTGTTTTCACACACTAGTGTAGAATTAAATCCATTATATATTTTATCTGTGCAGTCCGAATGAATTTCAGGAACCAAAAAGTTGTACTGAAAAATGCGACTTTTGAGCCAACTGGCCCCAAAGTAGCAACCGTTTTGGCAACTGTAACCCTGGTTTAAGGAACCATTTGGCATCTAGCTTACATATCTGAGTTTCTAACAGAATGCCGCTCTGGGTTTCTTCGAGGAAGGATTGGGGGGGGGGGGACTTTTAATCCCCTCACACACATTGGATTGGTGTGGTGCAGTGCAGTGGTGGAAATATCAGAGTAGGACTGAAGAGTTCAAGGCTTAGCCATGAAGCTCATTGGATGACCTTGGGCCACTCAAACTTTATCTGAGCCTAGTCTACCTCACAGGATTGCTCTGAGGATAAGAGATGGGGAGGGACAATATACCTGAGTTCCTTGGATGAAAGGTAGGAGAGAAATGTAATACCAAACTTTAAAAAATGGTGACCTGAGCAAGTACTGTAGTTTGGTGTTACATCTGAACTGGGCAAACATGTTTTACCTTCAAACCAGAGACTGAAACCACGGTTTGCATTGTGTTCAGTCTCGGGGCTGAAGGGCAAAACATGGTCTGCCTGGTGCAGATGTAAAA